TTCGAAGGGTTACGTCCTCCCTGTCGGAGTTTCCTTGCCTCCATCTCTGATCTCTTCCGATAGATTTCCTGCCACAGAGAGAGTGAATTCAATTCCACTGCTATACTACTGACGCCCGATGCTATGCTGTCACTGAGTTGTGACATATTGTCTCTTGCATTCGATCTTCATACCCGACCTATATTTCCTCTTGTGGTGCGAAGGGGCGGCGAACCAAACACATGCCCCTCCGCACATTGGGACTCTTCAGCGGAGTACCAGTCAATACCGCTACCGCATATATCGCAAAATTCAAATACATCATCGCCAGGTCCCGTTTGGGCATCACAAGTTTTGCCGGGTAGGTGTTTACTTGTTTCCGGGCCACCTGCGGATCCAGCTGGAAGTTCGATCTGCGACTTGAGCTTTTCATTTATACAAGATAACTCCACTGATAGGTCAAGGCTAAATGTACTAGATAACCACTTCGCCGCTGATTTTGCAGCTTCCAGCAAGTGCGGGGCGTTGACAGGGTCTTGATCTGTAATGAGACAGCAAATAGCGGCGTATTGTAGCTTTCTCAGCCAGTGATCATTCAGTAGATCTCTATGACTATCACGCAGGATAAAAGAGAGAGCTTTGTCGCGACCAGCCTTCATGCGCTGTGGCGTTAGCTCTGGGGGAATGCGCCATGGGAGCTCTGCTGATTCACCCTCCTTTGGGTGCGGTGGCGTAAAGACGATCCGCGATCGTTGGCGCGCCGTAGTAACATATTCAACCATGTCGCTGGGATGAACTGTGAAACATGCTGCGATCCAGCCTCGATGGCTAGTCATTCCCCATATTCTAGCTACAGACATTCCACCCAGGTCGTGGTCGAGGTCGAATCGGCTGCGGAAGCCTTCCATCTGTCTGTGGAGATCGGCAGTCTGTGCATTGTCCGAGCGCCCATTATTGCAAGCGGTAATGTCCCGAACCTGGACCGCTTGGAGCGGTAGGGAGCGGAGGGATGAGGAAAAATGGGTGACATGTATGACAGTTGTATGGGATTTAGTATCCTCTGTGGAAGTTATGGCTGCCCGGGGAAGCCTCAACACGTGTACATCTACAAAGGATTTTTTTTGGTGTGACAAGATACTCACCAGTAATGGGCTCCCATTCTAGCAACCTGCCATCCTCCACAGTGTCTGCATGTAGCGCATGGTAGAGTGATACAGTAGACGTCGACTGCTCTGTCCCAGCGGACTTATGGGGAAACAAGTGGTCAAAGCTGATCAGGGCATATCCTCCAAGATACCCAACCATCAAACAGGATGATGATGGATTTTTGGGGCCCTTCGTTAGTTAGTAGGAAAATACCTAAATACAAGAAGGAAACGTTGCCGTATTTACCGCGTGGTCAATCCAACGTAGCGGACCATGGAAGCTCATGCGCTCAAACTGAGGTTCCTGGGGAATAGGAATAACTTCGCCCAAGCGTAAATCCAGTTTGGCATCCGTATCGCTGTCTTCAGCCACTCGTCCCGGGTCTCCAAACCGTGCATGTAGTAGAAAAGCCTTAACTCCGGTGGCGTGAATAATTGCAAGAGGTGAAGAATATCTAGGGTTCCCCTGATCGTCAAAACTCTGACGCGCGGGACCCCAGGTAATGTGAGATATGATGGGCACAGATCTCACTGATTGACCCAGAAGAGAATCAGGCTGCATATGAGGATATGCTACATGCGGGGCGGATATTTCATTCTGGGAAATGACCTCTACCCACAACTGTCGTCGAGTATTCATGTCAGGTCCCAGGTGGTCATTTCTAACTCTGATCAGAGTTATGTCGTTCATATCATTCGCCACAGCCAGCAGAGACATATCTCGATAGGCCTGATGCCCATGTAAAGCATCCTCGTGATAATCATCCTCGTCACACTTTGGGCTCCAGCAAAAGCACCTCACATGCATTTTACGCTGTAAAATAGAACCCTTTCCGCGTAATGACAGGCCAAAGGCCTCTCTTAATGCATTGTTGACGACCACAGTCCTCATCCACTTCGAATAGCCATCCACCAGCTCCCAGAGAGACAGGACCAAGTTACTAGTCAACACCGCGAGGACATGTCGAGAGTACCTGGCCAGGCGGTGATGTGACCAAGCCAATGCAAGAACGTGACTGGAAGACTGCTCTTCGCCGAGAGAAAAAGTATCGCCCGGCTGAGGAAATATCATGGGCCATTCATTGTTAGTGAAGACATTTGCGCGGAATTTGGTGGTCGTCCACTGGGTGTTTGATCCAGATGGTGTTTCCGTTGTTCTGTTAGACGCAGGCGCCTTTATGCGTGGGATCTATAGGGATGATCAGCGTGCTACCTTGTTTTTTCTTTGGAAGAGAACAAACGGCATAGAGGCTAGTATTCAAAGAAGAATATGGGAGGATATGATTTTTCGAATTTTAGAAGACTATTTGCGTGGTTGAAAATGGCGTGGCTCACTGACCAACACATGGACATATTCTCCCAGTGCAACCGCCAGCTCGCCATCTGGGGACCAGGAAATACAGTCGAAGCAGGATGGGAAAAGCTTGAGTTCCACAGGATCGAGCATGACGATGTATGATGGATATCATATACCATCCTCGCCGACGCTGGCAGGTTATTCGGTTGGGCCTAGGTTGGTTTGGTCTTGGATATACTCTGCTGTATCAGAGTAAAGTTGGGTTTGTGGCTTGCATTTTGTGGTGGATCACGGAATGACCAAGGTCCCTACTATTATTAAGGTACTACCAGCTTCTTCTACATATTTTCAAGGTCTTTATTTATTTATCTCATCGAATGTAGGATAAATGTGTTCGCGTACTCAGAAGCAAGGATTTAGTTTAATCTATACCTTCAAGTTGTTAGTCCAGCAGCCAAACGTTCGATTGCGAGTAGGTTAACTAGCCATCTATGGTATATGTGAACCCTTCTATAGCAGCCAAGAAATACTTCTTTTCAATACATAGCAGTCTTCTCATCTAAACAAAGGCTCAGACGTCTGAAAGAACAGATTGCTAAGTTAGAACAATATTTTCTCAATTTGATGCTGTAGATTAATCGTTGCTGGAGCTGAACATAGAGATCTTGAATATTTGCTGGTATATAAAACAAATTCGGTAGTAAATCATAAAATTCTATCATCAAAAAATCTTATTGCCAAAAAATTCCCAAGTCTTTTCTTGTAATAATTACGTAGAGTACTCCGTAGATAGATGATAAAAGGTAAAGATGTTAGGCCACTGGGGCAAACGAGCTCGATCACGATCACCAACCAGTGCCAATGGTGGTAGTACAGGGGACGAACCAATCCAACCCTCCAACAAGTTGATTTTATATTTGATAGTCGTTAGTTACTAGCCCGGCGGTCTTCAAGTTCAAGTTTGTATCAAGAAAACATGTATTTATTTCTACTAGTAGTAATTGATGAAAGCTACTGATATCTTATGATCTACTCCGTACTCCGTAACTTATCAAGTAGATAGTCAAGCCTCTACCGCATCATACCCATCTGCCTCTTGAGTTCAGAGGTTCTCTCGAAGCGCCGTCATGTTACATACTTGTATTGAGATCATATTCCTCCGTTACTGACTAGTATTTTAGGCTGATCTCGCATTCATTTTCTACCACAGCTTGCCAACCCGTTATTTGGCATGATATTACCTCCCCTAGAGCGATGTGTATTATGGAAATGACTCTGGAATACTTACAGATGTGCTATTATTTCATGGTACCATACAGTGCAAGCATTGGACTCTTCTAAATTTGTTTCTCATTTTATTTTAAGTTATATATACATTTATCCATTACCCTCTCACCAAACATTCCCACAAGCTCGAGCCCAAAGGTATGGTTCAACTTGAAGCTTACATCGTGTGGTGAGAATCTTCCACCCTTCTGCCATCCCTGCCGATCTTCGGACAAAACGGAGAAGAGAACAAGATTTGCGGGCGGCGCTTATCGGTCGCAATTCAACTTCTAAAACAATACCTTCTAAAACAATACCATCGTCTCAAGGACCAAGTGATCGCTCGTCCCCCTGCTCGGAAGGCAATGGAAGCACTGTATCTTCGCTTGGGGCACTGTTGACATGGATGTGAGAAGGCCGAGCGAGCTCTTTCAATTGCTGGCTTTCGCCGGAGAAACTACTTCGGTGGCTTCTGCGACCGGGGTGAACAGCGCTGAAGAAATAGCTCGCAGATACTAGCGGGCTCGTCTTCCTTTTTGGAAACAGTTGCAAAAGAGGCTTTAACGTGGGGATACAAGATGCCATAATAACGGTGTCCGCCTCGAGACTAAGAATTTTGCCTCATCGTTAAGTCTCGCGGAAAATGAAGTAAGAGGGGCGAAAAGATTGGGACAAACGGGGATATTAGCTTACAGGGTCCAAATTATCAAATCACTGCTTCTGTCTGTAGGACATCTGCTGTTAGCCCCTCCATGCGAGTTCCCGGGTGCCACAGGCGGTTAGCACACTTACAACTGGTGTCGACTCTCTGTTTCAAAGTTGGCAGGTGCACACATTTGACAATCGCCACGGCGCAAGCACTGTGGAAGACAATTATGACTGGTGAGAAGTGGTCGTCCACGACAGAACAAAATGGCACGGGAATCACACACATTAGACCAAGTCCCAGTGCTGCACAAACGGCAATTTTTTTCAATACCAATACTTTAAGCTGCCAGCACACAACCACTGCATACATTGCGAAGTACAGATCCACGAACGCAGACACCGCTATATTAAAGAGATATATCAGCCAATGCGTCATAGGCCATTTTCATACGGCTAGTCCCTGCTTAGGGTGTTAGAGGGATATGACAAACCTCCAACGAATATCAAATAGTTAGTGGATGACGAAGGGTCTCTGCACTTGGGATTTTTGACGCGTTTATCCCACGTTGCCCGGTGAGGGCGGCAAATAGTCATGAGGACAGGAAAGCAGATGAAGCCGACCAGCAGACTAAATCCACTCAGGAGCCAGACCACATTGCGGTGGAAACGAGTTGGAACAAGAATCCTGTTGAGCATCGCCGCCACCCCGAGCTTCGGAAATGAGATTGCGAGTATTCCGAAGAGTGAGCCGATCTGAGCATTGAGCCTTGAACCGCGGAGTTGCTCCGGCGTCAGAGTGACCTCATGTTTTCCAAATCCATAACGTATGCTAATCGTAACAAACACCACAAAGATAAAGCTCAAGACCTTGGATTGAATATAAAGTGGTTAGTGAGCTCACCACATCCACGATCAAACAGTAAATATTAAATAAAAGGTAAAACACGGATGAACTGAACTGAACTGAATCGAAAATACTCGAAAAGGAATATGATAAAATTTTCGGGGATGGCGAAGACAGAAACATTTTAATATACCATGGATATCAAAATCAGCCAGTCATCAAGTCCAACCATCCGCACCATTCTGGATCTGACAAGGAGCCTCGTCGCCACTATCGCAGTGGTAAGGCAGGTTACAACCCACATGACCACAAGAATAAGAGGCCCTTTATTTTGAGAATCTCTCGCTGATGTCATCGTCGTCTGAATGTCCGGCCGGAATCCCCATAGATTGAGTAGATGAGGTGCAGTTGATGGGAAAGGACAAGAGGGCTTCCAAACTGTTGTTTTATATATTCGATAGGTGGTCAGGAATATTATTAAAAAGATTTACGAAAAAGTATAATGTTAGCCCGGTTAACCCCCCAGCCCGTGCGATTTACAGTACAAATGCATCTCAGGCCTTCTGCTGCTGGCATATGGGAAAAGGCAATATATGAATGTTGATGTGAATGGAACGATGTGGTCAACACGGGTGCTCTCGAACCGTGAGGAAACATGAAGATGTCATCCTCAAAACTTTGCATCCCGCAATAAGTAACAACACTAAATCCTATCGAGTGGTGGCTTCAAGTTGAGCCGTTCAGCTGGATGGATATTGAGAGAACTGGAGGCTTGAGAGCAACAATTCTTCGAAATGGTGTTCCTCAAGGTTCAACTAAACCAGCAGAGTTTGAGCAGAAATAATTGTGCTCTCGGACCATTGCTTGCGGAGGTCAACCTATAGGAAAGTTTTGCAGATAGGACAACAGGGGATGTCCGTGCCGGTTTTTCATAACCTTTGAGATCGTCATGCATCTCTTGTGCTGATACGCTACCCAGGGACCGTGCTGGTGCACCGCCAAGTCTGACGAGGCAGCGAAGGTTCAAGTGGCTTTTCAGCGGCGTCAGACGGATGGGCGAAGTTGTTGCCAAACCTCTTCTGAGCAATTCGATGCTGTGAAGGAGTTTCGAGTCCACACATATGCAGTGCGTACATAAAAAGGTTCACAGCCTTTGATTATGCCGTAGAACATCAGAAATGCTTATTCTGCAAACTAATTGAAAGACGACCCCATATAAAAAGTCATCTGGGAGGTGATCTTTAAGGAATGTTTTGTCTATTCTTGAGCTCTTGCTGGCACAAGAGTATGTGCAACTTAGCTCGCATCAGGAAGGCGGTTGGAAATAACAAATGCGAGCATGATCTTCAAGCCATAAATAGTTAGGTGACAAGTTGAAAGTGAAGGAGATGACACCTGGATAACTGAGAGATGGCCAAGATTCGTTTTCATATCAACATCCTTCCATAACAGAATGCTGATATTGTTGAAATTCAAAGGGTAGTTTCACTACCTGTTGCCTCCCAGTACATTCATGATGCGTGAATGTACAGTACCTGTACTTCTAACTGGCTAAGTAGAGAGCAAGGGCTTGATGGACGATTTATCGAGATGCCCTGAGACTTTGGGAGGAAAGAAATTCCCTGGTATCTGTAGATCCTGGAGCGCGAACCAAAAGACTGTATATTATTATATAATTCACCAACATTTCTCACCCCGCAAATTACAGCTGCTGTCAAATAAGTAATAAATATTGATGGATCATTTAACGGAAGTCGTAGTATCCACTTGTGTGTATCTTCCTAATAAGGACGGACAGATGGACCCATGTAGATATTTTTGTCTAGGGATTGTAAGGTAGTCCGAATAGCTTTCCAGCAACTGGATCCCATTCGTCATCCCATCGCCGTTCGCTTTCTTGGAGTGCACCTTGTCGAAGTAGGGAGAGTTTCTCCTCGGTCCCACCAAATAAATCAACCAGGTGAGTAACAAGTTCATCGGTGCTCCCAAACCCAAGGCCGTTGACTCCTTGAGATACCAATTCTGGCCATGCCTCATATTTGTTCCAGCCGACCACCGGGAGTCCAGCTCCAAACATATCCACAACTTTCATTGGTAGGTCAACGCCGCTGCTGCTAGTATGCAAACATACACCAAGAGAAACGCTCGCGAGAAGCTGAGCGTACTCTTCTAAACTTAGCCATGCCGTTTTAATTTTCACGTTTTCAAGCTTGCCCTGGGCTCTTAATTTTGCAATCCGGGAGAGGTACATTTGCTGCTGTGGACCCTTCCCAGTTATGATGACGCCTAACCGTGGGAGGCTAAGGTTTCTTGTCGAAGCAATGGCTGAATAGCGGCATAATGCGTCGATTAGAATCGAAAAGTCTTCATCCGGTGTCCATGAAGTAGAGCTGACTAGAAGACGGCAAGTTCCCGCCCTCAGATCTCCAACGAATTCAGCTGTTTCCGAAAGAGACGAGAGGAACGCATACTTTTGCTCGTCGTTTCGAAAAGGCTGGAAACAGGACTGTGGCCGGTCGTGCAAAACGAGAATAGGTGTTATGATTTTTAAATCATCACGTAACCGCCTTGCCATGGCATTACTAACGCAAAAATGTGCAGAGGAGAAACGACCAAATGTGGACTCATGGGATTTATTTATCTTAACCATTGGGTGGCCATCACCAAGTTTCAAAGCCAAGATGGAATACCCAAAATTATGCCAGTCGATAACGAGGTTCGTTTTGCGAAGTTGGCAAACAACTTGGGCTACCACTAAAGTTGGAGCAGTGGGTGGGTTCTGAGGAGGGCAATTAAAGGATATTTCAGTAGTAAGTTCAGAGACGATGTCATCTCAGACGAATTGGTGCAGACCACATGCAGAAAGAGAAAATCAATAACGGGAAGCTCATATACTGATGGAAACTGACCTGGACCAACATCCATTGTGCGGGCCTGGAGTGATATGCCAAGGCAAGCCACAAAAGCCAGGTTTGGTGTAACAACTTCAGAAGAGCAACAAACGGAAACAGATACTTGTTGTGAGTTTGTAGGAAGCTTGGAGGCGAGGCTAAAGAGATAATGGAGACTCGAGGATGGTCCACCAGATCTGGGTGGATGTTGGAACCTAACAATCGCAACACGGGGTCAGCGTTTTAGGATCTAAAATGGAGAAGCAATGAATCCAGTAAACACTGTACCTGCATGTCCAATGATTGATACAATCCCACCATGTTTCGCGAAACTCAATGCATGGTACTGCATCCGTGGGCTGCGACCAATATCTCCAAGCACGACGATCTGAACAGAAGGAGGTTCTTTAATCGGTTCTTTGAATTTTGATGGGAAACCTGGAGAAGTGGGTATATTCCGACCATAGCGAAATGGTGAGATAAATATCAATACCGGTATAGAAATGGCCAGGGAGAGCAACACTCCTGCCACGATCACTAGAAACATAACTGCAAGGAGCAGCACGAACTCGTAGGCTTCGTCAAGAAATAAGCACAAATAATCACCATGCGCCAGGCAACCATACTCCAAAACAACCCTACCGCTTGAGCCAGACAAACATGACAATGAAGATCTAGCAATGGATTCTCCGCTGGCTATATGAAGCCTTATCGGTAAATTGATATTCCGTTCCGTCCCCAATAGATCTGCTCTAGATCTCGGCATGTCGGTACCTGGGTTGAATGGCTCGGCGTGCCGAATGCTGGTATGTTACACTCCCAGAGAATTTTTTTCCCGAACATATTCACTCGTACTTGAACTTTTAATGTAGTAAGTCCGCTAAAAGGGAATGGATTTAAAGACAACTGATACTTGCGTCCTTCACTTCCTACATTTTGATTGCCGGAGATGGTCATATTCCGTTACATACTAATTCGGTTTTTGCAAGAAGAACTGCACATCCTTCAATTCTCATACAAAAGAGCTGACGTCGCTTTCTTTATCCATTAAGCTCACATTATTATTTATTATTATTGTTATTCTTCAAACCAGGGTATAGAGACTCTGACACCCACCTGACTATTGCTCAGGATTTTTCTAGTTCTAATTGCTTTACTTACAAATACTCTCTTTCACATAATACAGAATTCTAGCTCAGAAATCAATCAACACTTAAAAGATACTTCTTACAAAATCACAACTCACTCAAGCTTATTGAATAAAAAGAGAGTAAGGAATGACAACAGTAAAACAACAATAAAAGAAATAAACTAAATGAATACAATCTACAGAACAAACCTCTGTAGTTTATACCTTGAGCTATATACATATTTTAACACCCTATATAACTAACCACCATTTTTGTCTTTTCAGATCATCATTAGAGGATACCATTCCTCCTAGAACACCGCCACTCATCTGAGTTCTTTAACTAGTTTATCTAAGTGGGATTCTCACTAAGAATAACATCAGAACTCCTCCAGTTAAATCCCTCAATCTTCCAGCTGTCAATCTCAGTATTCTAGTCTATCAATTGGTGGTCATGGTCTTGCTTGCTCTAATCATCTATTGAGAGCACCTAGGCCTTGTCTCATCTAGGTCTTTGCTGGGCCCAGGATGCCCTGATTGGGTAGTTTTTAAATGTTAATTTCCCAGAATTTGGAGGTGTCTACTCCGTAGATAGTTAGTGAGTGAAACGGTGGTGGATTTCTGACCAGTTAAGCTTGACAACGATTCGCTATCCTGCGGGTTGCTCCACCACCACGCCACCGTATCTATCCAGTACTGATCTAACTTGATGCATCTTGGGGGGTTCTAGCCCCAGAAGGTCAGTGAGAATTAGCACCTGGTTACACCCAGTCAAGGGTCTGGGAGCTTCCGGCACTGTTCTGTGGAAATTGGTTAAGTGAGCCCCGCAGGATTCACTTCACCACCGATCTCATTGAGCTCACAGGACGGGTAGTCGTCGGATGGACTGTGACCAGTCTTCAATCTTCAATCTCTGTACATTTTAGGCAGGCTTGTAAGCAGACAGTTAGCAGGCAAACAGAAAAGCAGATAAACGTCGTTAGTTTTAAACTTGTATAAAACACGTTGTATCCCCGGCTATCCGGAGTGAAGCAATAAACACACCCTACTGTGTAAGTGTCTAGATAACCGAGGCTGTCTCCCAGGCCAATGGGAGCCGTGCGAAGCTGCACGAGATTACCAATCGCAGAACCTCACCATCCCCATCTGGCGCGAACGAGCTTGATTTCCACCACAGCGCCAACTTGCAGTAGAACGGACGAACCACCCAATCCAATCAAATCCAATCCCTCAAGCCAAAGTTCACCTGACTCAAAAAAAAAAATCATGTGACCTGGACTGGATCCCGGATGTTTTGGGGCCGACAGTTGGAGCAATATCAACCGACAACGGCCAGCAAGCAGACACGGACAAGGAGAATATAGACAAGCTAACTGCGGGATGTTGTTGGGAGGTCACAGCATCGGATTGAATTCTGGCGATAACGCTCGTCTCTTATTCGACAATTGACGGAGTTTAATAGCAATTCGATATTACGTTCTCGTCACACATCGAACGGCCAACTCGGTCGTCTAACGTTGTTGGAAATATTGGTTTTATTTCTAATATGATGGAGAAAATTGAATAATGCCTGTAGCATCATATCCGTCCATGGCCAATCCTGCCCGTGGTGGCCTCCAACCACCGGCTCCAGGCCATCGGCGCACTCGCGAGGGCTACGCAGGGCCCCCCGTCCCTCCTTCGAACAACTTCTCGGCTCATCCAAGCCCGCAGCATCATGCTGGTGACACTCCCATCGAGCCCATTTCGCATTCGATTTTCGGCTCTGCTGGCTATCCCCCCAAAATATCACCGCAATCGCCGACTTTTCAACACAATGTGCCTGCACAGGTCAATAAGCGCGATCCGGCCAATGGAAGTGGCAGCTCACTGTCGGAGTTGCCGTTGGGCTCCTCGACCGCTACGATGCGCGAGGGAATGGGTGCCACGCCGGAGATTTCAGAGCAGTCAGCCTCTCTTATGAGCAAGTCAGTTTCGTCATGATTGAATTGCGACAGATCAAGTACTTCAATACTGACCAGGTTTACGCCTTTAGGCTTCTTTCTAGCGAAGTCATTGCAGGCATGCTAGTGTCCACTCCCTACCTCATATCCTCATTGCTCATAAACATATATTCTCCAACTCACGGTCCCAGAGGACATGTCAAGGACGAGTCTGTAGAATTCGGCCTGATACGCCCTCCTCCTCCGAGAAGAGAATTTCTCATGACCTGCACGCTGGTGTCGATCACGATGCTGATAATAGGCCTCTACACCGAAATGCGAAAGAAAACCCAGTTGCATCTCTTGAATGACCCAACAGGCAAAAACAAATCACTTGGGGTGGCGGTGCTAACTCCCTGGAGTATTTTCCTTGTGATGATAGCCATCGGTCTGCCATTTTATGCGACACTATTCCTGGACCATGGAAGAGTTTCCATCACAATGCTTCTCCTGCTAGTCTCTAGAGTATCCCCGATTGTCCAGCTTGATCATGACAACGATCACCAGAAACAGTTCCGATTTCATTTAACACAACGCAATGGAACGGGTTTTTTCCTGCTTGGAATGATGGTTCTAGATACCGTCGGGGTCACATCATCCACTGACTGGCTACTGATTCTTAGAGGATATCTTGCTCTTATGTTCTCAGTATTTATTATTCAACCCCCTTTTACGAATATGCGAAAGCCGTCTTCAATAGCTCATCCCAACCAGTCAACTTACGAGTCCTCAGTTTCTGATTCTGTCCGTCAAACCCAGAGTAATTTCTTCTCAGCCTCGCCCGCTGCACTTGTCAGTACCAACCAATATTTCCGAGGGGGCAGCATTTTAGCAGGCATCTGCTTACTCATGGCCTATATGTCTGGCGGTATTAATATCGCTGTGCCTTCTTTAACCAGCATATTGATGGTAGGGCTATTCTCAGCAATATCCTTTCTAAGTATCGAGCCCAAAACGTTCCAAAGTAAACATCAGATAGGCTGCATTGCAGGCTCCGGTTTCTCCCTTATTGTCAGTGCTATTGTATCTCCCATGGAATTTTCAGACTTTGCGTCAACCTGCTCTTTCACCGTTCTTAGTTATATCTTCGTTCGCCTGGATCTTAGGACGGTGAAATCAGAGACCCATGACTATTCTCATGCCACGCATGGACATCAAGAGTACCACCATAATCATCACCACAGCAATGAAAACTCTCCTTCTCGAATCACTAGATGGCTATTGAAGACCTGCGAGCATTGGCCTTTCATATATGGGATCCTCAAGGAAAAAGATTCGCGGAAGATATTCTATTTTATGTGGTAGGTTCCTTCCCGGAGATAACATATTATAACCAGCTTCGACTGACTCTTGTTCACTGTTTACAGTCTAAATTTTGGGTTCATGCTTGTCCAATTATCCTATGGAATTTTGACTGGCTCTCTCGGCTTACTTAGCGATAGCATTCACATGTTGTTCGATTGTTTTGCGCTCGCAGTAGGTTTATGCGCCGCCGTGATGAGTAAGTGGCCTCCAAGCGTAAGATTTCCTTATGGATACGGAAAGGTTGATACGTTGGCCGGTTTCGCCAACGGCATCTTTCTCATGTAAGTTTTGGCATGACTGTCGCAAAACCAACAAAGATGTCCCTAACAACCGATTACAGGATCATAAGTATTGAAATTGTCTACGAGGCCATTGAAAGACTCGTGTCTGGAAGTGAGGTCCATCGGATAGGGGAGCTCCTTTTTGTGAGCGCAGCTGGATTAGCAGTCAACATGGTGGGGATAATGGCGTTTGACCACGGCCATCACCATGGGCATTCGCACTCCTGCGGTGGCCACGACCACGATACTGGGCATCTACACTCGCATCATACCAACGAAAACATGCATGGTATTTTCCTCCACATCCTCGCCGATACTCTTGGGTCGGTGGCAGTGGTTCTGTCCACGGTCCTCGTGCATTTCTACAAGTGGTCTGGATTCGACCCTATCGCATCGTGCTTAATAGCCATCCTCATCTTTGCCTCTGCCGTGCCGCTGGTGGCCAGCACATCGAAAACCTTACTTCTCGCCCTTCCGGCGGATGTTGAATATCGGCTACGCGATGCATTAGCTGGTGTGAGTACTCTACGCGGAGTCGCTGGGTATTCCGTTCCAAAATTCTGGTTAGACGATATCGTCGATCATGACCATAAACATGGCCACACTGGCCACCATCATCATCACGGACACGATGACCATGACCACAATCACGACCATAGCCATCATTCTCATACACATCACCAAAGCAACATAGACCCCAGTGAGGAAAAGCATTCCCTCGAACACACGCCCAGGCATGGAGGGACGGGCCAACAAATTCAAGGGGTGATACATGTGATTGCCTCGCGTGGGGCGGATATGGAGGACGTCCGGCGGCGGACGATCAGCTACTTAAGCGAGAAGGGCATCAACATCCTAGTTCAGGTGGAACGCGAAGGAGAAAACAGGTGTTGGTGTGGTGGTGGGAATAAACCTGTGACCTAGTATTTTGCATATAACGACTATGTATGTATGGATGGATGGATGGAATATATCGCGGCATATACATATTTTTTGATGCTTGTTATTGCTTTTACGTTTGACCCTTTACATTCCTTTATTGCGATTGCTTCTTTGTTTAGTTTTTCTATTGGTACATTTCTGAAGATTTTTATTATCCCTTAAACACACCCCATTCCCCGCCACATCAACGACATTATATTTCTGCATATTTATGTATAATTAGTTTCGGCGCTTTCATTAACACCGTTATTGTTATCCCTCAACGATACTATAGAGCCCAGCGATCGCAGTCCAGACATTTATACCAGACAGCTCTTTTGTTATCCTGCTGGATGTTTTCTATCTCTGATAGAAATGACAGTGATAATGCTTCAATGACGTGAGATTGAAATTACTGAAGTAATGCGAACTGATGAAACGAATTTTGAGTACCTGGCCTTGGATTTAGGGGGAATCAGAAAGGGTGTAGTATCGTATATATCATCTTCTCTGCATTATGTCTCTCTCATATACCGTGTCAGCCAGGAACACTGGACAACTGTTGGACACTGCCAGCAGTGATGGCCGCCGCGGCCAAACTCAGGAGAAAGAGAATATATAGTTATACCAGACCGGGATATCATAATCAAAAAGCTGCTTGGCCCGACAATACCTTTCCTAGGTGAAACCGCAAATTTCCGCTGTTTTACTTCAACGAATGAAGAGAGATCGAAGGCGATTGAAACTTAACCTACACAGATCTTAACTTAGACTCGTAACTGCTTCATGCGCTATGTATTGGAGTTGGAGAATATTCTCTTCAGAATATATATTCCTCATCTTGTGTTGAGTGATTTTTTTTATTTTTATTTTTTTTATTTTTATTTTTTTTTTATCTATCATGTATAGTACAGTACATGTGAAGAATAGTTTTGTTGAAGGTTAATGTCAGGAACCTCAAGAAAGTATACAAACTGAGACCAGACCGTTTCTGCTGCTAGCCATATTGTAGGTATAAAGAAACGCTGCACCGCTTGGTAGCTTGGAAATCCGTTCGATTGTAATACATGCCATTGTGTGCTGATATATAATGGCAGAACGCTAACAGCTTATTTAGTATAAAACGAAAGACGAGAAAGGAAAATAACAACACAACTAGTGTCACATACTCATATAAGCTCCATACATACACATATATACATACACATATATACATACTGTTTATAACAAACAATGAACGGACATGTTATCTAAAAATCCCCAATCTTCACTCGACCTTTTCCACTCTCTGGACGACCACGGCAGTAGCTGCTCCGCCGCCGTTGCAGATGGCCGCGAGGCCGTACTGGCCCGGTTGCAACTGGTGAAGCAGGGTGGTGAGAATGCGGGAGCCAGAGCTTCCAAGAGCATGGCCCAAGGAGATGGCGCCACCAAGGGGGTTGACACACGCGTTCTCGAGGCCAAGGATCTACATGGTAAAGGTAAAAAAGGTTAGAAATGCAAATAGGGTTTGGTAGGGACAAAAAGCAAAAGGTAGAAGATACCTTTTCGTTAGCTTTAATGACGGCGGCAAATGCCTCATTGAATTCCCAGATAGAGATCTGGTCCTTGGTTAGGCCCGCTCGCTCCAGCGCGATAGGCACAGCCTTGGCGGGCGCGACGGGGAAGTCAATGGGATCCATAGCGGCATCAGCAGACGATACGATGCGTGCAAGAACCCTGCTCGCTGCACCGTACCGTTGAGCAATCTGCTTATTGGTAATTACTAGCGCGGAGGCGCCGTCGTTGAAAGTAGAGGCGTTGCCGGCAGTGACGGTTCCTGTGCCATCGCGGACAAAAGCCGGCTTGAGCGATTTCATCTTTTCCTCGCGCAAATCTTCGAAGCCCTCATCGATGGTCACGAGGGTGTCTCCTTTCTTTCCCTTGACGGTAACGGGGGCGATTTCGTCGTCGAATTTCTTCTCCGCCCATGCCTTCTGCGCGCGTTTGTAGGATCGCACGGCATACTCATCCTGCTGTTCGCGAGAGATTTGGTACTTCTTCGCCGTGTTCTCCGCGCACACCCCCATGTGGAATTGGTTGTAGACGTCCCACAGGCCGTCCTTGATCAGGCCATCCTCCAGCTTCATATTGCCAAATGGGCCCTGTTGGCTAGCCCGCGGGAGGTAATATGGGACTCTTGACATGTTTTCCATACCACCGGCAATCTGTGCCTCTGCCAGACCAAGCTGGATATTCTGTGCGGCGAAGACGACAGCCTTGAGGCCGGAGGCACAGACTTTGTTGATGGTGATGGCCTCGACGGTTGGAGCCAGGCCGGAAAAGATGGAAGCTTGTCTCGCAGGGGATTGGCCGATAGATGCTTGTAAGACATTACCCATGTAAACATCGGTGAATTTCTCAGGGGGTACTCCGGACTTTTCGATGGCGGATTTGATGGCTACGGCACCCAGCTCAGGAGCAGGGACGGTGACAAAGGAGCCATTGAACTGGGATAGTTAGCTATTCTTCTTATTCTTCTCATGTTCTTTTCCCAGCGACAGGATTACCTTGGCAGTTGGTGTACGTGCAGCCCCCAAGATGTAGGCCTCCTGTATTTGCTTCTGGCAGAAACTGGAAGAGGAAAAATGCCTCTGGACCTGGCCCAATCTCTGTGACGACCTCACCATAGAGGCATTTGAGGAGAACCTGGAGGCTGTTTTGAGAGAGCACTGCATTGTGTTAAAGGGTGTGATGGTGTATGGCAGACACGAGTCGCCAGAAAGGATAGGACGCGCTCAGGAAAGGAAAAAGCTAAAGAATGAAAGGGCTATACCAGACGAAAAAGATATACGAGATTTCATAAATACATATATATAAGCAGTCGTCGCTGCTGGAGCTGGCGGAGAGAAATAATTCTCTTAGCGTTGCATGTGCCACTGTCTCCCCCACCTATTCTCCGTGACTAAGCGGATAGTATGAGCATGTGACTTCTACTTCCCAGTACGGACTAGCGTCCCGCGATGTCGAACATTTTTTGAACATTTTTTGCCTCGGCTAATATTCCCCTGACGGAGTGGATGTACTATTATGCGGTTCGATCATGTCCTAGCCTAAAACTGTGGCCCGTGCACCAACTAGGGGGCTCAGTACAGATTACTTGTATTCCGTATTGAAGATATATTGATCTCCGCTCAACCTGGCAACTCCTGCCAGGCTCATGGAAACGGCAATTACATAAAGACAAATAGTAGGAGAGCGATAGTAATGTCGTTGTATAAATTTTTAAGAAAAATAACATATATATTGTATAAATAAATCAATTGGAAGTCAATTGGAAGTTGTGCTAATCAATTTCTAATCAAGTACTAGTATTCAGTCGACTTGAACGTGGCTAGAAACAAAACAGATGAATACCAATTCAATATGGGGGGCGCTTCCGGCTAAGTTCACTTATAGAGAATGGGCTGCAACGTTTATCAAGAATCATGATATATAGCTTAACGGAGGCAACGCCTATCAGTGGCTCGCAAACTCCGGCCAGTAATACCCAACCAGCGGACGGAATAGAGGGTAAAGATCGCTGAAAGTCATAAAAGAAAAACTCCCGAAACACTCCACGGCGACTATATAATAAGCGAAAATTAGAGGTATCATAGCGTAACCAAAATCGTAAATCATAGCAATCAAGCCAGTGCTCCCATCGGATCCCAGAGCGGGAGCGTCAATGGCGCCTGCTTCAACACATCTCTCACTCCCTGACTCACAAACCGCGGATCAACGACAACCTGATACACAAACTCGTCCATCCATTTATCCGTCATAACGAACCAGCCCTTGTCGCCTTTGGCGTCACCCCATGAATTCTCTACACGCCAGCGCAGGGGTTTACCGTCGCCTCCAATGTGTACTGCTGTCAGGACCATGGCATGCGTCATGGATGATTCTCCCGTTTGTAGCCTCTCGGCCTTACTCATGCCTAAGTTGACGTTGAAGCCCAGAGAGTAGTCGTACAGTGCAGTGTCCATGATGCCCGATGCTGAGTTGGAGTATTTCCCAACGTCGCTACCGAAGAAGACCGGGATTCCGGCTCTGAGCATTGCGATTGCGCCAGCCTTTATAGTCTGCAAATGATGTATGTTATAAGAAGTGAAACGCACACTTCGTAAATCAAGGGAAAGAGAAAACGCTTACATCCATATCAACATTAACATAGGTTAGCGGCTGGCCGCCGACAACATTTCCCAATCGATCGACAGTCAACAGTCGCTCATAGGAGTTCCTTGGGTCATTGACCAGGCTAAATAGCTTGTTCACGTCCGTCCCTTTACACGCCCTAAGACCTTCACGGCTTGAAAGGCTCGATGCAAATTCCAAAGGGGTCATGGATAGTTTGCAGAACTTGCCATTCGCGTCATAATATTCCCAGGTAAATTTCTCCTGGGGGGATGGCGGTGGTCCAAGTAAAATGGTCAGGATTGAATGAATTTCCTGTAGAAACTTTTTCTTCGTATCGCCAATGGATGCCCTGACAGAAGGATCAAAACTAGTTGCCATTTTGCGCAGGACAAGCGTATCCTCACGCAGTTTTGTGGTGACAAGTTTGCCCAAGAACGAACTACTCTTAGCATTATAGGTATCAGGGTATAATTCCTTGGGAACCTAGATATTTACTACATTAATTCTCCTAGTTTATGATCTAAAGGTTTGGTTGAACATAGAACTTACCAATCCATATTTCCCAACCAAATTCGTAACCATATCCCACTGACCGCCATCCGATATGGGGCTTGACATTAGACGCTGCACCAACCTGCCATCCAACGCCTCACTAGCCGTGTCAATGGCATTCTCCAAGAACCAATTTGCCTTCTCCATCTTATCCCAGAAGAATGGATACGCCTGACTCAGTTCGAAGCTTTTCACATTATACGGCTTCATCAAAGCCACACGGAACACGTTGGTGGATGCGAACAGCCAGCAACGGCCGGAGGAGTGCTGATTAGTGATTGGAGCGCCTTCAAGCGGGATCCTGATATTGAAAACCTGAGTATCGGCTATTTCTGCAGCGTGGTTAGCAATGATGGTTGTGGGGGAGTGCGATGACAGAGCGGATAAGGCGAGCCGGTTCTAGTGAAGTATGAATATTAGGGGGATATCCATAAAGGCTAATGCAGCATGCTGAGTATCGATTACCTTGGGATCGGCAAGCAACTCCTTTTCCCAATGTTTCGTCTCTGATAAGACAAAGTGGTATTTCTTTTCGATGAGGAGTAGGTTGGGGCTATAAGCATAAGGAGCATGGTCAGCGATCGACATGGAACTAAGTAGACTATAATCGAGATGTTCTATACTCACGATCCTCATCAACACAGACATAAGTTTCCAACGCTTCCTGCATTTTCCCCGCCACGCTCAATTTGGACATGCGCTGTGCAATCTCCTCTTTTTCCCGCCCAACAGCCGACGCAGCGACCTGCTTGGACTGGCCGACACCCATATCATAGAACAAATAATGGATTTGGCGGCGGATCTGTGCACAGTTATGCAAGTGGAGTATGATGTCTGGAGTGGGCGAATGAGACAGGGTGGCTCCAATCGCAAGGTGATTGTTACGGCGTTGGTGTTGAGATGTCGAGATGTCGAGATGTCGAGATGTCCAGCGTGCTGGGACTCGGTGTGCAGGTTATGCTGACGTAACTTAAGGTCATCTAACTTAGTTAGTTACTCCGTAGGATTCTAATAGTTACTAGAGCTCGATCACCACCCACACGGGACGAACCAATGCAATCCCTCCAAGACCCAACTAACTAGCTTCACTGGATAGAAGAAGCACTCGTGAACATACAACGTGCTTCGTCTACACTAGCATATGAAAGAAAAAGAAAACATGGAAGATAATGAGGTGGAGAAGCTCTAGTTCGTGAGTGAAGGATGTCCAAAAATGAGCCAAAGAAAAGGAAGGGAACCAAATCCGAACGAAATGGTGTGGTGGTATAGGGGGGGGGGGGGGGGGGGGGGGGGATGGGGAACTTTTCCACTGAAAGAAGAAAGTTTCACAAATGAATCTATCTACAATGAAATACGCCATCTTGGAAGGCGGGACAAACACGATAGCAGCGATAAGAACGGTAATAAGAAATTCTCCCCCATCTCTGCAACAACCACACCACGCCTCAGAGGAAAAGCAGTCACCGCACTTGCTCTTTTTCCACCTTAAATAGATTCGTCTCTTTAGTTGCCCCGACGAAACACAAAAACACCCAACTGCTGCACCGAAGCCTAATCGCGACTTATAAGCGAACACCCCAACCCTATTCAAAGGTGGTCAAACCGGCCACAACGAATCTTGATTCACTTCATCGCCGATCGAAGAACCAACTGGTGCGCTTCCCTCCCCCCGAACCTGAACCGGAGCTGGAAGCGTCCTGCGACTGCAGCCCAGAAAGGGTGGGGTTCACGAGCCCGCCGCTTGAGTCAGCTACACCTCCACCGCCGCCACGGAGAGGTTTGGCTATACGTGGGCCGCCAAAGCTGAACGTTCCTGTCTCTGAGGACGGGAGACCACGTGTTGACCCTGCTTTTGCGGCTTCCAGACGTTCCTTGAGGCCAGTGAGTTGTGCTTCGAACCTGTATGTTAAAAATTGAAAGTTAGACACATATACGCGGCTTGACATGGAAATGGGAGACGAAAGAGATCGTACCGATGATTGGCTGCAGTAAGTTTCTCCTGACTATCCTGCAAAAGACTCTCAAGACTCTCAATGCGCTCATTGCGCGCAATGAGCTTCCGTTCCGCAATAGCTACCTCGCGCTTCAAACTCCCATTCTGCTCTACCAGCTGTCGCTGCACGTGCGTCAGCTGCTCCAGATTCCGCTCCAGGAAAGCCATCTTTTTCTGCTGCGCTCTGTTATTTGAAGACTGAAGCACGTTCTTGTACTGCTCGCGCGTCTCGTCGAGGGAGATCTCCAGCTCCACCACTCGCTCGCACCGGTTCTGAAGGTCACGCATCAACGATTTCTTCATGATGTCAAAATCTGCGATCTGCTGCTGGAGTGTTTTGCTGTTAACTGCGGGTCCGCCGCTGCCGTTGGCGCCGGGAGCGCCATTGATAGGCCCCCCACGGGACTGTACCTCAGCAAGAGATTGTCGTAACCGCTCCAACTCCTTGTCCCGTCGTGTTAATTCGCTTCGAAGCTCCTCGACCATTTTGGACTGATGCTCTTCTCGGTCCTCGTACGCCTGACTCAGACGAGTCTTGATCTCTTCCACGTCTTCTTTGCTCAGCCCTTTCTCGAGCACCTCCTCATATCGCCTTTGGAGACATGCGATACGATCCTGAAGCTCCACCCGTTTGTTGTCCGGTAATTCTTGGTAGTCGCTTCGGTGATTCACTGTCAACTCCGCCTGGCGAACGAATCCTTGAGCCTCAATAAGACTTGCCCTAAACTCAGCCAGGTCGTCGGCTGCAATCGGATCCCCGGCAGCGTTGGATGCCTGCAGCGCTTCCACCCGGTCTACAAGACTCTGGATCTTGCGCTCATTGTCAGAGAACACGTTCATTCCCAGATCGAACCCAGCCATCATTTTCGCCATGCGCTCGGCCTTTTTCTTATCCTTTTCATCCAGAGCAGCGCTGGTTTCCCTGGCGCTCATTCTAACATCGAGAAGTTGTTGTTTCAGTTCGTCGAGTTCTGCTGTGAGTTCAGCGTTGGCCTCCTTCAGCGTGTCCATGGTAATTGACGCCTCCTTGCTTTCATATGAGACCTTCTCCAACTGCATCCGCAGTTCGTTGACCTCGGCATTAAGTTTCTCATTATCTTTACCCGTCCGGATCGTATTTTCCTTAAGGAATTTTAACTCCTCCTTCTTCTCTATAAGATCTTTTTCCGTGTTGGCAATATGCGTCTCCTTCTCTGAAATTTGATCCTGCAGTTCATTCTCCCGTCGTAAGAATTCTTCCCGCTCGTCTTTCTCAAGTAGGATGCTAGGCGTGCTGGAGCGTTCGCCAATCCTTGAATCAGGCCTGCTGGGGGTCTCTGATCTTGAGACATCCTTTTGTAGGCGAGACGGCGTCCCGGGCCGAGGAGTCCCCCGCAGTTCGGCCCTCATGTTGCTCAGCCCATCAGAGGATCTAGCAGGAGTCCACCGTTCCCTCGGTACCGTCTCCCCAGTCCGCCAGATGTGTACCTCCGACTCAAGCGCATTAATATAAGTTTCAAAAGTGACAACCTGGGCCTGGGCTTTTTTAAGCAGCATTTTAAGCTCTGTGGGACTTAACTCCGCGTTAATCTTTGCCTTGTTCTTAATTGCTTTGGCCCGTACTCCGAAACGGAGCGTACTTATCGTTTCAGCATCGTTGTAGCTGCTTGGGGAACAGTTGATAATCAAAGTCGTCCGCGAGTTACCACCCAAACTCTCCTGCAGGATCCGCGTAAGCTTCGAGTCGCGGTAAGGGATATGTGTCGATTTGCCATCCGTCAGTGAATTGATGACCATCCCTAGCGCGCTCAAACTTTTGTTGATCTTCTTGGCTTCCTCCAGCGTCTGGCCGCTGGCGCCTGTTTTACCGACCTTTTCACTACCTGCAAGATCGACGAGGAATAGCTGGCCGCTCTTCGCAGAGCCCGTTTCCACGTTCTTCTGCGTGATAGTGATGACGAAAATCGAATGGGACCGCGAAGACTCCTGGTTCATATTGGTTGCAGCTACGGCCCTCGCCGCATCGCCCCTGCGCATGACTTCGTAGACCTCCTGCACGCTGGAGACGTAAATTTCCAACAGGCCTTTGACGTAAACACCACGCGACTTCTCTTCGTGGATGGGGAGGTTGTCGTTATGTGGCACCAGCAGATCCCTAATGCGCTCCATATAGATTTCCATATAGCTTACGCGAACGGTATACTCGATGTTTCCCGGGCTAGCAAGGATGCTCGCAAACATCTGTTCCACGATACGTGGGATAATGCCCTTACCTACTTCATCGTCGATATCCGAACCCATCATCGTGTAGGATTTTCCGGCACCAGTTTGTCCATAGGCGAAGACGGTTCCATTATAGCCATTCAGGATGTCGTCGACGGTGGAGCGGATGGAGAAATCAAAGACGTCCTGTTGTTTGGAGTCCATTCCAAAAACACGGTCGAACGTGAAGGCCCCCGCGGCCTCTTTTGACTATTGTTCCAAAAGTCGGACGATTTAGTTTGTGCCTGAGGACAAGGAACAACAGGGTGGAAAGGAAAGAATAAAGAAGCAAAAGTCTCAAGCTTACATTGATCTTGCATGTGTCATCACTTTCGAACTCAACAATGGGCTCCCCTCCACTGGCAAGTTCGACTTTGTTCTGGGGCCGGAATCTGGCAACAACTGTATTGATGTATGAGCATGATCACTGTATATGTTGAGGGAATAAGCGAAAAGAAAAATGTAATAACGATAATAACAATATTATCAACAATATCAACAATAGTGTTGATGTCATACCCTTGATGGTGTTGGTGCTGCCCGACCCGCTCGAACTGTGTGCGAATGTCAGCAACCAGAAAGAATAATTGACATTGGCAGATATATGGCAATGAGATTCCGTGTAAGGGGCTGGCATATTGGAGAAACTGTTTGTGGTTTACATACGCCATGGTTGCTCAACTATAGGCACTGGACCGTCACCGTTCACCGTTCTTTCACACTGGTAGGACGAAAGCAAAAACGAAAGCACTGAGCCCACGAAGGGCAGGGTGCAAGCGTATCCCCCCAAACTAAACTATTGAGCGATGGTCTCAGTGGAGGACAAGTGGTGGTGGTGTTGGAGGAGAGGACTGAGGTGGCTGACAGGGAGAGTGTCTAATGAGCCAGGGCTCGAGTTAGGTTGGCTCTTGACGCGTTAAAACCGTGTCGTGAAAGAGCAGAGAACAGGCACAGCGGAGATGCGTGGGAAGTGCCCCGCGGCATGGATAGCGATAGAGAGGTGTGTAGATTGGGCGAGGCGGTCGTACGCTGCGTAAAGTTAATGTGCTAACTAGAGGATGTTTTTGCCAGGCTATTAATAAGGCTACACATGGCTTGGCATCACCGTCTTATCCAGACATCACAATCTGAAACACCTCAGGGGATGCAATTTAATATTGTGGTAGTTATTTAGATTATCGGATGTATGTCCATATGTTTTGTGTCGAAGACTGCGCAACAAGTCGTCCTCTATTAAACAGACTCTTCTATACATTTTGCTCCTCCATTGTGCTGGGCGGCCTGGGTGCCACTGATGATATCGACAACGCAATATTTTCTTACTATTAAACTATTCCCCTTTCCCTTACGAGCTTGGATTTTCAAATGTTTCGACACTCACAAATCCCACTCCTGCGATTCATTGTTGTTATTGTTATTGTCATTGTTGATGTTTTAAAAAAAAGACATGTAAACAAACTTTACCTGGTTGCACTAAACTCTAAAAAACCATAATGTAATACGCGACGGAACATACCCAAGCCGTGGGATGGCAATGTTATTATGGTGATTGTAGACCATATAACATAAATGATTGGCGATATACAAGTACCTTATCGCTAACTTGATTAAATTGTCTCTAAGGTACCATCCAGTGAGTGGGAGTAAAGTATCAAGCGGCCAGAGTTTGTATGTCTGTAAGCCTATGGCGAAATATTTATCAATTCAATTACAATTCAACTATTTCCCGCTGTTCAGTATTTATATAGGGCAATAAACAAGGAAAATATAGACTGATTAGAGAAGAGCTAGGCTATGGGTTGGAAAAAAAAGTGGACAAGAGGAAGAGAAGATACCGATGGTTATATATGTGGAAGAATAAGCAGCAGCGCCAGAACCCCATGCTGAGAAAATATGGAAGCCTCGAGTTCAGGAGGCAAAGAGGAACAGGAAAAATTAAAAAATGCAGCAGAAGAAGAAAAAGTCAGACAAAAAGGCAATCGATTCAATAACAAGGTATCAATCAAACATCATTTCCATTGCCATGCATTTTATGACAAGAGGAATAAAAGGAGAGAAGGGATAATGCGGCAGTGATGGAAGTGCCAAAGAGAGGGGAGGTAGGCACAAGAATTGCCACGGTGCGGTGGTAAAATATTGCTAAAAAAAATCATCCACAAGTCATGATCAAGTTGCAATGCTACGGTCCATCGATCCAAGGGTACTGGCGGAAGCGTTGAGTCGATAGGTTTCGGATATTAATCTTCCCAGCTCTTCTCTACTGTTTCCCGTACTCGTTTCGTATATTCGCGGCGGTTGTCCTTGTAGAGATTGGACGCTTCCACATTGGCTGGTGACGATGTGTTGGGGTCGTTAAGCAAACTGGATTGAACAGAATCTGATTAGGATTGATTTCTCTCGGCAGGAGGTAGCATTGAACTAGGAAATATTTTCAGCGAACAATACCTTTGGATACTGGTTAAGATAGCAGCAACGTCATATGTTGGACTCCAGCGGTTCTGCAATATATCCAAACACAGCTCCCCGGTGCCGTAAACGTTTGGATGGAACATCTGGCTGACGAATTTCACTCCAGGGGGCTTGTTTGGGTATTGTTCTTCAAAGTGCATGACGAGGCGGAATGTGCCATCTTCAAAGGGAGTGTCCGCCGGACCGATAATGACGGCATTCCAAGTCATGACATTATCTGCGATAGGAGAGGCGGAGACACCAGCCGGGGGGTCTGTTTGCATACGCTATCCAGAGAGACGTGAGTTAGTTGGGAAAATCCATGTTAGCTAAAATAAATGGAAGATAGTACCTTGAAATCCCGCATCAAGCGGCGGCGAGCAGCGGTGGACATGGCGAGGGTACAGAATCAAAAGTGTTTGATATACCCAGGAAGTTTGTAGGCTGCAAATGGACAGAAACGGTGTTCAGAAGCGGTAGAATGAAGTGGAAGGAATCGGAAGGAGGCTTGATCGGGTTGAGGAGAATTGACGAATGGGACCACAGCAACAACAATGTAGCGAGTAGTCAGGTAGAGGAATCAGGGATCGAAGTGAAGGGTTGAGGTTTGTTTAAGTTGCACGAAAGATGGTTTACGGTATACACTCAAACGGACGGTTATAAGCTGGGGATGGATGGATAAAAGGTACAGCAACACGGTGGATGATGACAATTAAGGTGCGTACAGAAGAGTCGACCTCGCTAAGTAAGCCACCAGACCTCGTTATGTAATCAGATCTAGCTAGTGCAGCCCGTGCACCTACAGAACTCTTAAAATATATAAATAATGTAATAATTTTCAATTAATTGAAAATTTATTAAAAATCAATTGAATATTAAAAACTATAAAATATAAAATATTTTTAAATATAATATAATAGTGATAATATATATATATATCTAGTGGTTATATGCAGTGGCGTTGATGGCTGAGTGACTGCGCCTCTGCATATAACCTGGTTATTGTGAAGGCTCGGGTTCGAACACGCCGTAACCCGACCCACCTATATCTAGCTACCAAACTAACTTAGTTAAGTTAGTCGGATAACTAAAGCCATTGAAGCTTCTCTGTTTATATAAGCCGATCTTGGCTGCCCCGCGATCACATGCGCCTTCAGAGCTCCATCACAGAACCAACTAAATTGAAAATCTCATCTCAAAAGCCAACTTCAGGCGAAAGCTTGGTGTTCTGAGCAGGTTGACCCGTTACTATTTTAGAGCTATATTTTTCCCAGCATTCCCTCCTTTTCTATAATTTTTCGCAGCGTCTTTGTTGCCTATATACTCGCCCTCTACCCCACGACGACCAGCCGTTGGATTCCGAGTTTCTCAAAACTAGGTCAAGTCAATTATGCTGGAATCTTAGCCTTCTGAGGACAATGAGCTGGCGAGGCTCAGGGTAATCCTTACTCTATCTATTACCAGCCCGGTATCCATAATTCCCGCTACATTGCTAATCACCACCGTCGGACCTGCCTCCTTCAAGACGCATTGTTATAAAAACTGAATTCTGGTGAGGTATCCCTCACGGCAGCTATGGGGAAACCTCCGGCTGTGATCATTATTGCGAGGTTAGTTGGTGCCGATTTGTAGTTTACTTACTTTCCGTTCTCTTTTTGCTACCCAACTATTGCTGTAAGGGGGCATTTTTGCTGATTGAGCCTCAGGCACGGTGCTCGGTTGGATGCGGTGGACAAACAGTGGCATTTAACATCGCCCACACCTTACGACCCTCCTCTTACATATGGTGGTTGGAATCAAGCCCGTGCACTCGGTATTCGGATACGGGACCTTCTTCGAACTAGAGAAAAGTTGGTGCGGCTGGGCACGAATGGCGGCGAGGAGAGCCAATTGAGTAGAAAGCAAAGAATAATTATCCACACTTCACCCTTCCTCCGCTGTGTACAAACCGCTATCGGAGTGAGCGCGGGTATGAGGCTTAGCAAGCATTCTCCTCTTGACTGTAGTCAATCTTCACAAAACAAACATCGTCGATTGCATTCAGGCTCCCCCGCCGCTCGAGGCAGCGATTCCAACCAGCTTTCGGCTATCCCAGAACCGAGCATTGGCCTTGCTCTCTCCAAGCTAACCCCCGAGTCGCCTAGCACACCTGTCCCGAAATACAAACTTCGACTTGACGCATTTCTTGGGGAATGGCTCACGCCAGACTACTTCGAGCATATTTCACCTCCCCCGGGTTCTATGATGATGATTGCCTGTGCGAAAGCGGAACTTTTGCGTCGCGGTGAACCAATCGAAGCTGGTCTTGAGGCTGACGGGAAATCAATGTTCGGCAACTTCCCGGGAGGCTGGATTAACCCGTTTGCCAGCGGCGCGGCAAAACATCAAGAAGCCGAATCCGGTGATGGAAGTGAAAAGAATAGTGGAGCTTTCAAGCATGGGGCGCCCAAGACTTATGAGCTTGCGCACAGGAATCGCTCTGGCAGCTTCGATACGGGCGCAAATGGTGGTATGAAGCCATCAGGAGCTGGAATTTCGAAAATCGCAGCAGATATCCCAGCAGGCTATCCGGGATACGTACCTCCCATCCCAACTTATGCTATTTCGCCATCGGATCCGATTCCTACGGGCTACGTATCCCATGCTCGTGACGCCTGCATTGACATTGATTCCCAATGGGATAGCATGCGCGATCCTCAAAATTGGGGCAGTGGGGGGGAATATGGTGAAGAATGGAGCGCGATGCATCAGCGATTCCGCAATGGACTCAAACATATGATAGACTGGTACAGATCTGAAGGTCCGGGAACAGCTGATCCCTCTAATGCGATTTCAAAGGAAGGGGATGCCATGGAGACAGTTTTAATTTTAATATCTCACGGAGCTGGTTGCAATGCGCTGATTGGTGCATTAACGGGTCAACCAGTTCTGCTTGATGTCGCCATGACTTCGTTGACTATGGCAGTCAGGAAGCCTGAAACTGCAGAGCATTCTGGGCAGGGAACCGCAATTGTAGCGACTTCCAAACAAGACTCTCCGCCCAAGGAGTTAGCAGACGAGTATGAGATGAAATTCGTTTCGTCGACGGAGCATCTCCGAACGACCGCCAATTCTTCCCATGCGCCCCAGGCGTCCTCGCCGTGGGGCTTCCCAACCTCCAGCTCCGCGTACCACCGCAGGTTCGTGTCTACTTCGGGCTCCACCAAACCTCAGGAAAATTTCACTATCGGGGATTCTTTGACTCGAAAACAAGGCAATTCAGAGGCAACATCCCCGCCGTACTTTTGCAGCAGTTCTGCAAGCAAATCGCCATCCTCCGGTCTTTGGGGCGCTGGGTCAAGTATTTCAGCCGATCGAACTGAATCAGTAGACGATCTGGTTCCCAATTTCGAGGATCCAAAACCAATATCTGCTTCGAGGGAAACGGCAAGTCCGCGGCCACAGGTCTCATCGAGATTGTTATCCCAGCATGGTCTATGGGGTAGCGTCTCGACCCCTGAACGTGAGCTACCGATAAAACGCCGATGGACGATGAGCGAGCGGAATATATGAGAATAAAATAGATTATTGGTGTTTATTTATCCTTCTTAATTCTAATGGTTTTATTTCGGGCACCACTCCTCTTCTCACATAATTTTTCCTCTTGAGGTTATATTTCGGGAACTGCTCGATCTCGGGTATTATAACTTGCTATTTGTTTGTTTTTTGCATCTTCTGCGCTATATGTGTGGAATAGGATAGTACCAAAGTCCGGTTTTCTTACTCAATGACGAGTCTTCTTTTCCATTCCCCAGGTTTTGCATTTTCCGACGGGCGTAATTACCCCAAGCTATTATGCATTTTTCGGTTCTATAAAAGATATGCTTTTCTGTTGACTGGCGGGAGTTTAATTGGAACTCATTTGCTGATTACTCGGTTCGGGATATATCTTTATTTATTAATGCCACGAATAATGAATGAAATGATATGATCATGTACCTGTACTGCTGCATAACCATAACGTATGATTATGCAATATCTATGTCAATTGAAATATTGCGATCAAGGCTCACCCCGCTTGTATAACAGAGAAATCACCGATTTGGTGAAAATGACTCAACATGGGGATGGTTCTATCGACTCTGGAATGAGATTATTGTGAATGAATGAACCAATCTCGGAGCTAACAGTCGCAGCGGAAGCAATAATAGTAGCAAGAAAGATACAACAAATCCAAGTGTGTGTGACATTGAGAAAAACCAACTCTGTTGGTGGACGCTTGCTCCCGGATTGCATAGTTTGGCGGTTTGTCGGATGAACAGGAGAACTCTTCCTTTGAAACTCCCACTCTCAGTCTGCGTGTCAATAAAGAAATCAGAGCTCTCTAAGCAATTTTAGATAGACCAAGAAATCCCACAGCACATCGAACCTAACACGCTGAATATTGAATCCATCAATATCACGATATACGATGTCGCCCACCGAGGAGGCGGGGCTCTCCACCACCTACGACTGCGGGCGAACAGGGCCGCCAGACCTCCGCCTGCTCCATTACAACGACGTCTACCATGTCGAGTGAGTAAGATACTCCTCTAATTGCATCATTTACATTACAACGTAACCTCCTCAACTCAAACTAGAGCCGGCTCTGCAGAGCCCATCGGCGGAACCCCGCGCTTCCAGACCCTCATCAACTACTACCGCAACCACCCCAGATTCGCCAACCTGCCGCCGCTACTCACATTCTTCTCAGGCGATGCTTTCAACCCCAGTCTCGAGAGCTCTGTTACGAAAGGACGCCATATGGTGCCATTCCTCAACCAGGCCGGCACCGATGTTGCATGTATTGGGGTGAGTGAATATACTAAATGTTGATCATTGTGTCTGAACTAATGGAATTTCATTTATTAACAGAACCACGATCTGGACTTTGGAGTTGAGCAATTTCAGCATCTGAGGAACCAGTGCAAGTTTCCATGGCTGCTGGCGAACGTGCTTGACCCTGCGCTGGGCGACGGGGTGCCGTTGGCCAATTGTCTTAAGACGTGCATGCTGGAGTCCAACGGGGTGAAAGTTGGAGTTATTGGACTTGGGGAGAGGGAGTGGTAAGAGGAAAGAGAATAGAAAACAATTACCATGCTCTTCTTCATAGGTTTATTTTGATACAAATGACTGACACATCGTAAGCTGACAACTTTTCTATTTTTAGGCTGGATACAGTCAACGCGCTTCCACCTAATATCATATACAAATCCGCGTCAGAAACTGCAGAGGAACTAGTGCCCAGCCTGCGCGCACAAGGTGCTCATCTCATCGTCGCCGTGACCCATCAGCGAGAACCGAACGACAACAAATTGGCGACCAGGACCCCACCAGGCCTCATTGATATCATACTAGGCGGCCATGACCATTTCTACGGACACAGCCTCATCAATTCTACACATGTACTCCGCTCGGGAACGGATTTTAAACAACTAAGCTACATCGAAGCATGGCGGAAGACGGACGATAGCGGGTGGGACTTCTCCATCACCCGCCGTGACGTGGTTCGAGCAATACCGGAGGACCCGGCAACAGTAGAGCTGGTGGACAAATTGACCTCAGCACTGAAGGCAAAACTCCAGAAACCAGTCGGCTACACAGCGAACCCGCTGGATGCGCGGTTCTCGACTGTGCGGAGGAAGGAGTCTAACCTTGGCAATTTTGTATGTGACCTGATGCGGTTTCATCATCATGTGGATTGTGCGATGATGGCATCAGGAACTATTCGTGGGGATCAGATATATCCTCCCGGACCTCTGAGGGTGAAGGATATTCTCAGCTGCTTCCCCTTTGAGGACCCAGTGGTTGTGTTACGAGTGACGGGGCGGGCGCTGAGAGCCGCATTGGAAAATGGTGTTTCCCAACTACCAGCTCTCGAGGGACGTTTCCCCCAGGTGTCAAACATTCAATATGGATACTCACTTTCTGCACCAAGTGGATCCCGCATTGTGTTTGTTAAATTAGGGGGAAAGGATCTCGAGGATGAAAAACTGTACACGCTCGCGACACGCGGTTACATGGCGCGGGGGAAGGATGGGTATACGGTTCTCCTTGCAAAGTCCGAAGGTGGGGAAGTGGAAGAGATCATCTCTGAGGAAAACGGGACTCTGATCAGCACTATTCTCCGACAGTATTTCCTCAGTCTCAAGGTACTTGGCAAATGGAATCGGCTAGGCCCCAGCATGCATCGTCACTGGGACTCCGTGAATGAACGCTGGCACGGGCCTGGCTGGTTGGAAGCCACCTCCCCGCTTGCCTCTCCAGAAAAGCAGCCCGAGAAGCGAATCTCAAACCCAACCATAAGCGGCAATGCCAGCCCACCAAGATTTTCCAGCTTCCAATACAATCCACGACCCAAACAACAACCGGGTAAAACACAGGATCAGGTCTCACGCCGGGACCAGCCGGATGACATTGGCAGAGACAGTATCAGCGAGGATGAGAGCACCATGGATTCTGAATCCGACTCAGAACCTGAGGTGTTAAGTTGGCCATGTACCTATGTAACAACGGCTGCTCTTTCTGTCGAGGATGCAGACCACAGGGAGATAGTGGCTCGACAATTCGTCCGAAAATGGCAACGGAAAGCCGGACTTAAACCTGACAAAATACAATTAGTGGACCGCGTAACGGACGGATGTTCGCCAGCGTGGACACGGGCTATTGCTCCAGTGGTGGAAGGAAGGATTGTCCAGGTTGATAGGGAACAAGACTGAAGGAAAGTTAAACTCGAATTCAAGGGGCGGAACGATGGCAGAGTCAACGCGTTTGGAACGGGTACGGGTTGGGCTTGAGTCTGGATATTGACTTTTTTTTTTTTTTGTATCAAGATATTGAAATGCACAGGTCGGAAAATAAGAAAAAAGAAAGAGAAAAATAAAAAAGAAAAGAAAAATTAGGTCTTGGCTAGTGGGCATTAATCGGGATGAAGGCAAATGCCAGATCGGAATAGATTGCACAGTCTCTACATCTTGATTTTCACTTGATTGTACAGACCACAGTACATCACTTTATTGTTTCAGTAGATAGTTATTCTAGTAAACAATTTAAAAACCAGTTACCAGACTCTTGGAATATTGCCGTCGTCTACGGAAAACCTTCACCACGGTTGAAGAAGAATATGAGGGATAATAATCATCAGAAATAGCATCTTCAACTTTTCCTTTGCAGCACCTGGGACCTATTAGGGTTCGCACCATCCTGGACCATCCTGGGCCATCCAGCGCCCGCAGCCCTGCATCAATCCCCCCCATTGGCATCAGCGTATGTTGCTTGTGCTGGATACCTTCGGCACTGCCTGAACAAACTCCCCAGCCAATGTCGATAGAGCTGTGGCAACAAGCCCAGATGATGTTACGTTGTGGCTCCCTGGCCGCATACTGATGGCGCAGATCCCCCGACTCCCAAGGGCATAGTCTGTGCTGATAGACTCATAGTGTGCGCAGTAATCGTCTCAGCCGGACGATTGCGACGGTTAAATTTTCTTTGTCTGCCTGCCAGGCCTATCACAGCCCGCACAGTCGGTTTAAAGTTGTGGGATGTCGCCCTTGCAAAGTTGGAAAAGGCAATCCTGACATGGATTTCATGGATTTCATGGATTTCATGGATTTGAGTCTCTTCGTCTGGAGATCGAACGCCCCCTCAGGCTTCAAGCCCTGGGGACATCCGACTACTGTGTAATCTGTACATCACTCACAGCCCGTGGCGCTGCAGACCCAACCTGGGCCCAACCAAAGCCAAACCCTTTCTTCTGGTGGAACTTGCGCAGGCTAGTTCAACTCGACTGACTCCGGGAGCCTATGAAATAGCAGTCCATCGTTTCGGGGCGAACGCCGCCGCTACGGTGATGACATGGGCCTGTTCTAAACAAAAGCTAACTGAATTGCCCGCCATGAATTCAAAATCCCCCACTGCAAAGTCGATTCCTTCAAGTGACGAGTGATCAGATATTTATTAGCTCGCCTCGCATCCGCCGCAGATTCCAAAGACGGCTTTGGCCGCCCTCCGTCTATCGCCGCCCTCTAAGTCATTTCCCACCATCTTTCCGACATCTCTCCCTGATAAGAAATCACAGCACACACACACACACACAAAAAAAAAAAAAAAAAAAAAAAAAAAAAAAAATCAATCAATCAATCAAACCAAACCAAACCAAATTCTCTATTTTTGACTTCCTGATATTATTTTAATTTCTAGTATTTGTTCTTAGCCTTCCGATTTCGAAGCGAAGTTTGGTCTGCGCGCATCACGATGGAGTTGGACGGCGAGAGGGTTTCGGACCGCAGCAGAGTCGAGGTTGACGAAGTACGGCCTTCCTCATAACTCGTCCGGCTTTTGTCGTCCATTAATTTGAGCTTGGATGAATATATGCATGCTCTGAATCACACTCCTGGGAATGTTCGCTGATATCAGCTTGAGGCAGTCTTCTGCGGAAAACAGAGCAACACTGAGCGAGGAGCTGTATGCTACCATTGTTTTTGTTTTCATCTCGAACTTCCCATTTTCCTTCCATGTAAAAAAAAATAAAAAAAAAAAAAAAAAAAAATCTATATCTACACTGGTGACCCTTCTTCTCATCGTATCAATCAAGGCTGGACTTTACCGAATCTCTCCACTCCTCCATTGTCCACTACGAATGGAAAAACGGTAGACGGTATCGAGAGGGAAGTGCGTAAACCGTTTTCGTATTTTTGGCCCCCGAAATTACCATCCAAGTTTGCCGGCATCTAGCGATTGGTGGTATATTTATCTGACGCTGACGAGACATATATACAGACTACAAGTTCCCCAATGACGAACGGGAACAAGATCGACTCAACCTCGTCCATTATGCGATTTACTATCTGTGCGATGAGAAATTGTTCATGGCGCCGTTCAACCCGGACGGGAAGAGAATTTTAGATACAGGAACGGGAACGGGCAAGTGGCCGATTGAAATGGGTACGGATGCGGGAATATTTAATCCGCAGCTGCTATTTTTTTTTTTTTTTTAAGTCAAGTTCCGCGCGCTGCTAACTCGTGTGTGGTTTTGCAGGGGATCTATATCCCTCAGCAGAATTGGTGAGCATTTCCATATGGGCAATTTTTCGGTATTTTACTAGGAAAGAAGAGCCTGTTGAAACGAATTAATTGCATAGACTGGCGTCGATTTAAGTCCGATACAGCCGCGATGGTGAGGAGCAATGTTTTTTTTCATAGCCCTTCTGTGATATTTTCCAGAGCTAACCCTAAGGCAGGGCACCGCCGAACGTCAAATTCATAGTCGAGGATATCGAGGAAGATTGGATAGAAACAGAACAATACGACTTCATACACTGCCGGTATTTGATGGGATCTATCAAGGATTGGCCACGATTGGTGAAAAAGTATTATCAGTTGAGTTAAAACCTAACCATAGGATAAGTGATATGCGTATCGTTCCTTTACTTATTTAGTTATTGAAAAAATTAGACATTTAAAGCCAGGCGGCTGGGTGGAATTCAAAGACTCAACATCCACCATATTTTCTGAAGATGGCAGCGTCACGCCTGACTACAAGGTGGGCGAAATGCTTCGGAATCTGAGGCTGGCATCGGAGAGAATAGGCATAACCATGGATCATGCCCCGTCACTGAAAGGCTGGATGGAACAGGCCGGATTTACAAATATCGAGCAGCGCACAATGAGGTTACCGATAGGCACGTGGCCAAAGAATAAACGCTTGGTGAGAACACCACATTCTCATTTTCTGTCCCACGTTCTCTCTCGATGTGGTCCTAGTCTAACTGTAAACGGTCCCGGCAGAAACTCATTGGGGCAATGATGGCGTCACACTATCTCGAAGGGGTGGAGGCATTCACGCTCATTCCATTTACGGAGATACTAGGCTGGACCACAGCGGAGGTTGACGAACTGAACGCGCAGGTCCGCGCTGCTGTGCAGACGAAGGGAGTCCATCCATTGCATATCTAGTGAGTGCCTGTTTTTAGCATTGATTCCTGTCTGCCCATCGTGGTGATTTTTCATTTTCTTCTTCTTCTTTTTTTCTTTCCCAAAACTGATATCGAGGCAATAGTTATGTCGTCTGGGGTCAAAAACCCGAAACATAAGCAGACATGAATGAAGTTCTCGTGTACAAAGTGCGTACGTACTTTTTACATACAACAGCTCTCTGAGAAAACAGCCAGCGGTCACTGCATGAATTTATTTTGTCTCCGGGGTCCGCTCTTTTAAACAATCGGCGTTTGTATTGCTGTTTTCACGATGGGCATGGTTCAATCGTTTTCATTTCACTGTCAGCATATGAGAAGGCGCATTTCGCAGCTTACTTTTTTCTTTGTTCCCCTTCATTCATTTTGCTCCCCTGCCTTGGGGATGTTTGTAATGATTTGAGCATCACCAATATAATTCCACATCAACCGTTAAAACAAGTTGCGCAATTTTAAGAAAGAGAGAGAAGAGCGGAAGCAGAAAAGGATTCATCGCTTCATCCGCGGTCGGTTGAACAACCTCTCAACACATGGACGAAAGAATCCCGACACTCCATATTCCTAGCGAGCTAGCACTATTTATTTCTCGCTGCAGAAGCATTTGGCAACAAACAACGTCAATTATCCTGCTGGATATGAGGGTTACCAGGGGTAGGCATTAGCTTGACCTGATTGCTGGCGCCATCTGGCTTGCAAGAATGAGCATTTTGAAGCCGAGGGAGGGGCCCGTGTTGTTCTGGGTTCAGGGATTATTAGGTGGTGCGGATGGCTGTGTTGTGCATAGTTTTTACGTCGCTTTCATGGGATAGTGATGAATTCGGGTTCTTGGCATCCCCGCAGCACATACGGAGTACGGATTACAATGTACTGTACGGAGTACAAACACAGAGTAACACGTATTATGATTATCTGGCTGATCTACATCCGTGTCGAGTGTTGGAGTTCTCACCATATTGACGCAGTCTACAGGCTCCCGAGCCCTAGGGTGAATGACATTGAAAGCGTTGTAATAATTTGAGTTCGAGTCAGTGATTTGATGAAAAGTAAACTAACGGGCCAGGGCAGCGAACGCCCTGGGACACACCGTGCCCAAAACCCCGCTCGACCTCTGACTGGTGGGAGATGTCGTTTTATTGGTGCTGTACCGAGTCTTTTGCTCCGAACTGTTGGGTTGTGAATTTACTGTCAAATCTTGCAATTTCCGCTAAAACAAAGCTAAATCGCGCTGCATCCGCCGCTCGCTGATTGGAGCCATGGGATGAGACTTCCGGGTCAAGGGGACAAACATGCACAGTGGATGTTACAGTACCAATCTCCCGGGATACCAACAGCAAGTCACTTATCGATGCCTTCTCCATACTATTTCGTTTGGACAATTGCTCATAATAAGGTGCTCAAAGTCATCATTGAATCAAAAGTGACTGATGAGTAAACCTCGTCGTCTGGCATGCACCGCCCCATCGCGCCAAATCTGCTTCCCACCCTGTTCAACAACAGCCTTCTTACGGAGTAGGTTGAGGTGTGACCCGCCCGGCCCATCCCAGAGCAATGGGAAGGCCTGGGCCCATATTTCGTTAGCCATTGCCTGTGCCGCCACCAGTCGGCCTAGCGGCGGTGGGACGGGATGCGGAAACATCTATGCCCCGGATGAACCAATGCAAACAATGACAAGGAAATAACCTCACCAGCCGTGATGATGGGGAGGCAGTAACCATGATATCGGGTGACAAGTTCTAAGTCCGGCAAACATATTTGGATGGTATTCCCTTTCAAGCTTTCTGTAGCTCTTTAGCATGGCGGTATCCAGCAAACCTGCCTTCATGCATTGAGAGAAAAAGGCGTAGAAACGAGAAGCCATTGCGTATTTCTGTTCACAGCGTTCTTGGAATATGTGGCGCAAGTTGAGCTTGGTGGATGCAGGTCTAGATGAAGAGGCCAATGCTATTTTCTTGGAATGTGAGAATATCTGCTTCAAGAGGAACGCATGGATGGAGCAATGGTAAGGGTACTGGAGGCTGATGCACACTATCTATCAATCTGCAAGTCGCAGTGTGCCGTTTTCAGGAGCAACGCTCTGGTACCTTAGCTTAATGGTAGTTTGAGTTTCGAAGTTCTGTAAAACGACGGAAGCCTGTTGTTTGCCAAGGATAGGAGACATGAGTTCTTCATGGATACGAAAGACGCGGATCAGTTGTCTGATATGCCGCGGCCGCATTTGTTTACAGACGGAGTTTCAGAGAAATCATTTGTATATGACCATACTTTCTTTAATTCGCTTTGGTTTTTTCTTTCTTTCTTCACTCACTCTCGCTCTCTCTCCCCTTTTTTTTTCTTTTTTCTTTTTTCTTTTCTTTTCTTTCTTTCTTTCCTTTTTTTTTTTTTTTTTTTTTTTTTTTTTTTTTTTTTTTTGGTTCTTCATTTTGTTTTTCTTTTTGATGCTGACTCTTTCTATCACAAGCTTTGATACTTTGGAAAGAAACTTCAAATCTTCCATAGTGCACATTATTAATGAACCTCTATTTTCTATTTCACTGCGGATAAAGTCAAATCATTGATGATATGGCATACGCTGCGTACATACCCAGAGAGAAGCATCCATTCATAGATAAGGACGATTAGGCAACTCAATGTTATCCATGTCGACAACTCAATAATAGAGTCTAGTCTTCAAGCTTATATAGAGATACATAGAAGCTGGACAACCGACCTCGAACTTAGAAGACCAAAAATACACATTATGTTGTGCGAATGATAAGAGATCTCATGGGAACATTGTAAACCATTATTTATGAGAGTATGAATGAGAAAACAATTCTGGGCTCAAAGAGCATACACATCATCCGTTTGAAACGGAAAATCATTACTCTGCATGTGCATGCGTGTTGGGCGCTCTTTAGATGTAGCATCGGAGGAATTCATGACCAGCATCTACGAATATGGCATATCTTCATATCTGCAGAAGGAAACAAGCCAGAGATGCTGTCGATTTTGAGGTTTCCAGAGGGAGCGATACAGCAATACGAGGGGTAAACTCGTCAGTGGAAAGAGGGCTTTGTTATGGAAGCATTTTCCAACAAAGAACTGTACTGAAGCTTGGGTTAGGAGAAACGGTCCAGAGGAACCAAAGATGACAGACCATATCCGTCAGTGCCGAACGAGGTATGCACATTTATAACAAACTGATCCTGCTGGTGCTAGGAACCGCTTCCTTAAAGTGGAAAAGTTTTCAGTTTGATAGTTAGAGATGGTTGTGTTCCAAGGTTGGCTTATCGATCACGTGAATATGTTTTCTAGATCACGTGGTGATAAGTATTCAAAAAAAAATTAGAACTTGTTAAAACTTCTCAACCGACAGTTAGGAAGGAAGAATATCCTATTACATGCAGGTCTGAGGTGCTCCAAATTGGATTAGAGGTGGTGAAACAGCACATCGATCTGTCATTTAATTGCCATGCCTATCGACACTGAGACGACCTCTGCTCCGGCGCAGTCCCTATCAAGTTCTCTGGAAACCCTCACCGCGACGTTCTCAAGTGCGCTCGCATCCCTCCCGACCTCCCTGCCACACGAAGATGTTTCAGGGAACAATGCATCCATATTACCTCCTCTGGATGGTATCTCACTTCTCGACACAAAGAACGAAATATTCCTCTCCTATCTTCAAAACCTTATCTTTGTGATGCTTCTACAACTGAGGAAGTTGCCCATGAGGAGATCAGGGGACGGAATGAATGGTGAAGGAAAGGGGAAAGTCACGGATGCACCTCCATACAGTAATGTTGTGAAAAAATTGACAGAGCTGCGGGTGTTTTTAGAACGTGGTGTGCGACCATTGGAAGGCCAGTTAAAATATCAGGTTGATAAGGTGCTAAAGGCAGCTGATGATGCCGAGCGAAATCAACGAGACACTGTGTTTAAACAACAACGGCTCCGGAAAGGAACACAAGAACCGGGAGATGAAGATAATAGTGGAAACGGAAGCGAAAGTGAAAGTGGATTAGGAAGCGACTCTGACAGTTCTGAAGACAGTGATGAAGACGAAGATGTTGATGAATTGGCGTACCGACCTAACGTAGCTGCATTCTCACGGGGAACCCGAGATCAAGAGAAATCGAAAGTTCCGAGTAGGAGGGATGCCGGTGATGGTATCTATCGGCCACCCAAGATAAAACCCACAGCCCTCCCAACTACGACGCCAGATAGTCGCGAGCAAAAACGAAGCCGTCACACCGCCAAATCTGCCGTCATTGACGAATTCGTATCGGCTGAGATGTCCAGTGCACCCGTTGCAGAGCCTAGCATTGGCACGACGATCAGGGCTGGAGGAAGGATGGTGCGGTCCGAAAGGGAGAAGGCGAAGGAACTCGAAAGGCGAGCATATGAAGAGGGCAACTTCGTGCGACTGCCCAAGGAGAGTAAGAAGGAACGACAGGCGAAGCGCGGAGAAGGCCGCCCGGCTGGCTACGGTGGCGAGGATTGGAGAAGCCTGGGTGAAGGGGCAGATAGAATCGAACGACTTACGCGTCGTGGTCGAGATAGTGGCAGAAGCACTGCCCTGGACAAGAGCCGGAAGAGACGGGCTACGGAGGATGGCCCGAGAGGCGATGGCATAAATATTGGCGCGAATTTTGAGAAGCGCCGGCGGAAGATCGGGAGCTGGAAGCGGTAGCGTTCATTCCTGTATCATCTGAGCATCTGCCTCTATTCTATTATTCCCCACCAATGGAGTTGATATATATCCGGCAATTGAATGTCTAATTTGCATATCCCGAGTCGTAGAGGACGTCTTGCCAGAATACTCTTGAAATCACAACAGCACACTTGCACGGCTGACATGGCCGAATGGTTTTGTTAATAGGAAGCGCGGTTTGAGACTGGAGAGAATCACAGTCGATTCAAGAATCATTTCTTTGCTGACCTCCCTCAGCGTCGTCTCGGCCATTTCAGCCGGGCCCTTTAATCCTACAGGCACACTCTTAGATCATAGAGACCACACACTCTCTCTAGTACCAAGGCGGTCGAGAGCTCAGCTCCATTTTCTCGCTAGCGCATCACTCTTCCATTATCTTGCCAATCATGCCGCCGTTTCGGATATCCATTTTCCGATCTAACTCACAGTCGTACCTCTCATGTTGACCAGCACGGCCATCTGAAAGCCGCAAGTCATCGCTGATCCAGTTTGGGATGTTTTGACGTCTAAATCCCCGATCTGAGATTGTTGGCCTACCGGGAGAACGACAGAGACCGACGCAAGAAACGAGGATTTCATGTCCAGGGCCGCCCTTTGGCAAATCTGGTGAACGGCGGTTGAACGTCAGGTCGTTTTCTTTAACGGATATGATATTCCCGCGCAACTAGCAAGATTGCCAGCGCGGATCTCGCGGAACAGTCCCCAGTTCATTATGGGGAAATCTGTAAATATTACTGTGGCCGCAGTAGCATTGCCGGAGAGATCGTAGCCGAAAATCCTTTTCAGGAGCCATTCAGGGATCAAGGAAAGGCAGGTTTCTTGACCGAAGATGTTGGACGTGAGGATGGTAGCTACGACGATATTGATCTATTGATCTATATGCCTGGGCGAGAGAGGACATCGATTCCCGCTGCACTAGAGATTACTACAGATTCGAGAGCTTCAGTGGCGCTCGCAACACCCCGACTACTATCACACGTTTTCCTTTGGAGTTCTTTCCACCAATATTTTCAGTCTGCTAAGTTGGCCCCGAACTGATTTCGGTGACGAAATTGAGCTTTTTAGGATCCCCGCAAACGCCTGCGGCGGCAATAACGCCATCAAAAATTCCACACTTGGCTCCATAGTTGTTGTGATACATTCACCCTCATTGTTTTTGTCAATATATTGGATTGGCGTTTTGCATACGGTCTGCCGCTCGAGATCGCCATGCCTCCAAGTACTATCGATCTTCGTTTTAATTTGTGCTTGAGTGGGATATACACTGTTCCATTTTATGGCTGGGAGGAATTGGAACATGAGACTCGGAATCCGCAGTGCAGAAGTGAGTTTACTATCTACCATGGAACCTTTCAGTTCGACGGGCAGAGAATTTTAATTCCCGGATTTATATTAAAGCTGTGCACTCCGGATACCATCCAACTTTCTCCTACTTCATTCTGGCCTCCAAAGTTTTCACATCAAACCCATGACCAACGCAATGTGATGCTATGGAATACCGGTGAAACTGACATCGATAACGGCGATGTGAGGGGGCATTTTCCTTCTCGGAGCAACTGGTGGTAGAGGAATAGGGGCGAAGGCGAAAGCGGGGTTATCTATCCGAAAAGATAAAAGAGGTGGATGCATTGATACACTTGTGTTTAATTGAATGCTTTGTATGCTCCTTTATTGCCAATCATGGTCGATCAACGGATCCCGCTTGTTTGGCAGTGTGGATAGCACGCAGAAATTCAGCCTGCATAGTTGACAAATGTCAGAATTCTAAAATATCCTGGTAATCCATTGTGTCATGTCTAAGGATACAACTCAAACAAAGTAAATTGTATAACTTGAATCAGGAGTATATCGCCCATATCCGCCCCAATTCCAAGTTGTTGATTTTATGTCATTTTTATCCTGCAACGAGGCCCCGTACTTTAGGACATCTACGATTGTGCATTATTTCCACTAAATCCTTCTACGTTATGAAAGAGACTCTAATAGCCTACATGCAATACCATTGGCAATTCTATTACTAACTCCACTGAGCGGTTATGATAGGTTGTGAACATTTTGATTGCATTTCCACTAGCTGTCTAGATGCCGGCTAATTAACGATATCCTTTTGATTTTGTCGTTTAGGTTGTTCATCTGTTCTTCCCACCTCTGCCCCCAGTATCCGACATGCTCGTAATATTAACTCACTTGTTGTAGCGTCTATTGTTTACAACCATCTATTTAGGCGCAAGATGATCACACTTGATAGAGTTCACGTCTGCATGGACATCCCTTAAATAGGCTGGTGTATCCTTGACACCCGGAGCCAGCAGGTGCCTCACATAGCTGCCGGAGCAGTCGGTCGAACTGTCGATTGGGATAGCGGAAGAATTGAGTTAGCGGAAGCGTTAAGAGGGCTTAGGATGTATATAGAATAGTTGCTTTTGTGGGGAAATCCTCCATTGAAATGAGGGTGATGTAGATAAGTCAGTTGTTAATACAAACCTATAGTATGCACAAGATGTTTGGAATGGTACGAAAATCCAGCCAGATGTCAATTTACTACATGGTGGAAAGGGTGATCAGGTTAATAAATCTTAATATCGATAAAGTAAGACGGTAGAAGTTAAAGGGGACAAAAAAAGAGGGGCTTACTACTGGTCGGACTTTGCGTAGCACTTCCCTTCATCAAGCCGAACACCACCATTTTTGCTATTTACCTCTGGATAGAGGGTGAGCTGGAACAATCTCCTTCGTCAACTATGTGCCACACAATGCCTATGGGAAATAGAAAATAGAAAATATTCCAGCTTCATTGAGCGACGGCAAGCGCCAAAGGAAGAGAAGTAGAATGAAGGCAATCGGGGCCTTACAGGGTCCTCACGCTTGTGAAGTGTAGCGCCAGAGCAAAGCGGAATGATGGAGGATAAAGAAGCGAGGGTGAACGCTGCTGCTGTGAGATAATGCATTTTAGCTAGCTGTGGTATTGGTTCGAGTGTTGTCTTGCGGGAGGATTTGTGATATAAAAATAAAGCGAGATTTGGATTCCTTGTGGCCGAGAAGTCAGCCATAGCTATAGAAGCGAACCCTTCGCCGATTAACAAAAAGGAAAAGAAAAGAAAGAGGGACGCGCGATCGCCTCCAATAGACGAATGACAGGTCCCAGACGGAGCGGGGGCTGATTGGGATTCTATGTGACAAATGAAGAAGATGTTGGATTTTGTCTCTTAGGGACTGAAGCGAAGAGTAGTTATCCAGATGTTTTTTTTTTTTCCTTCTACATTGCACCTGCATTAGCCCCTATGAAATTAGCAGGTAGCTTCCAATATCCCACTTGATGAGGGAGGGAATAAAGTCAAATAACCGCCCTAACTCTGCTCTCCATTAATAATGCGCGATCCTTTGATTTGTTGATTGTTGGAAGCAACCATTATTCACATCACGTTACACAGATTGGCACATTCGTTATAATGAACCAAAACAATAACAACAGATTGCTGTCAAGAGACCAAACACCAGCAGGTACCAGACCTTTTATATGCACTTTCAAGAGCAGTGACCGGAGAAAAAGAATCCCCTTCTTTGGTCGGCGGGAGTCGAGTACGGCTCGCGAGTTGACTAACTGTCCTTCACGCAGTTGTCAATAGTTGGAAAACAAAGAAAATGGATTTTTCGGAGTGTGAGTTAACTAACCATAACCATTTCCCAACCCAACAATCAACATAACTGCTTGAGGGGAAGGAGGAGCATGCGGAATTCCTGTTGCAGACCAAATTAATGATCCTCGACTGAGTTTAGTACGTACTCCATAGGTTTGATGCTATAATATTTGTATCAGCTACTTACGTATTTTTGACCACAGAAGTATAAGGCTGGCGTGACTGACCTTAATGATGAAACTGCCCATGGAACCCCTATGCAAATCTGTAAAAAGAAAAAAAAAAAAAAAAAAAAAAAAAAAAAAAAAAAAAATCACATCACTTCGCCATTACCGATCGACGGTAGAAGTTGCTTTTCGGGAGTACAATGCATACAATTTAACCAAGAGAGTGAGGGCTGGGAGAATAGAAGAGTGTTGAGTGTGTTCCTACAAAGTATCAAGCGCCATGTTAATTGGTTACGTACTCAAAAACAGGAGGCTTTAGCTACAAGCTCACCATTGTTAACCCGCGATTACCGTCCCACTCCTCCCTTACCCTGTGTCCACCGCTCCACTCCTACCAGCTTCCATATTCGAAACATTCTATGGACAGCGGAATAAGGTATGGGACAAGATTTGCCGAGAGGTCATCAACCCCCGGGCTGGCTAGCTGAAAGATCCAACTCCCAGTGCAATTCATCGAGCTTTTGAATACTCAGAGCACCGGTTCGATACATTATTAGCGGACTTTACGAATATGACGAGGACGATCGAGGAGGATATTGGAGGGACACACTCATAGATATTGCAATATGTCCCATATGGAATATCAAGCGAGCCACTGACTCCGGTACTAGGTAAGTAGATACAGATATTAGTGCAATGCTTTTATTTTTGTCTCCAATAAATGAGAAAATCGGCGTACAAGATGATGTTGAAACTTTCACAGACACCCTCCGGGATGAAACCCTCTACGCTGGTTTGGTTTGGGCCGATAAAGTAGGAAACCTAGATGACACATTTTTAACTCTCTCTTGCTAATAGCTCCGCATAAGATGATGGTCTATGAGATGAGAGCCGCACAGTCGCAGGCCATTTTGAATGGTTCATGTCGACTTGTGTTAAATGGGAAAGCTTTTCAGCAACGCTTGCCGCTGGCGTTCAGAACAAATAGCCCTTCGCAAGTTACCGAGATAAAATGGACAACATACCTTCCTCTTCTTTAGAGTCTCAATCGCAGACGCGTTGGCAGGCAATGATTGCGTGAGAGTAACTAGCATGGCCGATATGATGAGTTTTAGGTAGCGCATTTTCCAGCCCGTTTGGCGTGAAAACCACATGCTGTTCAGCTGGGTAGAACGATATTAGGCTAGAAAGTCGAGGAACAGATCCAGAACATAAACCTATATGTAGAGTAAGGTTTCCTGTCGTCATACTTCCTTTGGTGCTCGTATATATGTAGTCTCCATGTTACTCCCGAAATCCACAGTTTGTTGGTGGCGAGGATGAAGATGAACATAACAAACCGTTAACAACAAATACAAATAAGGAACTTAGGTAAAAATTGTTTTCTTTGCATTGCAATGTGAATTCCACGACGTATTTAGAATCACACCTGCCGACGACCAAAGCTTCTGGGCTTGCATCTATGAAGACATGAGCAAGAGGGATCCAAATTTAGTCAGCTCTGAAAGCAACATGATACTCAATGCGATGCCAAACGTTTGAAATAATTTTGCTTTCTGGTAAAGGGAGTCACTTCAATGTTCGTCTACAAACCCACAAACGCCATAAACATCAAAATAGGCCAGAATGTCCTTTTAATTGCAGGGATAGTTGCTATCTTCTCCCCCGTCGCCGTTGACGGTGATCTTGTTGCATTTGGACCTGGCCCTGTCGTGGTAAGCGTATTTGTTGCTGGAGGTGTTGACAGCGGAATAGTCCCAGGTCCCTTGGTAGTGTCAGCGATGGTGGTTGTGTATGTAGCTCCACCTCCTAATTCGCTCCCTGGAATGGCAGTTCCGACACCTTTGCTTGTCCAAGCTGGAGGAAGCACCATTGTGCTAGTATTAGGTTTAGAGGCTTCGTCGCCAGCGTAGATATTTCCTGTTTCGCCGTTAGAGCGTGTATATTTTCCCGAGATCAGATCTACAATGTCGCCAGAATTGTTGTAAATCCCAGTCAGAATACTCCCATAGGAGCCATCGATAAGGTAGAAGTTTGTTGTAAATCGATCCTAGCTTATGTTAGGATTGCCACGCCCTCTTATTTATACATGTAAGGATACAAGCGAAATGATATTGAGTTGTTCAAGCACATACCCAGCAGAAGGATGTCTGATAGTTTTTAAAGAGCCGGCATTCCATTCCATTCTTGCCTGTGTCGGGAGGATGTTAGTATTGTAAGTGACGAATCCGTGTGGGATCAAGTTCGTATATTAGAGAGCACCTACAGCAAAGGCCTGGCAATTCGGCACGCGGCACTGCATCATCACGCTCGGTCGTTCCTCTCTTCCATGGATTTGTAACATCAACCGACTCTATCACGGAGACGAAGAGTTTTCGCATGTCTGGACCAATGGAAGGAGGGGAAACTGAACTGGAACCTCGTGCAACACACATTTCATATCCTGGGCCACAATATTGTCGTGCAGACTCCGTGGACGCGGTCACCAAACCAATGAATCCCACAAGAAAGGTGATTATAAAATGACGCATTTTGGACAGAGTTGGGAAATGTTAGGGCAAGGAATAAATGGAATGAAACCGTAATTGTTCAATGAAGGACAGAGTACTTCCAGCTACAAAGCGTCGGGGCCGGTAGTAGAGGCAAAAATGTTCGATATGAAGGTGTTGTTCGCAAGGAAAATGATTGACCAAGGTTTGCTATAAAAACAAATGTGCGAAGCGTCAAGTGAATTGATACGAAACAGTGAAAGGAAAAGAAAGGAACATTTCCCTTTGTACTTTAAGAATAGGATCATTTGTACTGCGCTTGTATGGCACAAATAGAACAAAGCCACTTTTAATCGGATATTGTAATGTTGACAGTGTTGACAGTGTTGACAGCTGTAGACGAAATAAACATTTGAGATATCAGAGAGAGCGATAACAAGCGTGATAAGCCTGCCAATTCAATACCGCCAAACGAAATATATCCTGGCATGATGCAACAATTGTCGGAGGCGTCGTAAAATTATAACATGGGATTCCAGCAGATTCTCTGTCCCCTAACAATAAATGTTTTGCTTAAGAACATGCGGTAAGGAAACAAAGACAGGGTTGCAAGACAATCCTTCCAAAAGAATTCATGCCAATCAAACCATAAATATGCTTTAACCCGTGGAAGTTGGGTGTATGATATGTGTCTCCCTGCATGCGGGCCTCAGAACCAGGGAGGCATACTTGGATCGCAAATGGCAGTGGTAAGCAATTCTTTTTGCGGAATATAATCGAAGAATTTCGGAAGAAGTTTGAGCGTGTTTGTAGTACCTGCCTTTTGTTTGTCTTGTTTGTCTTCGAGGTACTTAAGGGTTACTAAATTGGCCTGTAGTGCAAAGTGGCCGGAGAGAGTGGTGAAGTAGGTTAAGTTAGTTAGTTAGTTATAATACATTTAGTAGAGGAATTTAAATTATTACTTATAAAATTTATTATGATAATTTGTGGCTGAGATATGTATCAAATTTATGACAATTTGTATGGAAATAGTTGGGGAGTGGTGAGTCACGTTACTAGTTCTTTGGCCGGTTACTGCTAGGATCCAAAATGAACTCATTACTTGTCCAGGAAATGAACAAAAAAAAGGCAGAACTCATCCAAAGGAAAATCAAACAAATCAACAACGCAGTAGCAAGCAATAAGGAAGGGAGGGAGGCATGCTCCTAGAAGGACTTACTGGCAATGACTTCTGTATCACCCACATCCCGCTTTTTTTTCTTCTCACTCATCACCAACCTGACTTGTTACACTGCCGCTTCTCTAACGCTTGCCTGCTATTTTGAATAACTTCTCTCATATTTCTAAACTTGTTCTCTTTGTTGAGAGCTACAACATGGCAAATGGCCGCAGCCCCGGGCGTAATATCCACATTTACAACGCGAGTGATCAAACGCTCCTGGCGGGCCATTGCCAATCTGAAGAAAATTTGTTCTTCACTCTCAAGCATATACTTCTGGTCGTGGACCAGGCGTGGACGTTGAGACACAGAGCCTCTGGAAGGGCTATTTTGCCCTCGAACAATCGGGCTGAAACTGGGGATTATGATGCCCATTGCGATGGTATGTTTCCGACCAATGAATGGCGGGCCTTCAGCTTATTCATCTAGGAGCTATCCGTCTGACAGACGAAGCGTGGGTTGCTCGAGTGATGAGCCATTCTGATTCGGGCGGAGAAAATTCATTGCGAAACGGGATCTGGTCAAGAGACGGGAGATGTGTCATTAGTGGGCTGGTTAATCTTCTCGCCCCGCATCGCTGGCAGGATTCGAAGCCGCACATATATTCCCGCTGGAGAAGGAGATGCTCTGGAGGCAATTTGGCTATGGGCGCTGGATTACAAACACCGAAGAAGGATCAGGAATCAATTCCACTCAGAATGGATTACTTATGTCATCGCATTTGCACACGTGCTTTGATCAATATCTGTTTTCCGTCAATCCAGATGTAAGTACTTCACTTTCCGAACCTGTCCTGCAAGACTAATACGACAAAGACTACAAGATTACCACATTTGTACCGGATACATGGGGAATCGATCGACGATGGGCGAGTACTTGACCCTGTTTGTCCCGACCCAAACAGCCTTGATTGTGTCTCAGACAATTCATTACGATGGCACTTTAGACAGTCAGTCCTTGCCAGTATGCGAATATAACTAAGATTCTGATGACAATCATTAAAAATGATTATTGAAATATTTCATCAGCTCTTTTTATCATCACAACAGACAATGCAGTCAACAACTTGACTATGATGCAAAGTCTGAAATGAAAACTGAATTTAGACTGGCCGTGTGACCATGCATGGGACTGGGACTAAATTTTTCCTCAGTCCCATTATCAAATATCTTAGTCCTGGTCTCATATATCGTTTATCAAACTAGTCACTTTACATTGTTTATATTATAACTCTAGTCTCATTTCACTGTTTATATTATAAATCTAGTTTCAGATCATGTTCTTCTTATAAATTATTGATTCTAATCCCATTTGATCCCATTTTACAAAATGGAATCAAATGAGATATAATTTTCTCTATATAATGCTATGAATGTTATCAAAATGATAGATAGATTGGTTGGCAGCAATAGGTACAGTGCCTCACAAAAAGTTTGAAACTATTGAGACTTCTAATCAATATTCACTAGTTCAAAAGTAGTTTAGTGTTTGCACTGTTTATTGCTGTAACTAGTCTTAATTAATTAATTACATGATGTGGAGATTGAATTCCACTTAATATTTTGTATACCATCCCTTTGCTTCAATGACTGCAGTCACATGATTTGACATTGTAATAAAAATATAAATTATTGTCACACCCTTGGTTGTGCCAAGGCCCCGTGACGGCTCCACACGGCCCATCGTTTCCCCTCGGATAATCCCATCTATCCCATGACATCACGCAGGTGTCCGAACCGGTTTCCAACCACCCTATGACATCATTCGGATGCAATAGAAGAGGATCCGATTGATGAGATATGAGAATCCTGTTTCTATACGGGGTCTGGATTCCTTCTGGCAGATCAATGCAGCGCCACTGCGGAGTTGCTTCGGCTACCCTCGCTTATAGAGTGAGGGGAGGATGGCTGCCCGTTGTCTATATAGAATAGCTAGATGCTGGCTCTCTATTCCAGGAGCCAGCGATTCGTCTTTTATCTTTTGACAATAAGATACCAGAGTTACCACTGTCCTCATACAATATTCATAGTGTGCCGAGTACCTCTGGTAGTTCAGTATTTGTATAGTATTCTACGAGTTCGCGGTTCAAGCGAGATAATCAAGCCCACCCATAAGGCTTCCCATTATATACCATCCTCCTCTGTGCCGCTGCCGAGTAGCAATCGCCTCGGCGCCGTCACATTACAATTATAGAGAATACTTTTATTTATTGAATTTCATACCTCTTTTACAATTTCTATAAGTAGATTTAATATTGCTACTATGTCATCTGCAAACTCCAACTCTGACCGAATCTTATATATCTCTCTCTTCATGATTGATCATAAATTATTAATGAAATTCAAATGAAATGAATATAATGATTAAAATATAATTTGAACCTTCATCTTTTGCAGAATGATCTGTACAATTCTAGCTCTATGCACAGATGCATTATCTGTGAGAGATGAAAAACTTGATTGATTAATTGCTAGCTAAGCGGACCATTTTATATAGAATAAGAGCGTTATATGAGACACGTGGTTGTCTCACATTATCATGTATGAATACATCTTCTTCTTTCAATATAATAAGTAGATATGCTCAGTAGAGTTCACAGATTATCTATGAATTGTGATAGAAAAAGTATCAGTATATATCAGAAATAATGAAATTAATATAAAGAATCATACTTTGACTGATATTTCTTGATTGACAGACTCAGAATTTCCATTCAGTGGCATCAATTCTATATGAAAATTCTGATTAAAAGCTGCTTATAACATTTTCTTGAATGCTTTTTCACATTTCATCTTTTTAATATCTCTTTAAATCAGTTGTTCTGAGGGTTATAAGAAGATTCATTTAGCAGCAATTTCTTTTCCTCTTTCAATTGTATATTCATCAGATCACTTAACTCCTCACTTATCCGCAGATATGTAGTTTTTATAAATGTCTGCTCAGTGAAAATGTTGAGCTGCATGTGTCTTCTTAAATGCAGAGTGGGTGTGTTAAAGCCATTTTCTTCTTCCCATCTCATTCATAAGAAGCTGTATAGATCTTGTTTTAACTTTGTCATTCACCTCAACACAGAGATTTTTAATTGAGAATTTGAGATATGAAGATTGATATAAACAGTCATATTATAGAAATGATCTCACTTAAATTCAAACAGTTTTCTAGAAGCTTCAGATTGAGATTTGAACACCTCATTAACATGTTCAATGACTCTGTGTATAGTGATTTTAAAAGTGCTAAGTGGAATTTCAGAGTGGATTTGATGAATGTGTGAATAGTTATATCTTTAATTTCAAAGCTCACATATATGAGAACACATCTGAGGGCTTAATTCTCTGCCTCGGCTCACAGTGGATGATAGTGGTGGAGAACTATAACTAGTAAGATGACAGTAGTATAAGGAAATAGTATTTAGAGGATATGAAGAATCATTATTTTGAAGAAAACATATGAGAAAGAAAATAGAAAAAATAGAGAAGAATTTTACATGTAACAGTATAGAGATGAAAATAGAGGTAAATAAGTATATTCAATTTAAACTACTTTTAAATTAGTGAATATTCATTATAAATTTCAATAGTTTCAAACTTCTTACAAGACATTGTAGATAAATTGACAGCAATCAGTAGATAAATTGACAGTGATAGATTGATTGATAGCGATAGATAGATTCGCCGCAGTAAGTAGATTTACAGAGTAGGTTGATTGGTAGTGATAGATAGATAAGAGCAAGATAGAGGTAATATCTTCACCAATTATATCATCAGATTGATGTATGATATAATCATCAGAATGGGATGAAACTTGAGTCAAAATCATGATCAGTTCCAGATCATGTTCTTATTTTTCATAGTAAGTCACTTTACATGAAATATCAAGATTTGTTAGTCTCATTCTGATAATGTTATATTTAAATCTGGTTTTTTTATACTTCATTTTTGAAAATTTTGAAATTTTTACACTTTCATTCCGATTTTGATTTCATTTAAAATCACACCAAGAAATGGACTGGAACCAAACCAAATCAAATCAAATGTGTAATTCATGCATGATCCCATCAGCCAGTTTAAAACTGATATTGTTTAGATGAAATGGTAAATGTGAACATATTCTCTGTATTGCTCATATTATATATCTTGTTATGCAAGTATTGATCAAAGCTTTGAATATTGAATTTGAAAACACAGAACTGACTAATCATGATTGTTTTGATGAGAATGATATTGAAATTGATATTCAAATCACATTCTCATCACCACTTCACAAGATAATGATATTTGATAACACTTCAGTGAAAATTGATCAATTTTTCTAACTATTTGTAACGGGCGTACATCGATTAACGATCTAGCACTATCCTAAATACAGATTACGAATTGATTAAGGAAAGACAGAGAAAAGAGATCAGAAGGAAAGGTTGTACGAAGGGGGTTCTTATAGAGGGGAGATCGGGGCGGAAGAATATCAGAAGCCGCCCCGCAGTGGAGCACGGAGCGGAAGAACATTGAGGGTTACGCGGAAGAATCGTTAGAACTACGCGACTACGAGAGCGCGGAGCGTGAGGAACTACGCGGACGCGGAGCGTGAGGCAGAAGGGGTTGGTTGCGTAAGTTAACCACTAACGGGTGCTAACCCGTTATAATGAAGTATCATATTGAAAACTGTTACTCTGATTTTGAATATGAGAATGATTTGCTAATTTTTCAATCATGATCATGTCTAATCATTCAATGCCTTGATCTTGTCATCAAAACATATATTCAGTCATCAGTAATTTTAATCAAAGCATTGAGTGTATTTTTTGATGATTTTTAACATTTTTTTAATGATGTTCAACAACTTCTGACAACTTCTGTCAACTTCATATAACTTTTGATCACTTCATATGACACATCAATTTCTGATAACATTTGAAATTTTTTGACAACTTCTGAAATCTTTCAACAATTTCTGAATCAATCACATAACATCTCTTTTTAACAGCTCCCCCGGTGGCCGAATGGGTAATGCGGCCACCAGGTAGCGCCTTGGTGTGGGGACCCAAGGCGTGTGGGTTCGAAACCCACAAGGGGACAACATTACATCCGGAGCCAACATCTCAGCTCCTAAAATAAAGGGATGTGAACTTGCCAAGTAGGTACCTTCGGGCGGATCTACTACCTGATTTAGCTTATTGTTTCTGGGCTGGAAACCTGTATCGCGAGTACCAAATCCTGTCTTTCATTAATTTTCCTATGTTTCTGTTATATTCTTGGCGTCATTCAACACTAAGCATTCCTCCTGTATAACCAACTTTTGCTTGTATTTAACATTACACAAGGACTCGTCATAAGCACTGCTTGCATACGAGTATAACGGAAGAATAATAATAATAATAATCTTTTTAACAGCTGAATCAGACAATTCTGTTGAATATGATTAAAAGGGATTGAAGAAAACACAAAAATCAGCAACAATAGCAGCTTCAAAAACTATCATTAAAATAAATATCTTTTATGAAAATTGAAAACATATCACAAGTTGTTATGAGCTACACTGAATTTGAAAGTATTGATAAGCAACAAAATGTCATTAAGCATTGTTTTTGATAAATTCTTCAAAGCTCACATTCAGATTTTAAGTGCACTCTTCAATCATATATAGAATAAATTCATATACTTTGACATATAATATATTCATATTTAACAAAGATTAGAAATGGTTTAAGTGATTTATATTCAGATTGTCAATTATATGAAAACCCAGAGCATCTTCTTTTACTTTGTACAAAGCATACAGAGTTAAGATTGAGATTGAGAGAGAAGATTGAATTGGCACAGTTAAATTTAAAACTTTTGTTTAATACAAAAACTGGAAATGAATTCTTGATTGAATATTTGAAAGAATCAAATACTGCTACAAGATTTCAATTGAATAGTTTAATCTGATAATGAATTCAATTTTTATTTTTCTTTTTTCTTTTGTTTCTATGTATTTGCTTTAATTTTTATTCTTGTTTGTGAGGGGTGATGACAGTGTGAAGAGTGAATAGTAGAAGATAATAGTAATAATAATTATAGTAGTAGTATAGTTGAAGTTGTAGTTGTAGTTGTAGTTGTAGTTGTAGTTGTAGCTAATCGCTGAAGAGGAAAAGAAAGAGAAAGAAGATATGCGAAATACATGCATCTATATATATATACATATAGAAATAGTGGTAGCGAGAGTATAATGGAAAGAGGTAAGAATAGACGAAGATATAAACAAAGATAATATAATAATAAGGAAATAATAAACGAGTGCATTACATTGTTTTTATTTTTATTTTATTACTTTTGCTTTGAAATTTATTTCATTTTGATTATTTTTGATTTTGACTTGTGTTGAAAAGTTTGATTTGTAAATGCTTTCTTTTCTTTTAATAGCTGCTGTTTTTTATACTTTTTATTTCATTTGTTTTAAATTGAATGTATTGATCTATTTGTGGAAGGTGTAAAGCTTGCTTGATTGAAGGATTGCTAGCTCCGTGGCAAGTTATATGGTGGAAGGATTACTAAGCCAGGGTAGTTGACCTGACACTATTTTCATTCTTTTGGCATAGTTTCTACAATATTGCTCTCATTTTCAAAAATAACTCTCAGCTGTTAAAAACGCATTCTATACACAGAAAGTTATCAAGAACAAGCATTTGAAGTAGTAAAGCATCTGCAATACTGAAAACCCTTTTAACTCTCTCATCATGAACCTTTCAAACAGCATCAGAAATAAGATACAATGTTATTTTCTTTCAAAATTCATGATCATTGCCTGCTACATCAGATGCATCAATGATCTTTTTCAGTGTTAAAAGTCTTATAAAATCATGCATGATCTGAGTCAGATTAGATTCTGAAATTGCAGAGGAAATAACCACTGCAGCAATAGTCACTGCAGTTATATAATCATTATAGTTAATCATCTCATTTTGTATAGTTTCTTTGAAATTCATATTGTTATAGATTATAACAGCTCAAGAATCTTTAATAAGCTGCTGAAATTTCATTTAATGATAAGAATTAGTTAAATGATTGACTCAGAAGTTAACAGAAGTGGAAAAAATATGTTAGAAAACAATAAAAATTATCAATTTTTACTAAAAATTTGAAAAATTAGATAAAAATATTAATAAATTAAAAATATCAATTCATAACTTCTTCTGTTTAACAATTTCTGTCATCAATTTATTTCTCATTATATAGTTGAGATAGAGTTTAAAGCTGAAAATTGTTTCTATCACTTATTGTTTTACTTCTGAGCTATGAAAACATGCAGAGAGAATAGAGCTGAAGAAGTTTGAATTCTTTAAAAAATAAAAGTGATATATAATACTCATAATAATAAACAATTATTTGATAGTTATTGTTTCATCTAAGGCCCATTCATAACTCTTTCAATTTACATGTTTCTTTTTTAGAACAGAAGTAAGCAGCTTAAATCAAATTGATGTATCAATTCAAATGATCTCAAAAGCAGCCTGGAAATTGATGGTATCAAGATCAACACTATGGTTGAATAACAGAACGCAGTTGAGGGGTCAATTCCTTGCCCCGTGTCACACCCTTGGTTGTGCCAAGGGCCCGTGACGGCTCCACACGGCCCATCGCTTCCCTTCGGATAATCCCATCTATCCCATGACATCACGCAGATGTCCGAACCGGTTTCCAACCACCCTATGACATCATTCAGATGCAATAGAAGAGGATCCAATCGATGGAATATGAGAATCCTGTTTCTATACAGGATCAGTAGATTCCTTCTGGCAGATCAATGCACCGCCACTGCGGAGTTGCTTCGGCTACCCTCGCTCATAGAGTGAGGGGAGGATGGCTGCCCGTTGTCTAGATGCTGGCTCTCTATTCCAGGAGCCAGCGATTCGTCTTTTATCTTTTGACAATAAGATACCAGAGTTACCACTGTCCTCATACAATATCCTTAGTGTGCCGAGTACCTCTGGTAGTTCAGTATTTGTATAGTATTCTACGAGTTCGCGGTTCAAGCGAGATAATCAAGCCCACCCATAAGGCTTCCCATTATATACCATCCTCCTCTGTGTCGCTGCCGAGTAGCAATCGCCTCGGCGCCGTCACATTACACCCCGACCCATAGCAGATGATAGAGATGAAGGAACATAACTAGAGGAATGACAGCAGTATGAGGAAATAGTATGAGAAGGATATAAATGCGTCAGAATAAAGATGAAGCAGTTCCACCCACAGACGCGTTTTATTCTATAGAGATTAAAAATAGGGGTAAATGGGTGCATTTCAATATCATGTGACGCTATAACTACTACTAATTATCATGGGTTAAACCCCTTTGGGACTAGTGGATTTTGACACGAGGTCTCAATGGTTTCAAACTTATTGCGCAGCACTGTATGTTGCAAGCATGTGTGGAGTAATTGATTGGTTCAGAAGTTAGCAGAACTTGGCAGAATTTTAAAGAAGTTTAGTTGATCACACTAATCTGAAAATATTGAGAAAAGAGGCTGAGCATGCTGAGATAGCTTGTGGCTGCTGTTTCTCAGCTACCCTATCACGTGCCCCCCAACATATTGTGTTGGCTCTCACGTAGTTAGTTTAGTAATTGACAACAACGTTATCCTTCTACAGATGTGCATTCAATTATTAAAAGAAAGAGTATCTGAAAAGAGTTAGTGACTATTGTTGGACTGTTCGTTGAAATGAAGAGTTGCGCATGAAGCTCAATTGTACGGAGTCGATCCCAACAATACGCAAAATAAATGAAAAGAGTAAGTAAAAAAAAAAATAAAATAAAAAAAAAATGTGAAAGGAACTACCTTTATTCCAGTCCAATTATTTTTTATTTTTAATTTTTATTTTTATTTTTTTTTTTGATAGACATCAAGCGCTACAGGTTTTCTGATAGTATCCCATTCCTTGGAGAACTGCATGCGCGTTAACTCGTTTGGGTTAGATTCTTCATTATTCTGTACTCAGAAGCAGTTTAGGCCGTTGTTGAACATAATAACGTGCACTTGAAAGTTTGGATCCGGGGTTAGTTAAGCTTTCGCATTCATCCGTTGTAGCGAGTGTTGCATCGAATAGCTGGGAGAAGCGGTCTGATGTTACCAGATATTTCTAGGACGGATGCAGGGGGAGTTATCCCCCTGCCAGCTTTGACAGGCTTAAACAGGGTTACACAACTGGAACGAGAAAAGGGGCAAACCCGAAGAGCTGGCGCATTTGCTTTTACACCTCAAGGTATCGTATGAAATGGCTCAACAATCGACTTGCGAAGCAAGCTGGAAGGCAAGCCCAACCCATTCGCCTATATTTCTCCTACCAGCCAACAGCAAAGAGATGAATTGTTCGGAAGATGCAGAGGCGTGAGGGACTCCATGCCAAGGTGAGTAGGACAGATCGCCACCAGGAAAAGTGCTTAGCGTTACTCCTCACCAACCAGGCGCGGTGGCGTCGCGAACGGAGATCTATCCTGCAAAATCATCAGTTGGGCCTGCGATCTGCATGAAGCTATTGGGTTCTTGACTCCTTAGCAAGATGTTTTGTGCAGCCCAAATCCCATCTTCCCACAGCGCATGGACAGCGGAGTGAACACGCTGGTTAACAAAACGGGAATTGGGAATTTCGCTGAACAGTGCAATACAGTGAAAATCTTTATCATCGAGGATTCTGTCCTATCACGCACCTCCAGTGATAGCAGCATCTCTCTTCTCCCGCTTGATGTATCTCTCATCGCGCCATTGTAGCATTTGTTTCGAGAAAACTGGAGGAATCCCCTTTCCAATTATCTGGTTGTGGCGGTGACAAATCAATAGAGCTGAAAATGCCCATCTTCGCACTATCGATTGTTTCTCTGCAGGCACAACTAGCGCACGATTGAATCTCGACAGGTTCCAATAATTCGCGACTCACATCGACGCTAATCCCCTCAAGTCCTTGATGAGCCAGTTGAGTTGTCCACCTAGAGGACTACCGGCTGCACATCTGGCTCGTCGCTGGCGATTCTTCATGTCATGCCAAACTTGATTTCTTGCCAAATCACTCGCGCCATGATTCTTTCCAATACTTGTGCATCTCATGAAAGTCCGGAAAAGCCTCTGTATCTGAGCTCTTGGTTCGCAAATTGGTTGTTTGGAGCGAAGAACAGGGTTTCATTTTACGATGCGAAGCGTATGGCAACAATTGCCTTTCATTCATGAACAAATGACATAGTATTTTCCCTCCTAGCATCTCCTCAGGGATCAAGTTAAGGATCAAATTAACTCGGCCCACGAAGAGTACTAAGCCTACCAGGAGCTTTCTAATTCGCCACCAAAAGAAAAACAGAGAGAACAAATTTTGAGATGTGCCGGTTGTGGTTGGGCGGTAATGGCTGGCACACAACGTGTGCTCCATGATGGCTTGAGTTGGACTATCTTTTGTTTTTCCCTTAGACATTTTTTACTTGATTTGCTTCCATTGTTTGTTGTCGTGGTCGGATGGCCCGAGTTCATTTATTTATTCCCTATTTCCCCTTTTTCCCCTGTTGTTCCTTTTATCTTCCCTTCGTCGTCTTCCACATCGCTGATCCATTTGCGACACACATAGCAAAATCATTATTACTTTGATCACTTTCCTGTCATATTTAAAGTGATATTACAAACTCGCCCAAGTGAAAATGAAAGTTATTACATTGCTCGCTACCGGTGCTTTCACCGGCCTGGGCGTGGCGCAAGACTTACAAGGTGTGTCGGAATGTGCCGTATGTCTTCCACGAGTTCCCTTTCTGTTGTTTCGGGACTGGTTTTAAACTGTTCAGTGCAGCTAACTGTCGATATTGAAATACGATTAGCGTGGATGCATCGGACGGATGATGGACCTCGCTCCATCTCTAGGCTGCAAAGCCGACGATGTTGCTTGCCTTTGCAAGAACATGGATTTCGCATACGGTGTGCGTGACTGCACTACAGAAGCCTGTGGGGCTCAAGATCTTCCAGCTGCCGCCGCAGCTGCTGCCAGATATTGCCCCGGCAATGCCCCAAGCGGTTCCCAGGAACCTAGAGCGACTGCTACGAGCAAGCAGACAGCGTCACCAACAGGCGCCCCTAGACCGAGTGAAGCATCTCCAGTGAGCCATATCTCTGCATCCAACTATCCCTGTGGCACCCATGTCGCTAATAAACACCCAGACGGGCTTGGGCTCCTCTGCATCTACTCCTTACACTACCCAAGCAATTGTGTCTACCATAACTTCCGGCACTCAAGTGATTACGACCACAGTCGGCAGCACTACCCTCTATTCACCCGTATCTGCTACAACCGGAACCGCCGGAACAACAGGCACTCAACCTCAGTCAACTGGGTCGAGCTCTTCCCCAACTGACAAACCCAGCTCCACTGGAAATAGCGAAACTACGAGCCCAGGCGAAAGCACTGGCACTGGCACTGGCACAACCCCTACTCCGACGGGCAATGGCGCATCCCATACGCTGATCCCAGCCACCCTGGGAATAATGGGAGCTGTCGGCATTGCCCTCATCTTTTCCTGGTAAAGCCGCTCTCGTGTGACGTTAACTATATTGGTGATGGATACCTTAGTCAAGCGATGCGTCCGTTGAGAGATGTCCGGTATGACATAAATTGATGGAAACGTCATCTTTATTAGTATTTTGTTCATAGCTATTTTATGGCCCTTCAAGACCAGCAGTGGAAGATGCCCTCTTCGCATTTCGTTTCGTCTCTACCTAGTCCCCAACTGTGTCGCGTTATGTGGATGATTGGCCGTCAGTGCCAATAGCATTTGCGATTGGCTAAGTCCAAAGGAGATGGAACATGACTTGAGACATTGTGTTTATGAGGATTCAATAATAATAGGCTAACTTGAATGGGATTCTAAAGATTCAAATTTTTGCCAAAGAATTTTGAACCACCTGCCACCGCTAAGGTTTCAACTTGGAGCTAATCTTGCTATGTGGAAGAAGATTATAAGATAGATTTGAAAGGGAATGAGTAGTAGTAAACAAGATGGATAATTATGCATCAAGAGACTACATATTTTGGAGGAAGTCTCTTGATTTCTGAATCTCCATTCCACCTCCGTGCCTCTAACCCCTAGGGGTACCAAGGGGTAAAAGATCATTTTAATTCCACCTTACCTTTAACTCGGGTGAACCCTCTAGACCCTCATTATACGGCCTAATGTCCTACACGAGAATGGAGCAAAGCGTTGGTAGATGGGGAAATGTATAGTGAACCAGCAAGCATTGAGCCCGCCCGGTAGAACCTGCTACTTTTATACAGATGCTCCTGCGAAAAGTTTTGACTCACATTAAGAATTTAAACTAAAATATTAATACTGGCATTAAGTATTGGTGTTCCATCTCTTAATTCAGAGAATAGGGACTATCAGAGGGAAAATTAGAGGTCAATGCCCCTAGCATTCTCCCTACCTCACTACCAAAATCCCAGGCAGTATAGCCATAAGATTCAGTACACTAGAAAGAAGATTTCAATGTAAATTCTTAGTGAGACGAAACTTTTCGCAGGGCATCTGTAACGATCCAGCAGATGTACGGAGTAGAGCAGGAAGTTATGTAGTAGCTCGAGGGATTCAACGGGATTAAGCAAAGAGACAGCTAGTTAGTTAGAAATCTCCATTCCCGTAACTAAGGATCAATCGGATATCAATCGGATATGTAATAAGAACTGGTTGATAAGTGGGCAAGCAGACTGCTCGGCCGTTCCGATAGGTCCTCAGAGTCTCTACTAGTATCTCTGGTCAGTATCCACTTGTTCGATCTTATTGTGGGAGGGCACGAGTGGCTGAAGTTAGCATCAACTTCGATGAACATCATTTTCACATCCCATTAATGCGAAACTGAGTTTTTAAGTTAAACCTCACTTCACTCTGAGGTTTAATTATGCTTTCTATTTTGAATGCTGTTTATACATAATGCTTTAATACTTGGTTTAAAGTGTGTTATTTAACTTTGAAGTTTTTGTTCAATGTTTTAGGTAATAATGATTTAAACAATAAAAAATTCAAGCTTTTATTTTATTGATTTCCATGCGATTCTCATATTTTCTAAAAAATAAAAATAAAGAACAATTCTATTTGTTGGCATGCCTGTCGCTCGCTACTATTCCATGTGACCACACATATTTAACCTTGAAACCAGTGCTGCGCAGCCTGCGCTAATCTAAATACCTACAATGAACCAACCTGCCACCTCCATCATTTATGTTCAAAAGTAAAGTGTTTTGTTAAAACTGTATAGTTATTAATTAATTTTTAATATAACATTAAAATTTTTAAAAAGCATTGATATAATCTTTAAAAATTAAAATGATATTATAATACTTAAATCTTCAAAAGGTATTTATAAAAAAACTAAAAATTCACACGTTATATAATTGATATAACAAGTTATATATTATAATATTTCACTCATTGTTATTTGATAAATAAATGATACAAAAGTTTCAAACTAGTTAAATTTAATCAAAAGCTTAGTTAATTAAATCATAAATATTTATCTATATGAAATACTATTATATCTAACTTTAAATGTAAAATAAAAGCATTTGCTTATTTTTAACTATATGATTCATGTCATTACAAAAAGTTTAACATGCAACTTAGTCTTTTGATCTTCATCAATCTCTGTTGTTTATAAACTAAAATAACAACTGTGAAAATATTATTAAAAAGTTATCTCGTGTTAATATCTTAATGCCTGCGGATATTATATCATTACATTATATTTAAGCAATGGTACGCCCACTAGACGATTACAATCAACCAACCTTCCACTTTTATAATATTGAAAGAATTTTGATTTTATATTTTTCTACTTTAGTTAAAATATAACGCATTATTATTCCTTTAATAGTAATGAATATTGTTGGAATATCAAGTTTAAATTTTATTATTTTCAGTGTTATTGCTGAAAATTTGGTGAGTAGTATCTAGTTATCATTATATACAATTCTTCATAGAGTAATTTTTAATATTTATAAAATTAAAGCAAAGTTTAGTTATCCCGAATAATGCCGTACCTCAAATGATAAATGACATAAATTTAGATATTAAAACGTATAAAAGTGGATATATTGACAATATAGAAAAATTATCACTCTCGAATAAAGAAGACAATGTTGTGCCAGTTCAAAGTAAGAAAGGTAATTACTTTTCATGAATAATCAATGTTTTCATTGAATTTAAAAGTTAACATCTTATTAAGTTGATAAAACAGAAATTTCGACAGCGATTTCATTTAATATATTATCTCATCGAATGGATCATTGTTTTCCATATGGATGTCTTGGGCATGCAGACTGTTGGCGAAGACCACCTTGTCAACGTTGTGTTTTTGTAAATCGCAGTCATTGTGAATAGATAAATGTTAGATAAAGGTAATGTAATATATCTACATTAATAATATATAAAATTCTATATCAATCGCCGGGTTATATCGAATATTTTTATCTACATCGTTGAATTCGGATATAAAAATGCATATGGTGTACTTAAATAACTGAATGTTTTAACAATGATTTTGCATTATCTATATATTATTATTATTATTATTATTATTATTCTTCCGTTATACTCGTATACAAGCAGTGCTTATGATCACTATGCTGCAGCTGGCGGTCGCAGTGTATAGTTGGTGGTTGGGTGGCCACGCCTGCTGTCGGCCGAGCCACACCACACCCACGGGTATATATATCACTATGAGCGGAACCATTTAACAAATGGTTACGTTGGCTTTTTGCTATGGATAACCTAGTGGTCATAATGCTATCTTATCACATACAGAAGGAATGTGTCGGAACTGGATAGTGTATAAAGTCCGAATATTGACACTGTCGGAACTTCATGTACCCGCTTATCATTTCCTTAAACCTTCATTTATGTCAGACCTGCTGCAGGTCTTAGATTAATAAGCCTCCTATCATATAACTACTAGAGGGGGAGGTTAATGGTTGGGAGGATCAGTCCGCTATTCGGAAGGAGGGAATGCTCTTGCCTTGGCTCTTTCTTTACAAAAATTTTTTTTCATGATTACATCGTTTGCGGTGAAGGGGGGCGCGTTGTTTGACGCGGCGGGGTCGCCGCTATTCGGAAGGGGGGAATGTGTGAGGGGGTAGGTGGTAGGTGGTCACGTTGGTCACGTGAGATCACATGGTAGGCGACCACGTGGTCGGCGACCATGGAGGTCTCCGACCTCCAGACCTCCACAGTTAAAAGGGTAGTAACCCCCCCCAATCCTTATGTATTTTTAGAAATTAGGGAATATAGGAGATTCTATAACCCCCTCTAGATGCTCTTGTGTGTTCTTTTGAGAAGTAGCTGATACGTGATTTATTCATCTACCCCAACCTGTTGGGGGAATCCTGGGTTGTCACTACCCATGTAGCTAGCAATCCTTCAATCAAGCAAGCTTTACACCTTCCACAGGTTATGAGGCCCGTTTTGTGCATGAACACTGTCAATTCAGAATTTCTTGTTGATATAATTATTATTCAGATTTATTGCTTCATTTGATATATCTTTTCAGTGTTAAAATCATCTTATTCCATTCATATTGATGCATTCTTAAGATCTTGTGTTGATCAACGCCACTGTTTGCTTAGGAGAAGCTTGCAGGATGAAATTGCACCACATTGAAAAAGAATCCTTCAATTGATGAAAGAACATCATCAAAAACTTATATTGACAAGAATCTGATTCAATAAGCTTTTAATAAGAAAACAAAAGATTCTAAATGATGAATTTTAGACATCATCAAATGCATTGCATTACACACTCACAATCTCACATCCTGCCCGTTGATTCAATAGTGGTGGATGATAATATTCCCCCACATTCAAGCTCTGCTCATGATTGCTTGTCAGAAGTATTTGAAAATTTCTTTAATGAATCTTCTAAACTTTTTGAAACATTATTTGAATTCAAAGTCAGATTGAATATAGCTTCTAACACAGTCAAACTGTCAGCTCAATTTGTTCATTTTATTTAAACTATCTAACAATTTGATGAGAGTTCACATTATAACAATGAAATCTGATGTTCTAAGGCTTTGCCTTTTAATGATATTGTGTCTAAGCACAAATGCAACATCTTATGATGATTTTTAAGATGAAAAAGAAAAGATATAAAACTTTAAAAAAGAAATACAAAACTATTGATCAATTAAGATTAGAGTTAGTTTATAAATGCAGAGTAGTTGTGAATCAAACATTATTTATCAGTCATATATCCACTATCTCTACAATCTAAACACTCACATGAAATGTCAATTTCAGTGAAAAGTTATAATATAATCTATATAATCTGAATAGCTGTATCAGCAAGGTGATTGCACATTTCAAAGAAAATATTAAGAATATTATCAAGTCAAATACTCTGATCAGCACATGCAACTACATCATCTGAAATGCTTTCATGAAAGTGAAAATAGTTGATGCTCAGTATTGAGATACAATAAAGAAATATCAGATTTAGAACTTTTTTCAAGATTCAGAATGAGCTTCTTTTTGAGACATCAGAAACTGTTAAGTCTACACATTTATTATAAACTTTTTAAATGACAGTGTCAGGCCATGTTTTATCAAATATGATGAGAATCAGATTACTTACACTTTTTAAAAAGTGATTGAAGAAGAATACTCTATTTCAAAGACATAATTATATCACAAAACAATCGTTAAATTCATTTTACTCAGTGACATTCAAATTAACAATGTACATGTTTTCTTTAATAAATTCTGTGCTGTTATTATGAAGTTGAAAATGATAAATGCTGTTCTGTTGAATATGTGAATATTTGATATATTCTATTTCACTTTTTTTAATGTTTGAAGGAGTTACATCTCTCTTCATATTATAGAAAAATCAACTTTTTCCATGAAAAAAATATTGTAATGTGACCTCATATGATATCATGTGGACCTTATTAAATCCATGAATGGATTGAACAGCTGGCTCTGCGGCCTGTACAGCTGTAAGAGATGGGCTACAAGAGTAATTACAAGAGTAGTGTGAAGTACGCACAAAGGATATTAGAAAGGTAGCAATCTCTATTGTTCAAAGCTAATCGCTGATCTCCTAAAATCCACGGATATCAGCGAGCATTATATAGATAATATTGCCATCGCCACGTATCTATCGCCACGTATCTATCGCCACGTATCTATTTCCTAATATAGATATCTCCGTTGCGCCTATTACAATTATCTCCCTTCTTCAAAGGCCTGGTCCCCAGGGCTTCTTATTGTGCGAAGTTCGTAATATGTGCTGTGTGGTTGAATTGTATAAAGTTCGCAGGATAGGACCGAATTAATTGTTCGGGTTAATTCCGAAGCGTTGCTGACTCGGGAAAACGTTGTTCCAGTTCCGGTGTTATCGCGGTCCAATCATGATTTAGGCACAACCCCTGAACCCCTTTCCTTTAACCTTTACACCACAAATCGTATCCTAACGAGATCATCACCATCATCACCAACAACGATTTTTTTTTATTTAAAAGAATACACCAATTGATCAAGCAAAGTACACTGTATCTTCCCATGCGATTTTTATTGCGACATTCGAAGTTTTGGTTGCGTGGTTGCGTTTTCTATTTTGGGTCGGATTTTGTGTTGTTGCAACTTCTTTGATCGATATTGCAATATTGATTTTAACCACCAACATCTGTTCTTTTCTTGCTGCTTCTTGCCTCTTCTCTCTTCTTAAAAGGTTCTTGATACTGATTAATGTCGTAATAGAATGTCAGAACCAGCTGCTTCCGTTGCCGGTTCAGAACCTATGGAGGGTGATATGCTGAATGCCATCGAGAGCATTTGCTTGGGTTGTCTGGAAAGGTTGCAAAACCCTCCAGTATACCCTTGCTTTGTGAACGACGGGCGGACACGCTGTCACGCCTGCCATATATCGAATACTGGGCAAGGATCTTGGTGCGTTACTTGAGTTATCCGATAACGCTGGCGAAGATGAGGAAGCGGACGGTCCCGTTGAAGTGTTAGAAAGGAACGCAGCAGCATATTGCTGTCGTTGTATTCGACATTTAACAACGTCTCCCCGCCATCACTGTGAGCCTGCTGAGGGTCGACGCAAGAAATGCAAGCACTGCTCGGTGATGAAGCACGTTTGCGTTCCGGTAAGTAATCGTTCTATATATGTTTTGCGGGATATAAAATAACTCGTGTTTGGTGCCAGCAGACGCCGTTGAGTTGGCCCAGGCAGCTATCAATGCAGCTGAGGATTTAATTGTCGCTGGTGCAGACGCTTCGAACGTTAACGTTTTACAGGGCGCTGTGACAGCTGCAGTTAAGTTCTTCGCAGCGAAGATCCGTGGGGCTCAACGAAATGGTTCCCCTGAGGCCCCGGCTGAAACAGTGATTGGTGAGATCCCGGTGGCTACATCGCCGGTCGCAGCTCCCAAGTCATCGTTGAAACGTCGTGCTTCGCCAGTTGAGGAAATCCGGGGTAATAAGCAGGTCTGCCTTGGTGACAATTCCTCAAATGACACTGGCCAAGCTGAGGCGGATCTGTTTTTTAATCCCTGGGCGGAATAAGTATATCCAGCAGTCATCGTCGCCTTCTTCGTTTTCGTTTACTGACTGGCTCCTGATAGGTTTTATTAAACTGTTCCAAGTACTCCTGGCTGTTCACCAAATTTTCTTCAGGTTCCCAAGAATTATCCGCGTCTGTGCAATCCTTCCATTTAACAAGATATTGGGTTTGACCACGGTACTGACGTTTATCCAATATAGCTTCAACTTCCCATTCCTCCTGCGCGTCTATAATTATCGGTTCTGCCTGTGGGATCTGTCCGTCGCGCGCGTGATACGGTTCGAGAAGGGAAACGTGGAACACGGGATGAATTCCTTTATATTGTGGCGTAAGCTTCAGTTTGTACGCCTGCGTACCGCGTATATCAATTATTTGGAAGGGACCCAAAAATCGATGATCTAGTTTGGGTGAAGGTCGCAAGGTGGATATATTTTTTGCACGCAGCATTACCCAGTCCCCTATCTTAAAGCTTTTTGGTATATGGCGCTGATCATAATACTTTTTCTCAGCTGCTTTGGCAGCTTCTAGGCATTCTCGAATCCTGTTTTCCGCTTGCTTCATCCGTTCCACTTGTTCTATCGCCGACTTTGACGCGCCCGTGCTTGGGGGTTCCACGTCTATACGAAGTTCAGTTGGTCGGCCGATCATCGCTTCAGATGGTGTCATTTTTATCGATGCGTGGAAGGCGTTATTATATGCCCATTGCGCCAGGGGAATCCACTCTATCCAGTTATCCTGCTGGTAGCTGCAATATGTGCGAAGATAATGTTCAATCACCTGGTTCAATCGTTCCGTTTGGCCGTCGGTTTGCGGATGGAAGGCTGTTGATAATTTTCGTCGGACATGGAGTAAGTAACATAATGTTGACCAGAATTTGCTGTTTATTAATGAATCTCGGTCGCTAATAATGTTCGCAGGTAGGCCAAAGTTCTTCGCAAGCTTCCATACAATAATGTCCGCGAGTCCTTCCGCATCTAGCTTTGAAGATGTGGGTACAATTATGGCCCATTTAGTGAACGAATCAACAAATACGACAATAGCATTGTAAGTTTGACTTCCCTTCTTATTATCTGGTAGGCCTTCAATAAAGTCCATACTGATTGTATGCCATTTCTTATCTGGCACTGGATGTGGTTGTAGCAACCCGTACGGCTTATGCCGCGGTATCTTGACGCGTTGGCAAACATCGCAGGTCCTCACATATTCTGCAATCTCATCGCTCATACCATGCCACGAGTACTTGCGTTTGATCGCTTCGATGGTTTTGTCACGTCCAAAATGGCCACCTTGGGGATCATCGTGGTTCATTTTCATTATTTCATGCCTTACGGCCTTGTCTTGCGGTACGTAGACTTTACCATCTTTCCTGAGCAGGCCATCTTTGTCTACTGCCCAGGTCGAACGATCACCTACGCTAGCGTCACCCACCTCTAGTCTTCTGCGAAGTTCAGACGTGCCAGCGTCCCTATTCTGAACCTGCAGCAAGAGTTCGACAATAGATTCAGCTACCTCTTCGCGATAGGCTATCTCGGACTCAAATACCTTAACGGCTAGAATCCGTGGCACCAGGGTCCCTAGGTCTAACCCCGTAACGCCGGCGACTTCGTTCTCATCTGCAGGTGCGTTCTTTATCCTGCAGGGTTTGTTGTCATCGATGACTACGGGCCCCTTCGCCCAACAATTTTCTTTAACTTGCAGATTTTTTCGCACCATCTTGACACATTGGTCTAACTTTGTGTTTTCTTTTGTCTTTAGTGACTTAAAGATCCCCTTACGCAGCTTCTCTTGCAGGGTAGGGAGCCCCGTCAAGGGAGCTGCGTGTTTTATATAATCTGAGTGACGACTTGGTGCATCTGCGGGATTATTTTCCCCAGGATGGTGCTCAATTTCAAAATCGAACGCTGAGAGCATTTGCATCCAACGAATCTGACGCCCATTTAGCTGCTTCGTCGTCATGAAGCGCCGGAGGTTGGCATGGTCAGATAAAACAACTATTGGGTGCCTGCTACCATGTAGGTAGTGGCGCCATTGCCTGAAAGCTTCTACAATCGGCAACATTTCTAAATCATATGTTTGATAACGTCTTTCTGCTTCTGTGAGTTTTCTGGACCAAAACGCGATCGGGTGCCAGTGACCATCATCCATTAATTGCGATATTACTGCGGCGATTGCAACGCCAGATCCGTCCGTTTCTATACGGAGTTTTCGCTGCGGATCAAAATGAACTAACAACGGTGCTTTTGTAAAGCATTCTTTTAACTGCAGTATTGCGTGCTTGCAGTTCTCGTTCAGTTGGACAGGTGCGTTGTTCTTCCCCTTTTTTGTTTCGTATCCTTTTAGCAACTCAGTCAGGGGTGCCGTTATTATCGAGAACTTGTATATGAATCGTCGGTAGAAGTTGGCGAATCCTAGGAATGTTTGCAGCTCGTTTATTGTTCGCGGTTCAGGCCAATCTAGGATCGTATCGACGCGGCGTTTTTCGACAGTGATGCCCTGCGTGGTAATCACAAAACCCAGAAATCCAATTTCTGTTGCATGGAACGTACACTTACTAAGTTTCACATATAGTCTCCATCGCCTTAAACGTTCCAGCACATTCTTAACATGGGCGACGTGTTCGTCAAGCGTATTCGAATAGATTACGATATCGTCAAGATAAGCCACGCAATATACATCCAAAATATCACTGAGGGCCTTGTTGATATAAGATTGGAAAGTCGCAGGGGCGTTGGTTAGCCCAAAGGGTAAAACCAGATACTCAAAGTGTCCGTATCGTGTTCGAAATGCCGTTTTCCACTCATCCCCCGCTCGTATGCGAATTCTATGATACGCGTCCCTAAGATCCAATTGCGTGTATATTTTGGCACCTGCTAACCTATCGAGTATTTCACTTATCAGGGGCAGCGGATACCGATTCTTGACTGTTATTTCGTTCAACCCTCGATAATCTACGCAAAGACGCAGGGTTCCGTCTTTCTTCGGTGCGAATAATACTGGCGCACCGGCTGGGCTCTTGGACGGGCGTATCCAATTCTTCTCTAATGCCTTTTCAATATATTCTCGGAGGACGGAGAGTTCTTGAGGTGACAGGTTATATATCGGTCGGTACGGTGGTTCCTTGCCAGGTTTGAGATCTATGGCATGATCGTGGGGTGCGTGTTCCGCGTCAGGTATATCTTCTCGGAATACATCAAGATAATCCTTATAATCATCCGGGATATTTGGCTCAGTCGCTGCGTGCGCAGCTCGCAATGGAAAGGCGGCGAATATGATGTTGCTGTTGTCCATTAAAGTTGCAAATTCCTTAGCGGTATCTAGGTGCACGTGGCTGATATTTGACGCTTTCCTATAGGTCTAGCATCTTCGCACCTAGTCAATGTCGGGGTTCGCAGCTTGCAACCATGGCATACCCAGAATTACATCGTATCCGCTCATGTCGGCTTCTTCGAAATGGTGGAATCCTTCCCGAAGGACATGTTCATCATCGATAATCTTCATTGCAGCTTTTCGTTGTCCATATGATTTAACCCTATGATTATCAACTGCTTCCACTACTTTCGGTTTACCTTCTGACTTCGAGAAATATTTCAATGCCCAAGCATGGGACACGAAGTTCGCATCCGCGCCAGAATCTACTAACGTCCACGCCATTGACCATCCCACTTCTGTCAACATCCAGGTGTTCATTGCCAATAAGTGTTTATCTCGCAGCCTAGTCGTCTGTATTCCCAATGCAGCAGCTGCTCCTACGATTGGGATTGCTAGTTTTTTGCTTGTCGGACTTGGTTGCGCTTTTCGGGGTATAACATCCAACAATCGTTTGCGACATGCCCCTTCTTATGGCAGTGTGAGCACTCCTTCATCCAATTATATTTATCTTTCTTGGTTTGTTCAGTTAAACTCGTTTGTTCCTCTCGTTTCCTTTTATTCCGGCGGTTGCTAGATTTATCAGAACGACGCTGATTCCCTACGAATATCGCAGGTCTGCCTTTGCGAATGGCGCGTCGTCGCTCCGGCATATTTTCCTCGAGAGTCTATAGAGTTCGAAGCAACTCTTCGTAGTTCTGGGGTTCTTGATTTCGACGGTCGAGTTCGGTGCGTAGCACCTTCAATGCCTTACTACGCAGGTTATCCATTCTCTGTTCCTCGCTGTATGGGGGTAAGTAATACTCCCAATCTTCGAGATATTTAGAAAAGTCGCGTATCGACTGCCACTCCTGTTGCTTAGCATCCTGGAATCTTTGGCTCGCCAATCGACGCTGGTTCTGCGGGTCGTTAATTTGCATCTCTAGGTGTGATAGCATATCGTCGAATGTTAACGGTGTTGCTCCTCCGCGTCTCTCGTATGCTGATACAAAATTCAACCACTTCTGCTTAACGTGGGCATCAAGGTAGAGTTTGGCGTCGTTTATCTTGCGTTCTTCTTTTCGATAATATCGACGGTGGCGTGCAAAGAGAGTCAACATGCGATCTTTATAGTCCTCAAATTCTAACATATTCTTTCCTCGATAGTAATCCTTAATCTCCAATCTCGGCGGTGTTTCGTTATCATCATCCATATTGTCTGCGGGTCGATTTTGCGGTAGTTCTGCGGCGATATCCTGGGTTGGTCGGGACTCGATAAAAGTATCTTCGCGAATCTGTGCTTCCAACTCGTTGAGGCGTTGTTGCGCGTGCAGAATAGCTAACTGTTGCTCTCGTTCACGGATTTGATCGTTTAACTGTTGCAATCGGGCATTGTGGTCGTCGGAGGTGGTAGAGGATTCGGGTTGGTTCCCAAGGGATCTTGCGCGTGTCGAAACCATCTTGCGTGTTTTAAGTTGCGTGTTTTAACTAACGTTGCGTGTTTTGTTGTAGGTGTGCGTAACAACGGACCACTCAAATAAGGTTTAGAGCGATTAGAATTGTAAGAGATGGGCTACAAGAGTAATTACAAGAGTAGTGTGAAGTACGCACAAAGGATATTAGAAAGGTAGCAATCTCTATTGTTCAAAGCTAATCGCTGATCTCCTAAAATCCACGGATATCAGCGAGCATTATATAGATAATATTGCCATCGCCACGTATCTATCGCCACGTATCTATCGCCACGTATCTATTTCCTAATATAGATATCTCCGTTGCGCCTATTACAACAGCTCTGATATTAATCTTCATTATTTTCTTTACAGACACTTTCTATTGTATTTATGTTTTTTATACACTTCTCTACATTTATTACAATCTATATATATTTATTAATATACTCATTTCATGCGCCTCTGCTCAAAGTGTGGGGATTCTCATCCTCTCAGTGTGTTTGAATGGCCTCAATCCAATGCATTATTCTATACATGCTTTATGTGCTGTCAAACTCAGTATCGCATATGTGAGGCACATTCAATTCAAATCTCTCATCTGTCATTGGAGGATGTAACTGCTTCTGTGCTCAATTCACAGTGAGTTTATTATTATTATTATTATTCTTCCATTATAGATGTATGCAGTCAGTGGCTATGACATCTACCTGAAATACTCCAAGATTTTTCAACTTAAGAGTAAGCTAATATACAAAGTCAATTTAATACATGCAATAGCAGAATTCCAGCCCAGAATCAAACAACTATTCAAACTATTCAATTTAAGAAAGAATGTCAAAAGAATGACAACAGATCAATACATTCAATTCTAAACAAATGAAATAAAGAGTATAAAAAACAGCAGCTATTAAAAGAAAAGAAAGCATTCACAAATCAAACTTTTCAAAACAAGTCAAAATTAAAAGTAATCAAAATGAAATAAATTTCAAAGCAAAAGTAACAAAATAAAAATAAAAACAAGAACAAAAATTAAAGCAAATACATAGAAACAAAAGAAAAAAAAAAACAAAAATTGAATTCATTATCAGATTAAACTATTCAATTGAAATCTTGTAGCAATATTTGATTCTTTCACTTCTCTCTCAATCTCAATCTTAACTCTGTATACTTTGTACAAAGTAATAGAAGATGCTATGAATTTTCATATAACTGATAATCTAAATATAAATCACTTAAATCATTTCTAATCTTTGTTAAATATATTTAAAATAACCATGTCCAAGCTTTAGCTGCATTATTGTAGCAAAAAGTTTCCTTTTACATTTTATTGAGCAAGCTTTTTATTTTGGCTTAGTTTCAAACCTGGAATAATATACACCCTTTTTTTGTAAAAACCAGATATTTTGCTATTTTTGCAAACATAATTCTCTTATTTTTCTCTTAATATAAGCCCATGTTACAATTCTTTGAAAGCAGACCTCCAATTCAGTTGCTTTTTTTACAGCTTTATCAGCCATTTCATTGCCATATATACCCATGTGAGCAGGCACCCAGTGAAGATGAATAGAACAATTGAATGAGATTTTTCTTTGAATATTTTGAAAACTTTTCAAAATCAGCTCTAGTATTGACTGTCCACTGCTGATATTATTACTTTGAAGTCTTTTAAGCTCAGCTTAACTATCAGAGAATATTCAAATATGCTCAAATCTTTTCCATTGTTCAATCTTCATCTCAACCAATTTGAAAGCTCTTGAAATTGCAAATAATTCAGCATTAAAAACTTCTGACTCTTTTCCAATTTGCCAAGAATCAAGAGTATAGTTTTTATCATTTTCTGAATATGCTATTCCAGCTCCAAGATTGCCTGTTTTCTCACATTTTGAGCCATCAGTGTATATAAGAATTGCTTTGTTTCTCATTTGTTTTAGAAGATTTAGATGTTATTCAGTCTGAACTTCTTTTGAAATTTGATTAATATTTAAATCAATAAGACTGACAAGATGTTTCTTCCAATGAGAGAGATTTTCAAAGACCACTTTCTCCACATTTAAACTACAGAAACTGTTTTTAATCATGGAGCAAATTCTAAATAACTGAGATGGTATCTTCTTTCTTTGCACAGATATTGAATTATCATATAAATTTATTTCATTCTAATCAAAATATGACTCCCAATTCAGATTTACTCCAGTTGATTCACTTGGAAAAGAAGTTGAGACTCTTTTTCTAATTGAATGATTGGGATATAACTTCATAATTCTGAGAGCATAATTCATACAGATTTTATCAAATCTCACTTATGGTGGTGGTAGAGAGGCTTAAATTTCCATGGCTTTAATTGAAGAGGTTTTATAGTGAGTTGAGCTGTCACATTGTGATGTGTGCTGTGAAGATCATCCATCTCATCTGTTCCACACTGCTATTCATGTCTTTAAAAACTGCACTGACTGCCGGGCTCTCAATTGTGAATATACTCATGATGTCAAACACTGTTGTTGGGTAGCTGCTGCTGCAGTTCCTGCAGCAGATGAGTTTGCTGATCATATACATACAGATTCATCAGATCAGCCAGCTCTTGATGATTTCAACACTCAAACTGACTCAACTATCTCTGAATCAGCTGTTAAGTTTTTAATCATTCACAATTATCAATCTGTCCCCTGCGGCTTCTGCTTCTACATCTGTTGCTGTCAACCACTTAATTTTGACTGAATGGATGTCTACTGCTCTGCCTGCAGAGCTAAGCATTGAATTGATAAATGTGTACACAGATTGTTAAAGACTCTTTCAATGTTTTTCACATACTGTGCAAGAGATGCTGTGAGACTGCCATCCGTCAAAAAATTTTCATCAGAGTTATATGAACTGTTTAATGACAATACAGCTGATGTGAAGCATTTCTGCAGACATATTTGGCCAGCAGCACGGCCACACAACCGGGCGACAGCTGTTGCCTATCTAGGGTCTCTGACCCCTACAGACTTTGTAGAACTGCTGGACTGCACGCAGTTCTACACACGGTACTGCACAAGGTAACGCAGCCGGCTGGCTGCAAACCATCTGACAACCCCCGCAGCAGTTCCACGAGGCCGGCCTGCTGAGTACACCCACGGTAGCTAGTGCAGCTGCCAGGGACATCACAGTCTATGCAGACAGTACAGATAGCACAACTAGGCTCATCTGTCTCAATTAGCTGTGGTGTAATCAGTACAGTCCACGTGTCTGACTCAGCTGATATGGTTTTGACTGCCGGCATTGTATCTACGCGTGCTCTGCTTTGTTTTCCTCTCGTTTGCCCTTGTCTCTATCGGCTCAAATGCTTCTTCTTCCTTCTTTTCTTTGCTCTCTCTGTCATTCTCTGCTCTTTTCCTGTCACAACCTTCTTCAGTGCTCTCTCCTTCATTATTTATCTTGTCTGTCTTTCTTCTGATGTTAGAAGCACAGACAGCTTTCTGATCAACTGAGAGAGGTATCCCTCTCTGCTCACTATAAAGCCTTCCAGGCACGGCAGCGGCGGTCCCCTCAGGGAACCACACTATAGCCCCACCATGAATGGCCATACGTCGGGCCAGAAGTGGATGCGCAGCTCAGAAAAATCCTTTGCAATGAGCTGAGTCTTCTCAAGAGTTGCCACCTGGATTCTGTTTTCTCTCTCTGTGTACATAGAAATCTCTCCAGCGTAGCACGTCTCCATGCCCTTCGGGAGGCTTCTGAAACACGGGCGCTGCCCGTGTTTTCTCCGGGACGTTAAACCTATACATACATACATACATATTTATACCGCTAAGAAGCGCCACCACGTCTTAATGAGTAATTACATTTAGCTTCAAATCACCCCGCATTCTATTTATATGAGATTGCTATGTATTAAGAATTGATTCCTCTTTCTTCTCTAATTTCTCATCTCTGGCATCCCATCTGACAATTCATGACTGTTAAAATATGACACTCAATAATGATATTGCCACAAGAGCTTTTGTGGGGGTTCTTAAATCACTCTATTTTGACAAATCAAATGCTGAAATCACAGAAATCACCCAGATCTCAAAGAGTCAAATCAATCATATATATAAACACACAAATGAATGTGGATTTAACTCTGAACTGCCTCATATTATACTTTGTGATGAATGGCTTAAAGATGCCTTCAAATCTAACTGATCAACTCAGAGAAATGATAGCATTAAGAATGCTATTCTTGTAAAGATTCAATGTGATCACTATGAATAAGAAAAGAGTTGTATTGATTTTGCCAATGAATTCAGTAATGAAGAAATTGAGATATTTTCTATGATTATATAGAGGATTCTTCACAAAGCAGACTTTTGAAAAATAAAGTCTATATAAAAATCAGAATTTATTAAAAAAAATGTGATTAGATTGACTTCAATTCTGTCTGAAGCATAAGAATTGAATCTTGAAAAATTGAAAGAATGTCATAAAATCAGATGAAACCTTTGTTATTCTTCTTCATTAATGCAATGAATATAGAATATAACACACATTTCATGAAGTGTATTCTTGAAACTGTATATATGAATGATGAAAAAGATTTTATGAATTCATGTTCAGGGCCTGCTTCTCATATGATAAGAAGGGTTCATTACTGTTACAAACCTACGGCACAACCCTGAGAGCCATTGGACAAGGAACGACTAAATGGTAGAGGGCATGCAAGCTAGACATCGGATAAGGGAAGATCCGGTTAACCAATAGGAACAATAGGTCACGTGACATAGTGGATCACCTGGATCACTCGGATCACTCGAGTGAGCGGAGTGATCACAGCTATCCTCGCTCTGATAGCTATCTTGGCAAGAGCTATCCGAGCTATCCTCATGTATCTCAAGATGTATATAAACACACTCATTACCCTTAGGATCAAGGAGCTTATCTTCTTGGTCAAAGTCAATGAGTTGAGGTGCGATGTTTGATGGGGTAAGCCATCAACCCCAACCAGACCCAACTAAATATATATATTTTCACCCAGGCAACGGAGCGGTGCAAAGCGGTGCGAGATCAACAAAGTAAATAAAAATAGCAAAATATATAAAAAAACTGAAAGGCTTCATTCTGGAGTGATTTTAAACACAGAAAAACAAACATTAGTCGAACACGCTGGACCCAAAGCCGTTGGACGTCAAACCCGTCCAAGGAGCCCATTCACCCATTGGACCCGAACCCGTTGGATGAACCCATCAACCTGTTGGAAGTCGAGCACGCTGGACGATTATATCAGAAGGTAGAGGGGGGGGTTCAAAAATATTGGAGTTTTAAAGAGCATTATCCCATACAATAATGGGCCAGGGTTAGGATTACAAAGAGTGAGGGTAGAGGCTGGGGGGGAGGATGAGGTGGTCAGAGTCAGGGTTAGAGTGAGGGGTTTCAGGGAGGTCAGGGTAACCCATTGGAAGTTGAGACGTTGAAACCATTGGAAGTCGAACCCGTTGAACGAACCCGTTAACCCGTTGGACCCAAACCAGTGGGATGAAACCATTTAAAAGTCTAGTACCACATTGACAGGCTAAGACCAACACCACAGATATAGAAACATCTACATATTTTAGTATGAGATGATAGAGCAGCCTCTGGGCATTAAACTGATATATTCCATATTCCCATAGCCCATGTAGTGGTGGAGATATTGTGGTTTAAACAATGGAGGGTTCTATGGGACGATAATACCGTATTAGGTTAGCGTATATTTTCTACAGCAGCGCTAACCCGTTACAGTATTATCGTCCCAAAGTCCCGGTCAGCGCAAGGAGTGGTTAGATGTGGATGAAATCATGCATGCTGGCTCTCTACCAAACATATTCAATGCTATCTAAGTTGCAGGTCAGTGGAATAAAAATTACGTTGTCAATCAAGGATGCAATTCTCTAGGGTTATTGCTAGGGTTAATGCTAGGGTTATTAGGGTTATTTCTAGGGTTATTATTAGGGTAGCTAGGTTTCTAACATCTTTTATCTCCTTATCTCTTTTAACTTCTCCAAAGGCTACAGTACCTTAAGCTTAATTAATAAGATGGCTATTGGTCAAGTAGCTTTGGAAGCAGTTATAAGCAAGATTAATTCTAAGTTCTATCTACCTCTATCGCAGGAGATCCCCAACGGTGCTCTATATATATATATTTATCCGATCGTGGATTATGCCGTGTTGGAAACCTTGCCCCCTTTGGATATGTTGGATATATCTGGCGGCCTTAGTATATATCCTCTATATATCCCCACGTCCATAAACGCCACGCATATTAACAACATCTATTTATTTATATCACTCAGCATGTAAGTCCGGCCATTTGTAAGGACTAGGCCTAGGGAGGTTGTAAGGTGGGCTAAAACCCGTGGGCGTTGAGGGCCCTAACCACCTCGGCCAAAAAACCAAACACTATGATACCGACCGGCATCATAGGCGCCCACACCTATATATATAGTTAAATCCCCGGGGCATGCCGGCGCATGGGCCGTGGCATGACAGAGGTTATGGAACGATGTGAGGGCATAACGATATATATATATGAAGCTGTTGAACATAGGAGTGATTGATATAAGACTATTCACTGCGTGGTTCTGGGTGCTGAGTTAGCCCTGTATCTTCATACCAGTGGGTTCCAGGGACCCCCTTAAACTTGAACCTCTCTGCATGCCTTACTATATAGGCTCCAACACGTGTAGCTATATGAGGTTTTGGGCCTCACACTGTTATATTGTATTGTTGATAGATCGAATCGCACAAGGTATAATACTATAGAATGAAATAGTAATAATCGGGTCAGATTTTCTATCATAGAGTATTAAATAAAATTAAGTACAGAACAGCATCATCACCATGGAGGCCAAGAGAATTAATTCTCCAACTGAAAGTGCAACAGGTTCAGCGTTTTAGTTGCTTTATAATGGCTGTTTCAGTTCAGTAAGACTCTTCCCTGCCAGCACCAAACATGTGGAGAGCTGATCAAGCTACCATTCTATCCCAGTTGACCAGAATCCTTGGGAACAGCCTTTGGATGTGTCCCCACCATTGCTCCAGCAGAGGACCGATGTCTCTGTGGTTCAAAAGCAGGCTCTCCCCATGCAGAATGAACCTGGGAACAATGAACCTGGAAACTCTTCATCTTTCTCACCCTCATCACCTGGTGGCCTCCACCCGCCCCCTCAGTCTCCCACACCAGCATCCACGGTGAGCCATTACGCCCTTGCAGATGATAACAGGTGGTTCGATATGGATGGTCCATCTGCAGATGTGGATTCATTTGATGATGTGGAAGATAGAAGCCAATCCAGCTACAGGATGACCCCAGAGGCCATCCATCTTGTAGAGCACAGGAGATCAAGCACAGCTCCTCTCTCACCAACTGCTGAGGCCTTATCACCCCTCTCATCACCACCCTCTGCGGCGGCACCACCACCCCAGGCTCCAGTGTCCATTCTTGCCCAAGGGCTTGCCGAGCAGCTGCAGCAGCACCATGGCTGTATGGGGGACAGCCACTGGGAGTATCCCTTCGACATGCGGCCTGTTGACCATCCCTCCCCGCCTGGGACCCCCTTCCCCTCCAAGGCGCCACCATCCCGGCCCATCCACTCTGTGCGCCTGAGTGAGATCATCCAGTGGGCCTGCCCGGATATCCTGTCGCGGCCACAGATAGCTCAATTTGGGGAGCCCTGGGATGAACAGCTCCCCACACTGCAGAGGCAGAAGATCTTCAGTGGGCTGGATGTCAGGGATGACTCCACCCCTCCAGAACCACCCACCGTGGACATCGCCTCGGAGGACGTCCCCGACGGGCCACTGATGCCATCCATGGATATCGACAGCGTGGGGGGGTTCGCCTCCAGCCTCGCTGTGGCCCGGGCGGGCATTCACTGGCTGGCAGCTAGGCCCCCTGTGTCCTCCCTCCAGGCAGGGCTGCATCTCTCCCCAATCCCCGTGACATGGGAGCCCTCGTCAGAGGCCTCATGCCCCCGGCGCAGCCAGAGACCGATCCACCAGATCCCACATCTTCCCCTGGGCCGGCTGGGTGGGTTCGAGGATCTAGAGCTCTACGCCCTGTTTCCCAAACTACATGACCCCGAGCGCCAGCACTTCATCATCCGCGAGGATGAGTACCGGCTGTGGACCGATCAGATTGTTCTTCCTGCCCTCCATGAGTGCTACTCTACCGCCCTGCTGGGCCACATCCCCTCCAGCACCGATCATATAAGGCTCAATGCCACCGCGCGATGGGTTGAGGGCCGTGTGAGTCACAGCAGCAGTGCACCTCGCGTCCAGCTTTTTCGGCACTTTCTCCCCCCAGAGGGTCTGGCCCCACTATGGCAGGCAATCCAGACGCGTATCCAACAACCTACACTGCTTCAGTTCCAGGGTGTAATGCTCTTCCTGACAGCCAAGAACCTGAAGCTGCAGACCCAGAGCCGCACCTGGATGGAGATGCACAAAAGGTTCCTCCACCGATGGGAGCTTGCAGTCGATCCCCAGTTTATTGAGGAGGAGTTCATCGACATTGGCAAGGAGATCTGCCCCCCTCAGAGCTACCTGGCCACACAGCAGGCAGACCAGATCCCCGGGACAGTGCTGTGGCGGCGGTGCTGCCTGCAGAGCTTTGCACGGTGGTGTGGGGACTGTCTGCCTGAATCCACCACAGCACCAGACCCCAGCGGCACTGGACATGAGAGCCAGAGAGACAACGGGGACACTGAAGAGGATTCTGGGGGTGATGTATACCATGAGCACACTGATCAGGTGGACCTCCCCACCAGCAGCTCTCCTCAGCCCCAGAAGGTCAAGAACCCCTTCCACCAGGAGTTCTACCCAATGTCCTTCCTGTCTGAAGCAGGCTCACTGACCCTGGAGACGCGGCCCCGATCGGCACTTCGACAGTCAGGGCTACTCTACTGCCAGTTCTACAACACAATCAAGGAGGTCTTCGCGGCTGGGAATCACTATGCCTTCGGGGCTGAACACCTGGACACCCTTGCTCTGGACCCAGGCCTGGTCCGCATGTGGCAGCACGTTGGCCGCGGGGTCAGCCATCAGCCACTACAGGTGCTGCAGGCGTACCTTCACACCAAACAGCGCTGCCACCGGGCACTGGAGGCCTCCCGACAGAAGGCCTTCGCAGTGCGTGAGGAGTACCGGGTTAGCGGCGAGCTCTACCGGGCCATCCACGCGGCCATGCAGGATCAGGGGTGGGTAGATGAGCCACTCCCCCAGCCTGCATCCTCACTGAGGCCCTTCCACCACCAGCCAACACCACTCATCATGGACTGGCTCCGGTGGAACATCAACCGGCTCTGCACGGGGTTTGAGATGGTCTACAGCCTCCGGCAGCGGAACCTCGTGCAGTGGGAGCACACACGTGTGATGATGATGTTCCTCCAGTGCCTGCAGCACATGTATGGCGGGCAGGGGCGTCACCTACGCCACAGCAACGGGCTCTGGCTCGACCGTGTAGTCCAACCCCGGCGTGACGGGCAGGGCGAGCGAGTCCAGGAGGGGATGGGGTTCCAGAGCAACCTCCGGCGGTATCAGTACGCCTGGATGTGCGATAAGCTGGACTGGACCGCAATGATCTTCAAGCCTGCACACCGGGCCCATCTGACCTTCAACACGCCCACCCTGCAGCAGGCGTTCCACCACCGGTATGGGCAGGTGAACTCAGCCAAACGGGACTTCCTCCTCGTCCAGGACCTGCTGGCGCGGATGCGCGACCCAGCCACCACCACCACTCAGGCCCGTCTCCTGCTCCAGCTGTGCATTGACACCTGCCTGCGGGCATTCCGCAAGGAGGTGTTTACCCACCTAGACCAGGGCCAGCGGGTCTCATGGCGCTGGCAACCCCAGCAGCGGCAGCAGGCCCTGGCCGGGGAGATCGCACTAACCTGGGCCGGGCTGCAGTTGGTGTTCCCCGAGCTCACCGACCCGGGAATGATACACGCGGTGGCAGGTCACAACATGCGCGTGCGCAGCATATCCGTCCTGTTCACATGGCTCTGGGGGTGGGAGGGGGATGGCAACAGGTGCATTCTAGCACGGCAACACTGGGTGGATAAGCCCTACCGGTTGCTGTTCCAGCAGTGCTTCGGTGAGGTGGCCCTGGCATTTGGGGTCGAGCAGGCCCGGGCTTGGCGGGCCAACCTGCGGTCGATCTTCATCCGCACCCACTGGCTCCTCCCATACCCCTCATCAACCAGCTTCTGGTCCCATGGTGGGCAGCGGCGCCTTCAGTGGTGGTCTAGCGTGCACCCCGGCGTGCAGCAGTACGTCCGGAAGAAGAAAAAGAAGCAGCAACCATCTCCAGATCCAGCCCCACTGCACATTGAGCCCTGGGAGGTCGTTCACCTCCCCCTGAGCGGCTGGGAGCGCTCCTCCTCTGTCATGCAGGGGATCGACATCAGGCTTCCAAGCACGCCGGACTCCATAGATGATTTCCTCACTGATGTGCCACTGGAGCCTACTGAGGAGCCCACCATGCGTGATGAACACATCCTGCTCCCAGTGATTGGGCAGAGTGTGAAGCTGATCTACAGCACGCTACCAGACATTGCACCAAGCTACCAGCTACGGTCCCACAGACGGGGAGAGCACCAAGGCACTCCACAGCATGATCCTGCATGGTGGAAGTCCCACCTCCAGTCCTATCTACAGAGGCTCATCCAGAGCAAGCATGATGCCATCCAGTCACTGAAGTTCGCCCAACGGTCCCGCCAGTGGCAGAGTGGTCCACAGCCAGTACAGAAGATAGCTAACACCGAGCCGGATTCCGATCCTGAGTCACTGAGCCAGCAGTATATCCAGGAGGTAAAGCAGCTCCAGGCTCTGAAGAAACAAGAGCGGAAGGTGTGGGAATATAACACCCGATATATGCATCATTGGCAGCATATGAAATCACTGCAGCAACAGTCCCAGAGCAGTGCCAGCAGTCGATGGTCTGCACAAGAATGGAAGAGCTTCCAGGAACAGTTTCAACGGGCGCGGCATCGGGCACAGAAGTATGAGTATCAGCTGAGAAAGTCCACCCACAAGATCACTGAGCAGGTAGGATGACAGATTCAGCGTGATGTGGTGATAAACAAGCAGCAAATAAAGGTAGTGTTAAATCGTCAATTCAGATTAAACAGAAATAGAGATATTAAAACAGTTGTAAAAGGGAGATATATATATATTCATAACCCTATGAGATAATGTTTTCCTGTTCTTAATAGTCTGCATCTTATTTGATTTTAGTACTCCTCTGATGAATGTTATTAGGTCCCAAATAAATTTCATATTGTCTTTATTGATTGGTATTTTTCCTTCTTCTCTTCTTCCTCATCATTAATGTTCTATATAGCTCCAACTGGCCCCAGTTGAAACAAATACTTCAATTAGAGTTTTTACTTCTAGTAGTCTTTATTATACTACACCACCTGGGGAAGAACAATCTACAATGGAGCCTGCATATAGCAGGCCTTAACTGCAATACCTACCACATCCAGTGGTTAATGCTGCCATGAATGATAATTCAACCTACACTAATCTCCATCTATATAATTCTTATGATCCCTTCACCCTCCTCCTATCACCCCCCTTATAACCCCCTATATGCCCCCTATAACCCCCTCCCTATCAACCTCTCCTATCGCCCCCTCTATTGAAGTGGTTTACAGGGTATTGTGCTTCAGGCGGTAGCAAGCAAGCAAGGATCAGGCTTTTAGTATAATGATTTGCTATTTAATCATCTATAATAATTATAAATGATAAAACAACAAGAAAAGAATCAGGGCAACTAAACTAATCAACCACTGAGTCAATTGACTTTTAAACATTGCATGTAGGCCGTAGTGGATATGGAATACAACATATCCAAATCAAAAGCGATAATTCCGCCGGGAAGGGGTTAAATTGTGGTGTCAAAGTCAATGAGTTGAGGTGCGATGTTTGATGGGGTAAGCCACCAACCCAACCAGACCCAACTATATATATATATTTTCACCCAGGCAACAGAGCGGTGCAAAGCGGTGCAAGATCAACAAAGTAAATAAAAATAGCAAAACATATAAGAAAACTGAAAGGCTTCATCCTGGAGTGATTTTAAACACAGAAAAACAAACATTCACACCAGATCAGATCTGTCAAGTTTCACACAAAGACACTGAATGAAGGAAATATATATATATTCAATGCACAAGACAGACCAGCATCGACATGGAACATCAATTATTTATCCACTGTGAATCATACCTCATTATCATATGCCGCCGGTGCAAGCACGCTGTGTGGCCAACCGAGATTGAACAGCATCTGAAAGGCAAGGCCCATCAGCTAAAGCATGCGGTGGTTCAGCAGATAAAGGAGAACATTGAACAGTGGGACAATGTGGCTCGAGATACTACACAGTTAACACTGCCCACATACTACACAGTTAACACTGCCCACAATACTGAATGAACCAATCCCGGAACTACCCATTCAAGATGGCTACAGGTGCCAGCGGGATCCCCAGTGCCAGTATGTGGCAGGGAACATGAACACCATGCGCAAGCACTGGCAGAACAAGCACAGCTGGTCGCCATATCCCAGCCGTGGCCGTACAGCGCCACAAAAGCGTACGGCAGCACAGGATGAGGTGGACAGATCATGCCAGAAGGTGCAGTTCCAGCAGGTATTTGCATCGCGCAAGGGCTCCCACTACATACAGATCCAGACTAAGGAGACTACTGAGCACACCGGCACGCCAGACCAGAACAGAGCCAGCCATGTCATTGATGAGCTGGAGCGGTTTTACCGGGAACAGCAACGGCAGACCAGCAATGTCATCCAGGCCGGGGAGCACGATGAAGCCAACCCATGGCTCCGGCGGACCAGATGGCCGGTGTACTTGACCAACATCGCACCCAATGATCTGGTCAACTGCGTGCAGCGGCCCGACGATGACACCACGTGCCCAGATGAACTGGCCGCGAGGGCCATCTGGGAGGCCATGGGGCAGGTTGCCCGTACCAGCCAGCGAGTCATCACACGGCTGGGCCACTTCGTCCGCATCGAGGCCATCCGCACAGAGCGACACCAGACCCGGCACACCTCGTTGCAGGCATACATGGACGAGGAGAGGAGAGCATCGCCGAGCACGTGAGGCCATGGCAGCAGATGTTGATGTTTTTCGCCCGAACGCAGGTCGAGCATGAATGGACGAGCGCACAGTACCGGTTCACACCACGGCAGCGCAAGACATGGAGGGTATTATGGCAGGTAGCCACCACAGAGGGAGCCGACCAGCGACACTCCATCAGCCCAGACCCCATGGATGAGCAGATGACTGAGGAAGAAGAAGAGGAGGAGGAGAAGGGACAGAGAGATACCCAGCCAGAAGAAGAAGATAAGTTCAAATTAACCAAGATGCAGATGGCATGTTTGGATTTTTGCATTGAGCTGCTGAACCAGCGGGTTCAGGTGGAGGATTATGAGTGCGCGCTGGTAGACGCGTTGGCGGTGCTGGGACGGGGGGAGTATGGATGGTGCGACGCGGAGAGCTACCCACCAATATTGTCACGGATCATCAAGGTGGCACGGTTATGCCACACGGTGCTCAACGACCAGGTCAACTTCCGGCCCCAGATGCAACAGCTCGGCAAGCTGATGGCGGCCAAGACACAGATGGTGCTGCTGACGGCCACACTGCCACCCGGTGAGGAGGAGAAGCTGTGGTCCCGCATGCACTGCACCCGAGCGGACATATCATTGTTCCGGGCGCGGACATGCCGTCCAAATGTGGCATACCGAGTGTGGCAACCCATCATTGAAGGGTCAGAGTACGGTGGGCTCAACCGATGGTTTCAAGCACCCAGCGTGGTCAGGTTCATCCAGGACCGCATGAGACGGACGGGAGAAGGCAAGGGGGTGGTGTACTGCCAGACGGTGAATCAGGTCACGACGATGGCAAGCGCATTGGGGTGCGAGGCATATCACCACCACCAGATCGACAAGGCCGGCATACTGGAGCGTTTCCGACAAGGTCAATACCAGGTCATCGTGGCGACAAGTGCACTGGGCATGGGCATCGACATCCCCAACATCCGCAGCATCATCCACGTCGGACGGCCGCGATCATTGCTGGATTATGGACAGGAGAGCGGGCGTGCAGGGCGTGATGGACAGGCCAGTGAAGCCATCATCATTGAGCCCGAGGGTATCAGTGCAGCAATGATATGGTCAAGAAAGGATGCACCATCACTGCTGGACCAGAAGCTGGTTGATCGGTACATGCAGGCAGGGGGTGAGGAGGGTGATGAACCGATGGCTCGATGTCGACGGGTGGTGCTGGACCAGTACCTGGACGGGGAAGTGGAGGGTTACATGAGACGGCACTGCGGTGATCGACACACAGGGGAGTCCCAGTGTGACGGGTGCGATGCCGAGTGGGAGGCCAGGGAGGCCGTGTTCACCCCCAGCCCAGGTGGCACGCCCACGCCCACACCCAGTCCAGGCTACAGTTCAAGAGCAACAGCCAAGGATGACTCCAGCGAGGATGAAACCAGCCAGGAGTCAGAGATGGAGAGCCAGCAGGGTGAAACCCACATCAGATTCAACAGCACATGCAGTCCCAGAATGGCCAGAAGTGTGAGCAAGAGCCCAGACGACAACATAAATGAAAGCAGCACCAAGAATGAAGCTTCAACTTCAGGCGGGAGCAGCCCGGGTCAATGGAACAAGCAAGAGTCAAGTGAAATCAGTGAAGACACCAGGGGCATCCCATCAACAACCAGACAGACATTCCACAAGCAGGATGTCCGTCGAGGCCGGTTCATCATCACACACCAGCAGCGAGGGCAGAGGGCATTGATGGATGAGGAGGTTTTAGTGGAAGAGGCGCAGAGGTGGAAGGATCAGTGTTTGATATGTGCAAGTGGCAAGCGGGAGTTTGACCATGAGCTGTACCAGTGTCCCCACGAGGAGAGCCAGGAGGCAAAGAGATGGATGATGACAGTGCGGAGCAAGATCAAATACACACAGTATTCCGGGTGCTTCCGATGCGGGATGCCGCAGTCCATATGCAACAGCTGGAAGACACAGAGGCAGTGTCCGTACAGGGGATTTTTGATCCCGACAGTGGCAATGATGATGTATGGGTGTCACAGCAGCTGAGGGAGTTCAATGTGAATGCAGATGATCAGGAGGCGGTGATTGAATTTTTGAGACAGAAGGTTGAGGGGCAGGGCATCGAGCACAACCAGCTGATGGAGATGTTTTGTTGGCTGCGAGGGATATATCAGGAGGCAGAGAGGGGGAAGATCGAGTCAGAGGGTACAGGGGTCAAGTGATATGACGGGTGAGAGGCACCACAGGGGGATGAAAGACGTATATATATATAAAGGCAGGTGAAGCAAGAGACAGAGGGTAAAGGGATATAACATCGAGAGAAAGTAGATCAGGTTCAAAGGATCAGTTTCAAACAGTATCATCCCATATGATAATGGGTCAGGGTCAGGGTTACAAAGAGTGAGGGTAGAGGCTGGGGGGGAGGATGAGGTGGTCAGAGTCAGGGTTAGGGTTGACAAAGAGTGAGGCTAGAGACAGGGGTGGGCAGTGAGGTCAGGATAGGCGGTTAAATTAGACGCAAACCCGTTAACCCATTGAAAGTCAAACCCGTTGGACGTCGAACCCGTTGGACGAGGAAGTCGAACACGCTGGACCCAACCCGTTGGACGTCAAACCCGTCCCAGGAGCGCATTAACCCGTTGGGAGTTGAACACGCTGGACCCAAACCCGTTGTCTAGTACCACATTGACAGGCTAAGACCAACACCACAGATACAGAAACATCTACATATTTTAGCATGAGATGATAGAGCAGCCTCTGGGCATTAAACTGATATATTCCATATTCCCATAGCCCATGTAGTGGTGGAGATATTGTGGTTTAAACAATGGAGGGTTCTATGGGACGATAATACCGTATTAGGTTAGCGTATATTTTCTACAGCCGCGCTAACCCGTTACAGTATTATCGTCCCAAAGTCCCGGTCAGCGCAAGGAGTGGTTAGATGTGGATGAAATCATGCATGCTGGCTCTCTACCAAACATATTCAATGCTATTTAAGTTGCAGGTCAGTGGAATAGAAATTACGTTGTCAATCAAGGATGCAATTCTCTAGGGTTATTGCTAGGGTTATTGCTAGGGTTATTAGGGTTATTTCTAGGGTTATTAGGGTTCTTTCTAGGGTTATTATTAGGGTAGCTAGGTTTCTAACATCTTTTATCTCCTTATCTCTTTTAACTTCTCCAAAGGCTACAGTACCTTAAGCTTAATTAATAAGATGGCTATTGGTCAAGTAGCTTTGGAAGCAGTTATAAGCAAGATTAATTCTAAATTCTATCTACCTCTATCGCAGGAGATCCCCAACGGTGCTCTATATATATATATTTATCCCGATCGTGGATTATGCCGTGTTGGAAACCTTGCCCCCTTTGGATATGTTGGATATATCTGGCGGCCTTAGTATATATCCTCTATATATCCCCCTAACCACCTCGGCCAAAAAGACCAAACACTATGATACCGACCGGCATCATAGGCGCCCACACCTATATATATAGTTAAATCCCCGGGGCATGCCGGCGCATGGGCCGTGGCATGACAGAGGTGATGGAACGATGTGAGGGCATAACGATATATATATATGAAGCTGTTGAACATAGGAGTGATTGATATAAGACTATTCACTGGCCCTGTGAAGATATGGGGTCCAGCGAGGTTATATACACTGCGTGGTTGGGTCATAGAATGAACGTTGTTTTGTATTAAAACTAACTAGCCGAGCAACAACTAAATAAGATTGGGGAGCACGTGATCTAGGGTAGCCGTAGTATCCACCTACACCCCCCCATGCTACGGCGCCGCCGAGTTCAAAACACCCGATCCACGCCTGCCCGGCCAAATCATCCAAATCCGCAATAATAATTAATTACACGATTCGGACCCTGATTACCCGATTAGGGAAGGTGCCCTTACGGGTCATAACCGTAAAAAATCAAAAGAAACACGCAAATGACCATCCATCCCCGTATTCCCCTTACGCCCATCCTGGGCCGCAAAAAAAAAATCAATTAGTCTCCGCCAATCCTAACTTCTCAACGCAATCAACGAATGCGGGCTTCGCCAAAGGCTTCGTAAATCCGTCCGCTTTATTGGCAGTAGAACCAACGTGGAGGAGCTCTATCTCATCCTTTTCAACAAGTTCTCGAAGGATATGGTAGCGGATCTCTATATGCCTTGATCGTCTGGGTAGGGACTCCCCCTTCGCAGGATCGATGGCACCTTTATTGTCAACCTGCAGATTTGAGCAGATCTTTCCCTTTCCTTCCAGTAATCCGGCGTCATACAGCATGTCATTGAGCCAGACCAATTCGCACGCAGCCTCGCTGGCAGCAATATATTCGTATCATACATACTTTTCATAGCGCACCTTCATGTTTCGGATCTTGTCCTTCAGATCAACATTACTACGGTCCTGTAGAACTGCACCATCTGAATGTTCCTTATCCATCAGCTGCAGGATCCTCCATTTTGGCCCATTCTCGACAAATAGCTGGAGAAGACGTCTCTCCTCCTCCTCAGACCACATGCGTCGGGGCGGCAGTGGGCTACCATCACGGCGAGTGGTGGCTGGCCTCCGCAGCTGGGTTGCCCTGGGGGGAAGAGATGGTGGAGGTGCTGGTGATGAGTGCAGCTGCTCTGAGGATAAGAGCGGGTCAACACTCTGCTGATGAGACGGCAAATCCAATGAATGTGAGGGTTCCGATGATGATGATGATGCTGACTGCATAGAGATATGGTGATCTTTATCCTTGAGGGGTAATGGCTGTTCTGGGGCGTGGTCATCTTCACTATAGAATGACTCGGAGTAGGGCTGGAATAATAATGAAGAAGAACCATCCTCATCATTTAAAGATCCAGTGGGATTGGAGAATGCCGTCTGCTGTCTATGGCCCTGCCTATGGCCCTGCCTATGGCCCTGTCTAGTCCACTGGGGAGTATCCCTATTGACTCTGACTGACTCTGGAGGAGCCCGGCCATGATGCCTCCATGATCTTTTGATCTTTGAAGAGTCATCTTCAATCAAGGAGCTCAAGGGTCGCTCTCGCTTCCGTGATCCAGCATGGTGTTGCATTTCTACAGGGTGGCTTAGCCAGGAGTCAGAGATGGAGAGCCAGCAGGGTGAAACCCACATCAGATTCAACAGCACATGCAGTCCCAGAATGGCCAGAAGTGTGAGCAAGAGCACAGACAACAACATAAATGAAAGCATCACCAAGAATGAGGCTTCAACTATACTCTAGTGTGTGGTCCGACGCGCCCCCGTCCGATCTTCTCCGTCCCTGATTGGCCGCCCGTGCGTGCTCCCGCTCCCGCCTCCGCGTGCCCGCAGTGGCCCGGTCGCGGTCGAGCTCCCTCTTCCCTTCTCATATCTCATGGCACAGATGCTGGTGGTACAGCAGGCAGTTCAGATGGCCGAGGATGGGCAGGTGGAGCACCCTGCAGATGCGCTGGATGCCATGCGTGAACGCTTCCTCCTCCCAGGAGTGGCTGCCCCCTTTGGCTGGGTGACCCGGCTGCGGACATTCGGCAAGCGAGTGCAGAACACCACCACAAGTCTAGGGTATGTCTACTGGAGCGATGACCAGCAGACTCTAAGCTATAGAGAGCTGCATCTAAGCATAGCAGGGCTCCGGCGCTTCGTGCGCACGCAGGTGGAGCTGACACAGCACAAGCTTGAGCAGCTCTTTCTTGTTCATGAAGAGGAAGCACGGGAGGTGGTAGTGCCACGCCTGGCACTGGCCCAGCTGGCGGACAGCCCTACAAACAATCAGCGCGGCTGGAACTTCCTTCAAGCACCGCAGAACTGCAAGGCCCTTCCAACCACAGGGGAGCGATGGCTGCTGGACCGAGTCCTCACAACAGACAGGCTCCGGGCAGAGTGGGTAGCTGTACGGCCATCTGATCATCAGGTGGTCTGGGACACAGCAGTGGTAGATGACTATCTGCAGCAGGTGGATGGATTTCTTGAGCAGCTGCTTCTTGTGGTTCATCTCACTGGGGGCCAGCCTGCGCGGGCCACAGAGCTGCTCAGCATACGGCACAGTAACACGGTCTGCGGCCGCCACCGCAGCATTTTTATTGAACATGGGCTGGTGAGCATGGTGACAACCTATCACAAAGGCTACAGCATGACCAACTCCACAAAGATCATCCACCGCTATCTGCCAGCAGAGGTCAGTGAGCTGGTGGTGTACTACCTCTGGCTGATTCTACCTTTCGCGCGGGCGGTCCAGCGGCTTGCATATGGAGACAGTGATAGCCAAGGGGGGCTGCGGTCACCATTTCTCTGGCCGCGGGGGCATGGACCGTGGGACAGCAGCCGGCTGCGGGTGGTGCTTCAGCGCGAGGCAAAGACACACCTCCAGACCAAGCTCAATGTAATCACTTGGCGGCATGCCGCCATTGCCATCTCGCGTATGCACCTGTCCTGTGGAGGGTTCAAGCGGGAATATGGGGCAGATGATACGGCAGTAGACCAGCAGGCAGGCCATGGATCCTGGGCTGCAGGTACAGTATATGCGCGGGGGCTGCAGGAGGCACCAGGCCACATTGAGGCACGGCGTGTGCGGTACCAGGCTGTCAGCCGGGAGTGGCATGAATTCCTGGGGTTTAACCCAGGGGTGCGAAAGCGGGCACGGAACATGGAAAAGAGCGTTAGCAGAAAGGCTCAAAAACAGCAGCCATCATATGTAACAGTAGAAATAGATGACAACATAGAGCTATAAATGATAAAAGATATATATTTTTCTCATGCAATTCATTATGACCAGATTTCCAACTTCAGCAGCTAGCTGTCATCTTTATAAATTTCAATACAAATCAGCCTTTCACCTCCGTTATAAAATGTATAATATTATATTTTCATAGACAACTCATCACAACCAGACCTTAAACTTCAGTAGCCAGTTATATTATATATACAGAGTATGATATTTAATTTCAAGACATAATTTCATCAGAAAATCATATTATTACAACATTAAGGTAGATAAGTTGTTTTGCAGAGTTATCAATATTAAATATATATATTTCGCCCCAGGGCAACTACCATCATCAAAACGGTCACAGATCAGCGAAATAACAATCAGACAGAAATTAACATCATACATTTAAGTATTGATCTGCAATTGCTTAGAAGCATTACAAAACTTAAATTTAGAGCAAATTAACATTGTCGAGTGAAGTGTGTTTATACTTCATTTTCAGAGAATATATATATATATATATATATATCAACTCAAGAATACACTGACTTCATTAACATGGAACATCAATTATTCATTCAGTGTGAATCATACCCCATCATCATATGCCGTCAATGCAAGTATGCAGTATGGCCAACAGAAATTGAACGGCATTTGAAGGGTTCAACTCATCAGTTAAAGTATACAGCCACACAGAGTATCAAGCAGATAATTCAACAGTGGGATCATATCGCGCATGATCTCAGCCAGTTGATATTATCCACAGAATTGAACAAACCAATACATGAGCCGCTCATCCACAATGGCTACATGTGTTGGCGGCAATCTGAATGTCAGTATGTTGGAGGAACTATACGGAGCATGTACAAGCACTGACAGACCCAACACAGCTGGACTCCATGTCTATCCAACAGGTGGGGGTGGAATGGACGTCCATTCCATTCAGGGTTAGAAAACCGACCAATCAGAGCAGGGCAGATTGGACGTACATTCCATTTGGTTTCAGACGTTGAACGTCCAATCAACCACGGAGTCAATTGACTTCAAACTTTGCATGTAGGCCGTAGTGGATATGAAATACAACATATCCAAATCAAAAGCGATAATTCCGCCGGGAAGGGGTTAAATTTTAGTGTCAAAGTCAATGAGTTGAGGTGCGATGTTTGATGGGGTAAGCCATCAACCCAACCAGACCCAACTAAATATCTATATTTTCACCCAGGCAACGGAGCGGTTAGGGTTACTAGATCAACAAAGTAAATAAAAATAGCAAAATATATAAAAAAACTGAAAGGCTTCATTCTGGAGTGATTTTAAACAGAGAAAAACAAACATTAGTCGAACACGCTGGACCCTAAGCCGTTGGACGTCAAACCCGTCCAACCAGGAGTCAGAGATGGAGAGCCAGCAGGGTGAAACCCACATCAGATCCAACAGCACATGCAGTCCCAGAATGGCCAGAAGTGTGAGCAAGAGCACAGACAACAACATAAATGAAAGCATCACCAAGAATGAGGCTTCAACTATCCCCTCGTCCGTAGGTTTGTGCAAAATTAGCGTGGTTTCATTAGTGTATATTATACGAGATCTCATTGAATAATCAGTGTATTTTTGAGTATTCATTGGTATTAGGGTTATATATAAACCCTAATTAAGGATCCGCGTTAATAGATATTAGGATATACTATGAAATTCCGCCCAACATTGAGTTTTCAAACATAAAAGGGTATTTTGACACTCTGAACAGTCAGAACTTGATCTCCCTATCTTTTTATATTTCTGCTGGCCAATCTTTCATTTATATTGACACCAGGCACAAACACGCTGCTTTGGAAGTGAAATCCGTTGATGATTTAGATTAGAATTTGATCATTCCCTTGATAGATTATCATGAATCCTAGATGTGAATTCAAAGAGTTCCTGGTAAAGCTTCTCATGAAAGCTTATATGAGAAGAAAGATCCTTCACTGAAATCCTCTGCTGCTTCATATATAGATATTGAAGCCGGTATGCATTAATAGCTGCGGAATCAATAAGTCAGTAGAGAATAGAAAGCCAGGTGTGATAGATGACTCTATGACTAGTATATGCTGCTCAGTATTGATTTGCTAGATGTACCCCATTCATATGATGATTATAATCACCTATAATCAATGGGATTTTCAGCTTCTTTTGTGATTGACCTTTAAAGACTTTTCTAACAATATTGACATTGATTGAGAGTTCCCCTGAGCATTTACAAGTACATTCAATAACTGCGTCCAATGAATGAATCGTAGTTAGTGCCAATACCATATTATTATCTTGCCAGGCAAGACAGAGAACATTCTCTTTTTCAATGACATGCAGAGTATTTCAGAGTATGGAATTTGAATGCTCTCAAAGCTCATCTAGTACTGCTGGAACCTGGTTTGAATGAGTGGTTCCACATGCTCCATACCCCTGTTGACGTAGTTCTTTGAATAAAGGAACTGATGTAAAGTAGTTATCCATTTCAATTGAATAGGATGTGACCAGCTGTGAGATAGAGATTTCATTAGATGTGGCATTCGGTGTAGCATTCGGGGGGGTGATATTCGGGTTGATATTAGGGCCAATATTATGGGTGATATTAGAGTCGATATTAGGGGTGGCATTCGGCATGGTATTCGGTGTATTCGGTGTGGATACCATAGAAAGCCGCTTCACCAGATTCACCACCATAGATTCAGTTTTGTTAACATAGAGAATTGAAACATAGACATTATACTTTGTTGACAGCTAGACCAGGAAAAGACTATAAATAGTCATGTTCTGCTAGGCCAAATATCTATATCCTCAAGGAATTGGTTTATTAGACATCTTGTATGTATGTTGACTCCATCCAAAATATTTAACCATGATTTCATCGATGGAAATCTTAGAGTCAGGGGTATAGTATTTTCAGCATGCCATATGAAACTTAGTAGCTAATGACTCTATCTTATACCATCAATTCTTATTTTTGACCTCCGGGCGGCGGGCCTCATGAAGGTTAGATATATGGATATATCATTTAATCTGTTCAAAACGCATATGGGTCATATAGAATTGAATGGAATGAATAGAGTCTTGTTTCAGCTCATTCTGCCCGTATAGATCAATTCAATGGAATTTATGAACTTTCATATAAAGAAGAATGCCTATAAAGACCTTTATCTCTGCTGAATTGATATTTTTCCATGAACATTGCTGAATAGAAAGCTTTGAGAATATAGATATTTCAGAAATCTCTATATCTATATCTTGAGCTTTCTCATTCTTTTTCATTTCTGAAAGCTCTGAAGCTTCATCATCAGTATCTCTAGTATCTCTCTTTAATTTTGCATAGAGATTAGTAGAATTACTGATATTTTAAAAGCATTTCTCAGAGAAGAATAAGATAAACAGAATGTATGAACTGCTGATATTGATATTTGCAGAAATATTGAAAATTGAATCTCATGAGATAGGCAATATTGAGTGGAATTTCACTGATTCTAGAGGTGGAAGTTCTGCAATAACCTTCTCAACAGACTGTTTTCATTTTCTTGATGTTTTTGTATAAACTAGAGAATGAATTAGTTAGCTAGGTTATTTGAATTGATTAATATAAGGAACTCACCATTGGATTTGGTAGGTTTCTCAGTGGATTCCACATTCGCAGGTTTGGGGGGTTCCATATTCGCGGGTAGGGGGATAGGTGGGAGAAGATATGAGAATCGGGCAGGCAGGCAGACAGGCAGGGCTTCAAACATGTTGAATTCCATACACATTCTTAAGATCTACATGAGATCTTCAATCAGTGGATCTAAATGACCAATTATTATTCATATAAAATCATATAGGATTCTATTGGTTATGCCCAGGGCGCCGGTGCAGAATTCCATACACTAATTGAAACCACGCTAATTTTGCACCAACCTACGGACGAGAAATGTGATTTTTGTCGAGCTTTTAACATTTTTTTGTTGTTTTTCTAACATTACACAAATATTAACAAGTATTTCTCTTTATTCAGAGTCAGATAACAAACTGAATCTATTATTCACAACTTCAACTGCTATCATATTCTGCATATGTGTATCCCTTATTTTGTTTGAACAGAGGTTCTTGGTGACTTCTGTGATCTAATTTTTTGCCTCGCAGAAGATTCAGAGATAGCAGATTCAGAGAGTTGAGAATTCCTTCTTTTTTATTTATTGCTATCATTTACATCAGTAGAGACCGAGTTATTTGTCTGTACTGATGGCTTTCCTGATTTGGGAGCAAATATACATTCTTTTGAATTTGCAAAGTGAGGCTCTTTACAATTGGCAACCCATTGGAAGTTGAGACGTTGAAACCATTGGAAGTCGAACCCGCTGAACGAACCCGTTAACCCGTTGGACCCAAACCAGTGGGATGACACCATTTAAAAGTCAAACCCGCTGGACATGCCCGTTGAAGGTTATAGGGTTAGGGTTAAACTATCCAAGTTATACATAGTGCGTGGTCCGACGCGCCCCCGTCCGATTTTCTCCGTCCCTGATTGGCCGCCCGTGCGTGCTCCCGCTCCCGCCTCCGCGTGCCCGCAGTGGGGCCCGGTCACAGTCGAGCTCCCTCTTCCCTTCCCTTCCGCGGCAGCCAGCCACCCCATTACTTCAAACTTTGCATGTAGGCCGTAGTGGATATGAAATACAACATATCCAAATCAAAAGCGATAATTCCGCCGGGAAGGGGTTACATTGTGGTGTCAAAGTCAATAAGTTGAGGTGCGATGTTTGATGGGGTAAGCCACCAACCCAACCAGACCCAACTATATATATATATTTTCACCCAGGCAACAGAGCGGTGCAAAGCGGTGCAAGATCAACAAAGTAAATAAAAATAGCAAAACATATAAGAAAACTGAAAGGCTTCATTCTGGAGTGATTTTAAACACAGAAAAACAAACATTCACACCAGATCAGATCTGTCAAGTTTCACACAAAGACACTGAATGAAGGAAATATATATATATTCAATGCACAAGACAGACCCAGCATCGACATGGAACATCAATTATTTATCCACTGTGAATCATACCTCATTATCATATGCCGCCGGTGCAAGCACGCTGTGTGGCCAACAGAGATTGAACGGCATCTGAAAGGCAAGGCCCATCAGCTAAAGCATGCGGTGGTTCAGCAGATAAAGAAGAACATTGAACAGTGGGACAATGTGGCTCGAGATACTACACAGTTAACACTGCCCACAATACTGAATGAACCAATCCCGGAACTACCCATTCAAGATGGCTACAGGTGCCAGCGGGATCCCCAGTGCCAGTATGTGGCAGGGAACATGAACACCATGCGCAAGCACTGGCAGAACAAGCACAGCTGGTCGCCATATCCCAGCCGTGGCCGTACAGCGCCACAAAAGCGTACGGCAGCACAGGATGAGGTGGACAGATCATGCCAGAAGGTGCAGTTCCAGCAGATATTTGCATCGCGCAAGGGCTCCCACTACATACAGATCCAGACTAAGGAGACTACTGAGCATACCGGCACGCCAGACCAGAACAGAGCCAGCCAGGCCATTGATGAGCTGGAGCGATTTTACCAGGAACAGCAACGGCAGACCAGCAATGTCATCCAGGCCGGGGAGCACGATGAAGCCAACCCATGGCTGCGGCGGACCAGATGGCCGGTGTACTTGACCAACATCGCACCCAATGATCTGGTCAACTGCGTCCAGCGGCCCGAGGATGACACCACGTGCCCAGATGAACTGGCCGCGAGGGCCATCTGGGAGGCCATGGGTCAGGTTGCCCGTACCAGCCAGCGAGTCATCACACGGCTGGGCCACTTCGTCCGCATCGAGGCCATCCGCACAGAGCGACACCAGACCCGGCACACCCCGTTGCAGGCGTACATGGACGAGGAGAGCATCGCCGAGCACGTGAGGCCATGGCAGCAGATGTTGATGTTTTTCGCCCGAACGCAGGTCGAGCATGAATGGACGAGCCCACAGTACCGGTTCACACCACGGCAGCGCAAGACATGGAGGGTATTATGGCAGGTAGCCACCACAGAGGGAGCCGACCAGCGACACTCCATCAGCCCAGACCCCATGGATGAGCAGATGACTGAGGAAGAAGAAGAGGAGGAGGAGAAGGGACAGAGAGATACGCAGTCAGAAGAAGAAGATAAGTTCAAATTAACCAAGATCCAGATGGCATGTTTGGATTTTTGCATTGAGCTGCTGAACCAGCGGGTTCAGGTGGAGGATTATGAGTGCGCGCTGGTAGACGCGTTGGCGGTGCTGGGACGGGGGGAGTATGGATGGCGCGACGCGGAGAGCTACCCACCAATATTGTCATGGATCATCAAGGTGGCACGGTTATGCCACACGGTGCTCAACGACCAAGTCAACTTCCGGCCCCAGATGCAACAGCTAGGCAAGCTGATGGCGGTCAAGACACAAATGGTGCTGCTGACGGCCACATTGCCACCAGATGAGGAGGAGAAGCTGTGGTCCCACATGCACTGCACCCGAGCGGACATATCATTGTTCCGGGCGCGGACATGCGGTCCAAATGTGGCATACCGAGTGTGGCAACCCATCATTGAAGGGTCAGAGTACGATGGGCTCAACCGATGGTTTCAAGCACCCAGCGTGGTCAGGTTCATCCAGGACCGCATGAGATGGACGGGAGAAGGTAAGGGGGTGGTGTACTGCCAGGCAGTGAATCAGGTCACGATGATGGCAAGCACATTGAGATGCGGGGCATATCACCACCACCAGATCAACAAGGCCGGCATACTGGAGTGTTTCCAGCAAGGTCAACACCAGGTCATCGTGGCGACAAGTGCACTGGGCATGGGAATCGACATCCCCAACATCCGCAGCATCATCCACGTCGGACGGCCGCGATCATTGCTGGATTATGGACAGGAGAGCGGGCGTGCAGGGCGTGATGGACAGGCCAGTGAAGCCATCATCATTGAGCCCGAGGGTATCAGTGCAGCAATGATATGGTCAAGAAAGGATGCACCATCACTGCTGGACCAGAAGCTGGTTGAACGGTACATGCAGGCAGGGGGTGAGGGGGGTGATGAACCGATGGCTCGATGTCGACGGGTGGTGCTGGACCGGTACCTGGACGGGGAAGTGGAGGATTACATGAGACGGCACTGCGGTGATCGACACACAGGGGAGTCCCAGTGTGACGGGTGCGATGTGGAGTGGGAGGCCAGGGAGGCCGTGTTCACCCCCAGCCCAGGTGGCACGCCCACGCCCACACCCAGTCCAGGCTACAGTTCAAGAGCAACAGCCAAGGATGACTCCAGCGAGGATGAAACCAGCCAGGAGTCAGAGATGGAGAGCCAGCAGGGTGAAACCCACATCAGATTCAACGGCACATGCAGTCCCAGAATGGCCAGAAGTGTGAGCAAGAGCACAGACGACAACATAAATGAAAGCATCACCAAGAATGAAGCTTCAACTTCAGGCGGGAGCAGCCCGGGTCAATGGAACAAGCAAGAGTCAAGTGAAATCAGTGAAGACACCAGGGGCATCCCATCAACAACCAGACAGACATTCCACAAGCAGGATGTCCGTCGGGGCCGGTTCATCATCACACACCAGCAGCGAGGGCAGAGGGCATTGATGGATGAGGAGGTTTTAGTGGAAGAGGCGCAGAGGTGGAAGGATCAGTGTTTGATATGTGCAAGTCGCAAGCGTGAGTTTGACCATGAGCTGTACCAGTGTCCCCACGAGGAGAGCCAGGAGGCGAAGAGATGGATGATGACAGTGCGGAGCAAGATCAAATACACACGGTATTCCGGGTGCTTCCGATGCGGGATGCCGCAGTCCATATGCAACAGCTGGAAGACACAGAGACAGTGTCCGTACAGGGGATTTTGGATCCCGACGGTGGCAATGATGATGTATGGGTGTCACAGCGGCTGAGAGAGTTCAATGTGGATGCAGATGATCAGGAGGCGGTGATTGAATTTTTGGGACAGAAGGTTGAGGGGCAGGGCATCGAGCACAACCAGCTGGTGGAGATGTTTTGTTGGCTGCGAGGGATATATCAGGAGGCAGAGAGGGGGAAGATGGAGTCAGAGGGTACAGAGGTCAAGTGATATCATGGGTGAGGGGCACATCACGGGTGAGAGGCACCACAGGAGGATGAAAGACGTATATATATATAAAGGCAGGTGAAGCTACCCCCATTTACTTGAGGAATTGGCTTTTAGTTTGACCTGGAATTGGCTTTTTTGGTGAGAACTTGGCAAGACTTGGCAGGGCTTGGCAGGGCTTGGCAGGTTTTAAAACCCAAGTAAGATCACGTGATAAAAGCCAGGTAAGATTATGTAATCTGACCCGACTTTTCTTACATAATAGAACAGTATTATATAATCTTACCTGGCTTTTCTTACATAATATTTTATATTTAGCTAGAAGCTAATTCTATGGTGTACCATTAATTTACATAGAAGGGGTTCATTTTTTGGCGGTCGTCAAAAACAGTCTACTTGTATGACCTGAGTGGAGGGTGCCAGATTTTGGCGGTCGTTAAAATTTATGCCTACTTGCCTTTTTCTATAGGTAACTACTGCTAATAAGGCATACCACATATATTATTTAATACCGTAGTGATCTTAGTGATCTTGGTGATCTTGGTGATCTTAGTAATCTTGGTGATCTTGATGATCTTGGTGATCTTGGTGATCTTAATGATCTTGGTGATCTTAATGATCTTGGTGATCTTAATGATCTTGGTGATCTTGGTGATCTTGGTGATCTTGGTGATCTTAGTGAATAATTTTATTAAGTATAAGAATGCTGCTACCTCTTAAACTTCATTTTCTGTAGCAGGTTACCCTCAATTCATGCAGATACTGCTTACTTTATTTCAAACCTTAACAGCTTAATTTCCTTGTTAGTTTTACTACACCTTGCAGATTTTAATATACCTTACCAATTCTTCTCTTACTCATAAACCTCACATAATTCTCAGCTTCTAGCAATGGCATCCAATATGTCTAGTAAGCATTCTTATCTTATCACCTATATCTTTTGGAAGCTTGTGATTTTGGTAGCCTTTAAAATTCCCATATATGCATAGTATTAATGTCATCTTGCTATACCTCAAGGTATGTCAATCTACCATAAATAGTATTACTTAATATACATACTAAGATGTGCTATACAAGCTTATTATGCATCATCCTCCTTGACGCTTTTTGGCGAGCGCCGAAAACCAATCAGCGTTACCAATTTTTTAGCGGCCGCCAAAAACTCAGCCGTTTCATGTTCATCAAAAAGCTTATTCTAACATCAACCTAGCTATTGTGTACACCAACAAATCATGTATATAATTTTGGACTCAGTTAGAACAATTACAATTATTACTTTCTTGGAGTCCACAAGCTTATTCTTGGAACTAATGCAACTGATATGAATAGCTTAATTAATCCTCTAACTACTTTCTAGTGACAAAACCCCATCCGATCATTTTTGATCCCATTCGGCTTGCTGTCATCTGCAAGGATTGCCAACATGGTGTCTCGATGGCATCACTCAGCAAACACCTAAAGGAGGAACACAGATACCCTGACATTACAATTGATTCAATCAAAAAGGAGTTCCAAGCATATAACCCAATTGGGCCAGCAGACCACGCTGAGATTCTTGCCGCGGCTGAGCACGGCTACTCATCAAATATAAAAGTCCATGAGGGCATTGCCTGCAACTTCACTGGGTGCAAGTACCATTGCATAACAACTGGTACTATCTACAAGCATTTGTCGCAGGTACACAAAAATGAACCATGGCCTGTCAACCAACCAAAGTACCAGACTGATGTTCTTGTTTCAACCCTTTTCACATCATACAAACATTACTACCCGGTATCTCCACCGTCCCCGGCAAGCAGTCCTAGTAATCCACACGAAGACGACCCCCTATCCGAACTCAAGGCCGAATACGCAATGCTGCTACACGAATGCTCTCGTTTATACGCGATTGCACCAACAGAGCCAACGCACCTTACGGTATGGGACAAACGCACACGCTTCCCGCAGACATATGCAGGTGCAGATATGTCAACAATATCACGACTATCATTCTCGAGTAATGCCGATGATTGCCCCCAATGGGGACATTTGCAGAAGTTGATGGCATATACCTTCAGGAGAGCCCATGACCGCTGCCAGGCAACAAATCATGTCTTGCTTCGCCTAACAGCATCAATTGGACCCGAGCCCAGCCCAAAACCGCTGTCACCCTTAGGCCCCTGCTCAATAAAAAACTATGCACTGACATGGAGGAAAGTTTTCTTAGTGGCGCTGAGAATTCAAAGCTGTGACACATCTGCGATTGATGGATGGGTGCCCTCCTTATCTGAGGATTTGATTAAAGCATTTAATGCTCTTGACGTTTTTTTACGTCAGCTCCCCGACCAACTCACAGAAGATCATCTAGAACATGGCATGCCAATCATACTCCAGTGCTCCACAAGTCTCATCCGCCAACCCATGGAGATCCCAACCAAGACCGTGGTAGGCTTTTTCATTGCCAGTACCTCATGGACTCGCTCCAATCGATGGGCAGCCCCTGACCATACGACGCCCCTATTGAGTGCAATCATTTATGCCTTCCGCATGTTTACACTCTTTACAGTACTGATTAATGAGTCTCCGGAGGATGTACACGAACGTCTGTTAGTTGATTCTGCCAAATATCTCCATGATGGGAAGCAAGTTTATTTTTCCGAGGCGTTTAATCTCCGATTAATGGGCAAAACGATTTGTCGAGATTTTTATCAACGAGAGACGGTCCGATGGAACCAGACAAGAACGATCCTCACCATCGACAGTACTGAAATCCACCTAACCCAGCTATATGACTATATCCGCCGCCTAATTTCCTCCAATCGCACCGAGCTGTGCACAATTCTTGGCGTGGATGAGAACTACCTTGAGCAGTTCTCCCCCAACAAATTCTGTGACAATTGGAACGTGCAGCATAGAGGAGTCTCAATTATCAGTACTGCTGTCCCGCGTGCTCCGGACGTTGATCCCAATTTCTTGGATGGGATATGGCGTTATACCAATAGATTGATATCAATGCCCAACTCGTTTGTGGCCATCCGCAATGGAAAGGTGCAGATTGATCCCAAGAAACAGCGCGAGTTTACCACACTATGCCGCCGCGTACAGAAATTCCTCAGCAATCTAGCGGTTCTCCTTGTATACACTGGCGGCCTGCCGATGCGAGGGCCAGAATTGATATCGACAAAACATGCCAATGACGCCAGCACCCTTAGAAATGTATTGTTGCATTTTGATTCTATGGTTATATTGTCTGAATACAACAAGACGGATAGCATCAAGGGGAAGCCAACGGTTGTTGCTCGATATCTTCCTTCGTCAGTTGGACAAGTAGTTTTATGCTACTTGTCGGAGCTGCGGCCGTTTATCGGCAGATACTCTGCATTACAATCTGAGAGTACAAATATGGCACATCTGACGAATCCCCTCTTCTTCACATGCCCTGAGGCGGCACCAATCACCCCAGCCACCGTCTCGGCCCAGATGGGGTTGGCAACCGAGCAGAGTCTGGGCGTTCGGGTTAAGATTGCAAAGTGGCGGCACGTCGCGGTGGCTCTCTATCGAGAGCGGATCCAGACAGAGGAGGATGAGAAGGAGATACCAGATATCGCGCATATCCTTCAAACCGGGCATTCCGAAGAGACTGACTCTCGCCACTATGCCCTGACTGCTGAAATGATCACTGGCACGACGGACGAAACACTACGAGCATTTTATAGGGTATCTAAGAAATGGCATACAATCCTGGGCATAACCGACCAAGGAGATGCAACCCACCCGTTTTTGGCGACCGCCACAATTTCCCCCCCTACTGCACCCTCCCCAATGATTATGGCGCCCGCCAAAAAGTCAGCCCTGCCAGGTCAGAACCTTAGCCACGGCCAAGGTGCAATAATGCCCCCATTGCAACACCCCACACCATCAAGCCCCAGAGCTAGCCCGATTCCCGTTACGACTCCAGCCGCCCCGATAACTATGGCGATCGCCAGAAACGAACACCCTTCTAACCAGACCCCATCTAGCCGCCAGCATGCAACAATCCCTCAATTACAGCAACCCACTCCATCAAGTATGAGAGCTAATCAGATTCCCACTATTCCTCCCGCTACCCAATCACAGAACAAGCGCATACTAGGCCAAGCCGGTGAACCAAGCAACCCGAATAAAAGGGTATGTACCACGGAGACCAGAGCTCTTGAGAAGCTGAGGCTGGTCCTACAAAAACCAGATGCTGAATGGCGCAACTCGACCCAGCGAGATGCAACAATTGAGTGCATCAATAAGGTTGATAATTTGATGGTGATATCTCCACCGGGATCAGGAAAGACCCTCATCTTCATCATCCCTGCAATGCTGGCCCCAACGATGACTACAATTGTGATTACACCGTTCATATCCCTCCAATCAGACATGATATCCCGATGCAGTCAAGCTGGGGTCCAGGCCGATGCATGGCACCCAGCGATGTCTCGTGCCCCACATATCGTATTTGTGACTCCAGAGCTAGCAATGCACCCCCAATTTCAAGTGATGGTCCAAAGACTCTGCGAGGAAAAGCAGCTACTGCGCTTGGTGGTTGACGAAGTGCACTGTGTAGTAACTGATGGTAACTATCGGCCAAGTTTCAACAGATTAAAATGGGTGGGCTCAGTTGCGGTGCCATTGCTCTTAATGACTGGGACGCTTCCACGAGAGATGAGTGACCAGGTGCTTAGCCGTCTGGGTTGCGACCTTCGCCCCGCCGTTGAGATGCGTGAGGTCTGCACGAACCCCAACATCCAAAGGATACTGCGCGTTATGGACGATGATGAGATACATACCACTCTGCAGGAATACGTCTCCCAAGCATCACCACAGAACATTGTACTGATATTTGCAATGTCCAAAGCTGAGACAGATGAATGGGCTGAACGCCTGGGGATCCCACACTATAACTCTTCAATGAGCATAGCACAACGAGAGGATATTCTTAAGCAGCTTGGAGCGGGGAGCATACCTGCAATTATTGCAACATCTGGCCTAGGCACTGGACTTGACATTCCCCATGTCAAGGTCACTGTTCACCTGCAAGGGGCATACGACCTGATCCAACTACTTCAAAATGCCGGCCGTGGTGGTCGTCGTGACGGCGACGATTCCAGATCAGTGACCCTTTTGACATGTAGCGGACAAAGTCGGATTGTGCAGAAGAACCCAGAGAGCCCCCTCGCAAGATATGTCTCAAATCAGCATTGCCTGAATAGAGTTATCACATCGTATATTGATACCGAGACAAGTAACTGCACAGGACCTCACCAATGCTCCATTTGTGCCAACCCACCCACCTCACTGACAGCACTCATTCCCGGCACACCACCACCGGCCACACCACCTCAATCCTCCGCAATCAACGTCATACAGTATGTCAATATCGCACAGGCCTTTGCTGACCAGTGTACATACTGTAGGTTGAACCATTTGACATCAGATCATGAACCCTCCAATTGCCAATACTACAACAAGCACTCCCGCATAACTGATGAAAAGCTAGCATACTTTGCAGGCCGCGTCAGGTTGGTGGCAGACCTTGCTGCCAACCGAGTTCATTATAAGTGCTTTTTACCCATTGCGCACTTCCACCGCACTGGTTTCAACCTTGCAGCCCCATGCTCCTTTGACCTTCTTCTCGTCCGGGTTGTGTTTTTTGCATCCACCATGCCCCAATTTCAATTCTTATTCCCAGGCATTCGAGGTATTTCAGACATACGCGAAAAACTAAAGGCAATGACTTTGTTGTTATCAAGTCCATGCCCTGACCCGTCAGCCTGCATTTCCAGGTTGAGCACCAACCAGGATAAGACCTGTTGCATCAATAATCTTACTCATATATTTTATGTTATTTGCTGTATGATTGCAAATTAATTTGTTTTAATTTGTTTTTCTTTTATATATTTATGTCGTATACTTAATCTGCAGTTGTTTTTGTTTTTATTCTTGTCTTTGTTCTTCTTCTTCTTTTTTCTTTTCATTCAGAGGGCAAGGCAAAATATATATCAACAAGCAATCAATATGAATTAGCAGAGAATGAATAACTGTATTTAATACAAACGCCAGCTTATCTGGCCGTCCTAATGCATGGCATCACCTTATTACTCTCACTCATCACTATCACTATTTTTATTTCTATAGATTTTCTTCAACGACCCCAGAGTATATCCATGGTTCCATTCATAATCTGAAGGACCCTCCCAATCTGGCTCCAACGTCGCACGGACGTCCTCTAACCCATCATCGGAAGAAACATCCGTATCAACATGATATGGACGAGGCGTATCAAATAACTTTGCTTCAATATGAGCCTGCTCTTTCTTCCACATCCTGTCCCGTGCCTCTGGTGCCATGATTTTGAAGTCACCCAGCTCATATCGGCCTCTAGGTTTGATGTAAAATGGAAGGGCAATCTCGTCATTTCTCCACAAGTTGTTGAGTGCCTGCTTCCCAACCTGGCGAATAGAATCGATGACTTTTTCACAGTTCTCAAAAATCGAAGGGTAACCCGTCATTCGTTCCCACATCTTTTGAAAGCGGTGAGAGCGGTCCTCCATCATGAGCATAGAGCCGAGGCTTAGCATCGCCTCCCCCCACCGTTCATTGATACTCTTTGTCTCTGTCAATGGTCGGGGGAAGGGTTGATCAAGCTGGGCTCGAGCCACTGTAGTAGGAGTTAGAAATACTTCATATATCAACAGTACAGAAACATACCCTCGTATTCGTTGATACACTTTTCCAGTTGTTGAATATATCCTGCTTGAGCCTCCAATGCCTCAGCAAGCAGGGTGTTTGTTGCGGTTGCCTCGTAGTATCGGTGCAAGAGCTCCCTCTTGACGCCACAGGCTTTGCAGTCCAGACCACACCCGTGTTCTATGTCATGATTTAGCAAGCCAGACATAGGAATAAGTGTAAATAAAAGTACCTTCTGCCATATTCTTTCGCATGCCAGTGAACAACTGAGCATGAAACCATTCCTGGTCTGTCTGGTAATCATCACGGAACCTGGATGGCCTGGGTGGGGACTCCATGGCAGCAGGAGCGCGTGGGAGACGGGGTGATACTCTGATTTGATGGAAGTTGCACAGACGAAGGAGAGAGAGGAGATGAAGAAGAAGAAGAAGAAGAAGAAGAAGAAGAAGAAGAAGAAGATAAACCCCTCCTCCAGAGACCGGAAAATAATTACCCCTCTTTTACATAACACATCACAAAGATTATGCAGGTGAAAGAAAGGCATCATCAGTTCAGATGCAAATGGGAATATGAGTTGCATTGTCAACGGGCATAAAATGGATATATCTACTTCTGGGCAGGCATGCACCAATGAGGACAAAGAGGGAAAACCAAACTTTAAAAGGAGCAAATAAGATTTGGTGTACCAATGAAACTTACACAATGGATGCAGGATGCGGAAACTAACCGGGAGCATAAAGTTTAAATTGTCATTTGCTATACCCATAAAAAAAAAGAAAATAAAAACACCACAATCATATGACAACATACTCATTCGCTCGGGGCCAGTTTTTGGCGGCCGCCACTTTTAAAAATAGGGGGGGCTAGAAACATGCGAATGCCCTTTGTCTGCCAAGCCTTTGTTGATGGCAGCCGCCAAAAACTCGTTCCAGGAACAGTTGATCCTTTGTGCCATTTTGAACAAACAGTGGAACCCACTGAATGATCATTTACCGCGCCTAATAAAGCTTATTTTTGATGGACCCACTTAGTCCGCAGATTGCCGCCAATGGATCCACTATCAAACTCAACCCTTTATTTCCTTTATTTCTTTTGCTTTCAACAACAACACCCATGACATCTTAACACCCTTTATTCCATCCACCTTTGACACTTTCTTTCCAACACACCAGGCCCTCCATTCACTGAAATCCTCGCTTCATCTAGCCAATCACAGGCCTCGCTCAAATCTCGCTTACCACTAGCGTGGGACCCCTTGGGTATAAAAGGTTCAACTTCGGCCCCTTGCCTCCATCTTCTTTACAACCTTCCTTTTCCTCTGCCACCTCCATTCTCAAGCTTCAGACCGTTCCCTTCCTTCGCCTATCAACATTCTATAAGTCACACCTCGATTTCAAAGTTGGCGGTCGCCAAAAAGCGCCGCCAACTTCTCACTTTTCCATTATCAAATCTGCCACGTTGAGACGCCCATACCACACCCCAACATCAACAGTAAGTATTATTCTATACTCTAGTGTGTGGTCCGACGCGCCCCCGTCCGATCTTCTCCGTCCCTGATTGGCCGCCCGTGCGTGCTCCCGCTCCCGCCTCCGCGTGCCCGCAGTGGCCCGGTCGCGGTCGAGCTCCCTCTTCCCTTCCCTTCCGCGGCAGCCAGCCACCCCATTACTTCAAACTTTGCATGTAGGCCGTAGTGGATATGAAATACAACATATCCAAATTAAAAGCGATAATTCCGTCGGGAAGGGGTTACATTGTGGTGTCAAAGTCAATGAGTTGAGGTGCGATGTTTGATGGGGTAAGCCACCAACCCAACCAGACCCAACTATATATATATATTTTCACCCAGGCAACGGAGCGGTGCAAAGCGGTGCAGGATCAACAAAGTAAATAAAAATAGCAAAACATATAAGAAAACTGAAAGGCTTCATTCTGGAGTGATTTTAAACACAGAAAAACAAACATTCACACCAGATCAGATCTGTCAAGTTTCACACAAAGACACTGAATGAAGGAAATATATATATATTCAATGCACAAGACAGACCCAGCATCGACATGGAACATCAATTATTTATCCACTGTGAATCATACCTCATTATCATATGCCGCCGGTGCAAGCACGCTGTGTGGCCAACAGAGATTGAACAGCATCTGAAAGGCAAGGCCCATCAGCTAAAGCATGCGGTGGTTCAGCAGATAAAGGAGAACATTGAACAGTGGGACAATGTGGCTCGAGATACTACACAGTTAACACTGCCCACATACTACACAGTTAACACTGCCCACAATACTGAATGAACCAATCCCGGAACTACCCATTCAAGATGGCTACAGGTGCCAGCGGGATCCCCAGTGCCAGTATGTGGCAGGGAACATGAACACCATGCGCAAGCACTGGCAGAACAAGCACAGCTGGTCGCCATATCCCAGAGGGAGCCGACCAGCGACACTCCATCAGCCCAGACCCCATGGATGAGCAGATGACTGAGGAAGAAGAAGAGGAGGAGGAAAAGGGACAGAGAGATACCCAGTCAGAAGAAGAAGATAAGTTCAAATTAACCAAGATCCAGATGGCATGTTTGGATTTTTGCATTGAGCTGCTGAACCAGCGGGTTCAGGTGGAGGATTATGAGTGCGCGCTGGTAGACACGTTGGCGGTGCTGGGACGGGGGGAGTATGGATGGCGCGACGCCGAGAGCTACCCACCAATGTTGTCACGGATCATCAAGGTGGCACGGTTCATGGTGGTGCACAAGGCGCTGCGACTGGACGCCAATGCATCCGACATGCTGGCCAGGAACCAAGCAAGCCAGATGGTGGGAGAGTGGGCCGTGGTGAGCCCCATGGAGGAGGCGGATTACACGTTCACAGGCAACCAGAATGAAGGGTATGAAAGTGACAGCGGCAGGACCAGTGCCAGTTCCAACCCCCCATCATCACCGCCCACATCGTCCCCACGCAGCGATGATCCCCCGGCCATGATATCCATCGGCGGGTCAACTTCAAACAACAGAAAGCAGCGATCGTTTCAGGAATGGCTTGAGCTGTTCATGGAGGCATTCATGGTCCGCGGCACACACAGTCCCATGCAGTGGATGCTGGACCTGCGCACGTATGGATTGAGGGTGCACTACAGCAACACCACACCCGGCCACGTCGGCTGGATGGGAGGGGATGAGCTGCTGTACAAGGACATGCACTTCACCATGGGCGACTTCCGGGGCTTCACACACGGGCTGGTGGGAGCGACGAGGCGGATCCTGCGGGAGGAGTTGTTGTTTGAGAATGAGCTGAATGGACAGCAGCCACCAGCCATCCCATGGTCCACGATGCGGGATGACCCCACCCAGGGAGGGACGGGGTGGAATTTTTTAAAGGACAGCCGCACGCGGTGGCCGGTGGATGGGGCACAGTGGTTGATGCAGCAGATGCGCATATAGCCCGGGATGTAGCGGTGGTTCATCTAGCGAGAGCACAGCGACCGGCCCCGTTTGGCAGTCAAGGCGATCAACGCATACCTGCGCTGGGTGGTGAGATTCCGGGAGAAGCTGAGCGTGGCGGTGCATGTCACGGCGGGCCAACCGGCACGGGCGCCCGAGCTGCTCAGCGTCCGACCCATCAACACCGAGAACGGGGGCCACCGCAACATATTCATAGAGGATGGGATGGTGGTGTTCGTCACGCGGTACCACAAGGGGTTTCATGCATCCAACGACATCAAGGTGATCCACCGGTATCTGCCAAGGGAGGTCGGGGAACTGGTGGTGTGGTATTTATGGCTGGTGCTCCCATTCGCCCAGCGGCTGCAGGAGTATCGACGACGGATCCGAGAGGAAGAGGGAAATCCAGAAGAGGAGAACGCCAACCAACGGGGGACATACATGTGGGGAGGAGACCCCGACGGGCGGGCCTGGACGTCCGAGCGTTTCCGGGAGGTGTTGAAACGGGAGACCCGCATCGGGCTACATGGTCAGGGGTTGAACCTGGCAGCATACCGGAACATCGCCATCGCGATCAGCAGGCAGTTCATGCGCCCATCCAGCGCGTTCAAAAACAACAGCCAGCAGGAAGAGGAGGAGCAGGTGGCCGGCAGCAATGGAGATGAAGATGAACCCATGGACCCCGAGGAATGGCTGGGACGGATCACAGACATGCAAGCGGCCCACACATCACACGTGGCCGGCATGGTGTACGCACGAGGGATCACGGAGCAGGCCGGGACCACACACCGGCGCCGTGAGATGTTCCGGTTGAGCAGCACAGACTGGCACCGGTTTTTAGGGTTTGAGTCGGCAACGACCGAGAAGACGACGAGGGATGCGGTGCTGGGAAAACGCAAGCGGGCACCATGGGAGACAGAGGCCGAGGAGGGGCGTATGGAGCGTCGATTTCAGCTGCAGCAGACCGACATGGAGGCCGAGCTGCAGCGGATGATGGGTGACAAGGCACTGAAGTTTCGAGGGGTGCAGGCGGCAGCGATACGGGCCATCCAGGACGGTGAAAGTCCCGTGGTGGCCATCATGCCAACCGGAGGGGGGAAGAGCATGATGTTCATGTTGCCCGCGTGGGTTGCACCCGGGGGAACAACGGTGGTGGTGGTTCCACTGGTGGCGCTGCGAGGGGACATGCAGCGGAGGTGCGAGGAGCTGGGGATATCATGTGTGGAGTGGGAGAGCCGAAGACCGCCCGATGAAGCATCGATGGTGCTGGTGACACCCGAGTCCGCATTGAGCGAGGACTTCATCACATTTTTGAACCGACAGCGGCTGAACCACCGACTGGACCGGATCGTCATCGATGAATGCCACACGGTGCTCAACGACCAGGTCAACTTCCGGCCCCAGATGCAACAGCTCGGCAAGCTGATGGCGGCCAAGACACAGATGGTGCTGCTGACGGCCACACTGCCACCCGGTGAGGAGGAGAAGCTGTGGTCCCGCATGCACTGCACCCGAGCGGACATATCATTGTTCCGGGCTCGGACATGCCGTCCAAATGTGGCATACCGAGTGTGGCAACCCATCATTGAAGGGTCAGAGTACGGTGGGCTCAACCGATGGTTTCAAGCACCCAGCGTGGTCAGGTTCATCCAGGACCGCATGAGACGGACGGGAGAAGGCAAGGGGGTGGTGTACTGCCAGACGGTGAATCAGGTCACGACGATGGCAAGCGCATTGGGGTGCGAGGCATATCACCACCACCAGATCGACAAGGCCGGCATACTGGAGCGTTTCCGACAAGGTCAATACCAGGTCATCGTGGCGACAAGTGCACTGGGCATGGGCATCGACATCCCCAACATCCGCAGCATCATCCACGTCGGACGGCCGCGATCATTGCTGGATTATGGACAGGAGAGCGGGCGTGCAGGGCGTGATGGACAGTCCAGTGAAGCCATCATCATTGAGCCCGAGGGTATCAGTGCAGCAATGATATGGTCAAGAAAGGATGCACCATCACTGCTGGACCAGAAGCTGGTTGAGCGGTACATGCAGGCAGGGGGTGAGGGGGGTGATGAACCGATGGCTCGATGTCGACGGGTGGTGCTGGACCGGTACCTGGACGGGGAAGTGGAGGGTTACATGAGACGGCACTGCGGTGATCGACACACAGGGGAGTCCCAGTGTGACGGGTGCGATGCCGAGTGGGAGGCCAGGGAGGCCGTGTTCACCCCCAGCCCAGGTGGCACGCCCACGCCCACACCCAGTCCAGGCTACAGTTCAAGAGCAACAGCCAAGGATGACTCCAGCGAGGATGAAACCAGCCAGGAGTCAGAGATGGAGAGCCAGCAGGGTGAAACCCACATCAGATTCAACGGCACATGCAGTCCCAGAATGGCCAGAAGTGTGAGCAAGAGCACAGACGACAACATAAATGAAAGCATCACCAAGAATGAAGCTTCAACTTCAGGCGGGAGCAGCCCGGGTCAATGGAACAAGCAAGAGTCAAGTGAAATCAGTGAAGACACCAGGGGCATCCCATCAACAACCAGACAGACATTCCACAAGCAGGATGTCCGTCGAGGCCGGTTCATCATCACACACCAGCAGCGAGGGCAGAGGGCATTGATGGATGAGGAGGTTTTAGTGGAAGAGGCGCAGAGGTGGAAGGATCAGTGTTTGATATGTGCAAGTGGCAAGCGGGAGTTTGACCATGAGCTGTACCAGTGTCCCCACGAGGAGAGCCAGGAGGCAAAGAGATGGATGATGACAGTGCGGAGCAAGATCAAATACACACGGTATTCCGGGTGCTTCCGATGCGGGATGCCGCAGTCCATATGCAACAGCTGGAAGACACAGAGACAGTGTCCGTACAGGGGATTTTTGATCCCGACGGTGGCAATGATGGTGTATGGGTGTCATGCAGGGCAGATGAAGCAGGCGTGGAGACAGCGGCTGAGAGAGTTCAATGTGGATGCAGATGATCAGGAGGCGGTGATTGAATTTTTGGGACAGAAGGTTGAGGGGCAGGGCATCGAGCACAACCAGCTGGTGGAGATGTTTTGTTGGCTGCGAGGGATATATCAGGAGGCAGAGAGGGGGAAGATGGAGTCAGAGGGTACAGAGGTCAAGTGATATCATGGGTGAGGGGCACATCACGGGTGAGAGGCACCACAGGAGGATGAAAGACGTATATATATATAAAGGCAGGTGAAGCAAGAGACAGAGGGTAAAGGGATATAACATCGAGAGAAAGTAGATCAGGTTCAAAGGATCAGTTTCAAACAGTATCATCCCATATGATAATGGGTCAGGGTCAGGGTTACAAAGAGTGAGGGTAGAGGCTGGGGGGGAGGATGAGGTGGTCAGAGTCAGGGTTAGGGTTGACAAAGAGTGAGGCTAGAGACAGGGGTGGGCAGTGAGGTCAGGATAGGCGGTTAAATTAGACGCAAACCCGTTAACCCATTGAAAGTCAAACCCGTTGGACCCAAACCCGTTGGACGTCGAACCCGTTGGACGAGGAAGTCGAACACGCTGGACCCAACCCGTTGGACGTCAAACCCGTCCCAGGAGCGCATTAACCCAAACCCGTTGGATGAACCCATCAACCCGTTGGACGTCGAACACGTTGGATGAGGAAGTCGAACACGCTGGACCCAAACCCGTTGGACGTCGAACCCGTTGGATGAGGAAGTCGAACACGCTGGACCCAACCCGTTGGACGTCAAACCCGTTGGGAGTTGAACACGCTGGACCAAACCCGTTGGACGTCAAACCCGTTGGACGTCGAACCCGTTGGACGTCGAACCCGTCCCAGGAGCGCATTAACCCGTTGGAAGTCGAACACGCTGGACCCAACCCGTTGGACGTCGAACCGGTTGGATGAGGAAGTCGAACACGCTGGACCAAACCCGTTGGACGTCAAACCCGTCCCAGGAGCGCATTAACCCGTTGGGAGTTGAACACGCTGGACCCAACCCGTTGGACGTCAAACCCGTCCCAGGAGCGCATTAACCCCGTGGGACCCCGACCCCGTTGGATGAACCCATCAACCCGTTGGACGTCGAAACCGGTTGGATGAGGAAGTCGAACACGCTGGACCCAACCCGTTGGACGTCAAACCCGTCCCAGGAGCGCATTAACCCGTTGGGAGTGGAACACGCTGGACCCAAACCCGTTGGATGTCGAACCCGTCCAAGGAGCGCATTAACCCATTGGACCCGAACCCGTTGGATGAACCCATCAACCCGTTGGACGTCGAACCGGTTGGATGAGGAAGTCGAACACGCTGGACCCAAACCCGTTGGACGTCAAACCCGTTGGACGTCAAACACGCTGGACCCAAACCCGTTGGACGTCGAACCCGTCCAAGGAGCGCATTAACCCATTGGACCCGAACCCGTTGGATGTCGAACCCGTCCAAGGAGCGCATTAACCCATTGGACCCGAACCCGTTGGATGAACCCATCAACCCGTTGGACGTCAAACCCGTTGGATGAGGAAGTCGAACACGCTGGACCCAAACCCGTTGGATGTCGAACCCGTCCAAGGAGCGCATTAACCCATTGGACCCGAACCCGTTGGATGAACCCATCAACCCGTTGGACGTCGAACCGGTTGGATGAGGAAGTCGAACACGCTGGACCCAAACCCGTTGGACGTCAAACCCGTTGGACGTCAAACACGCTGGACCCAAACCCGTTGGACGTCGAACCCGTCCAAGGAGCGCATTAACCCATTGGACCCGAACCCGTTGGATGAACCCATCAACCCGTTGGACGTCGAACACGCTATCCAACAGGTGGGGGTGGAATGGACGTCCATTCCATTCAGGGTTAGAAAACCGACCAATCAGAGCAGGGCAGATTGGACGTACATTCCATTTGGTTTCAGACGTTGAACGTCCAATCAACCACGGAGTCAATTGACTTCAAACTTTGCATGTAGGCCGTAGTGGATATGAAATACAACATATCCAAATCAAAAGCGATAATTCCGCCGGGAAGGGGTTACATTGTGGTGTCAAAGTCAATGAGTTGAGGTGCGATGTTTGATGGGGTAAGCCATCAACCCAACCAGACCCAACTAAATATCTATATTTTCACCCAGGCAACGGAGCGGTTAGGGTTACTAGATCAACAAAGTAAATAAAAATAGCAAAATATATAAAAAAACTGAAAGGCTTTATTCTGGAGTGATTTTAAACAGAGAAAAACAAACATTAGTCGAACACGCTGGACCCAAACCCGTTGGACGTCAAACCCGTCCAAGGAGCCCATTCACCCATTGGACCCGAACCCGTTGGATGAACCCATCAACCTGTTGGAAGTCGAGCACGCTGGACGATTATATCAGAAGGTAGAGGGGGGGGTTCAAAAATATTGGAGTTTTAAAGAGCATTATCCCATACAATAATGGGCCAGGGTTAGGGTTACAAAGAGTGAGGGTAGAGGCTGGGGGGGAGGATGAGGTGGTCAGAGTCAGCGTTAGAGTGAGGGGTGTTCAGGGGTCGAACCGGTTGAACGAACCCGTCAACCCGTTGGACCCAAACCAGTGGGATGAAACCATTTAAAAGTCAAACCCGCTGGACATGCCCGTTGAAGGTTATAGGGTTAGGGTTAAACTATCCAAGTTCTACATAGTGCGTGGTCCGACGCGCCCCCGTCCGATTTTCTCCGTCCCTGATTGGCCGCCCGTGCGTGCTCCCGCTCCCGCCTCCGCGTGCCCGCAGTGGGGCCCGGTCACAGTCGAGCTCCCTCTTCCCTTCTCATATCTCATCTCTTCTTATCTTGTCAGTTTTTATTGGCCTTATTGGCCTGGCCTGCTCGCACATCCACGCGTCTCCACATTAATGCATTTATATATTGACGCATTCGTGCATGATTGCTGGCTGCTCACTCTCTCTCTCTCTCTCTTTTTTTTTTTCTTTCTCTCTCTTATGTTTTGCTCTTTCTTCTGATCTCTGACTGACCTCTTTTAAATATACTCTTTCAAATATTGACAGACAGCCAACTTTGATGAGAGATTTACTGTGAGAATGGATCTCTTTATTTATAATAGGTCCCACCGCCTGTGGATCTGCCGCCCATGTGGATTTGCTGTTGCTGTTGCAAATGTCCTCACCCACCTGGCTAAGCGGCACCGCAACCATCCCTCGGCCGCGACGGCAGGTCTCCGGGAGGCCGCAGTGGCTGCGATGATGCAGGACCAGCTGGAGCCGGTGTTTGACCGCACTCAGGAACCCTGTTGCCCACCGCCTCCCGAGAGTGCTCCAGTCCGAGCCGGTGGTGTACTACCTCTGGCTGATTCTACCTTTCGCGCGGGCGGTCCAGCGGCTTGCATATGGAGACAGTGATAGCCAAGGGGGGCTGCGGTCACCATTTCTCTGGCCGCGGGGGCATGGACCGTGGGACAGCAGCCGGCTGCGGGTGGTGCTTCAGCGCGAGGCAAAGACACACCTCCAGACCAAGCTCAATGTAATCACTTGGCGGCATGCCGCCATTGCCATCTCGCGTATGCACCTGTCCTGTGGAGGGTTCAAGCGGGAATATGAGGCAGATGATGCGGCAGTAGACCAGCAGGCAGGCCATGGATCCTGGGCTGCAGGTACAGTATATGCGCGGGGGCTGCAGGAGGCACCAGGCCACATTGAGGCACGGCGTGTGCGGTACCAGGCTGTCAGCCGGGAGTGGCATGAATTCCTGGGGTTTAACCCAGGCCCAGGGGTGCGAAAGCGGGCACGGAACATGGAAAAGAGCGTTAGCAGAAAAGCTCAAAAACAGCAGCCATCATATGTAACAGTAGAAATAGATGACAACATAGAGCTATAAATGATAAAAGATATATATTTTTCTCATGCAATTCATTATGACCAGATTTCCAACTTCAGCAGCTAGCTGTCATCTTTATAAATTTCAATACAAATCAGCCTTTCACCTCCGTTATAAAATGTATAATATTATATTTTTATAGACAACTCATCACAACCAGACCTTAAACTTCAGGAGCCAGTTATATTATATATACAGAGTATGATATTTAATTTCAAGACATAATTTCATCAGAAAATCATATTATTACAACATTAAAGTAGATAAGTTGTTTTGCAGAGTTATCAATATTAAATATATATATTTCCCCCCAGGGCAACTACCATCACCAAAACGGTCACAGATCAGCAAAATAACAATCAGACAGAAATTAACATCATACATTTAAGTATTGATCTGCAATTGCTTAGAAGCATTACAAAACTTAAATTTAGAGCAAATTAACATTGTCGAGTGAAGTGTGTTTATACTTCATTTTCAGAGAATATATATATATATATATATATATCAACTCAAGAATACACTGACTTCATTAACATGGAACATCAATTTTTCATTCAGTGTGAATCATACCCCATCATCATATGCCGTCAATGCAAGTATGCAGTATGGCCAACAGAAATTGAACGGCATTTGAAGGGTTCAACTCATCAGTTAAAGTATACAGCCACACAGAGTATCAAGCAGATAATTCAACGGTGGGATCATATCGCGCATGATCTCGGCCGGTTGATATTGTCCACGGAATTGAACAAACCAATACATGAGCTGCTCATCCACAATGGCTACATGTGTTGGCGGCAATCTGAATGTCAGTATGTTGGAGGAACTATACGGAGCATGTACAAGCACTGACAGACCCAACACAGCTGGACTCCATGTCCCAGTCAGGGTTGGATGTCATCACAAAACCATATGCAGGTACAGAATGAGATCAACAAAGTAAATAAAAATAGCAAAATATATAAAAAAACTGAAAGGGTTCATTCTGGAGTGATTTTAAACACAGAAAAACAAAGATTAGTCGAACACGCTGGACCCAAGCCGTTGGACGTCAAACCCGTTGGACGTCAAACCCGTTGGACGTCAAACCCGTTGGACGTCGAAGCCGTTGGATGAGCGCATCAACCCGTTGGAAGTCGAACACGCTGGACCCAAACCCGTTGGATGTCGAACCCGTCCAAGGAGCGCATTAACCCATTGGACCCGAACCCGTTGGATGAACCCATCAACCCGTTGGATGAACCCATCAACCCGTTGGACCCAACCCGTTGGACGTCAAACCCGTCCCAGGAGCGCATTAACCCGTTGGGAGTTGAACACGCTGGACCCAAACCCGTTGGACGTCGAACCCGTTGGATGAGGAAGTCGAACACGCTGGACACAAACCCGTTGAACGTCAAACCCGTTGGACGTCAAACCCGTCCCAGGAGCGCATTAACCCGTTGGGAGTTGAACACGCTGGACCCAAACCCGTTGGACGTCAAACCCGTCCAAGGAGCCCATTTACCCATTGGACCCGAACCCGTTGGATGAACCCATCAACCCGTTGGAAGTCGAACACGCTGGACCCAACCCGTTGGACGTCAAACCCGTCCCAGGAGCGCATTAACCCGTTGGACGTCGAACCCGTCCCAGGAGCGCATTAACCCGTTGGACGTCGAACCCGTCCCAGGAGCGCATTAACCCGTTGGGAGTTGAACACGCTGGACCCAACCCGTGGGACGTCAAACCCGTTGGACGTCAAACCCGTCCCAGAAGCGCATTAACCCGTTGGGAGTTGAACACGCTGGACCCAAACCCGTTGGATGTCGAACCCGTCCAAGGAGCGCATTAACCCATTGGACCCGAACTCGTTGGATGAACCCATCAACCCGTTGGACGTCGAACCCGTTGGATGAGGAAGTCGAACACGCTGGACCCAACCCGTTGGACGTCAAACCCGTCCCAGGAGCGCATTAACCCGTTGGACGTCGAATCCGTTAGATGAACCCATCAACCCGTTGGAAGTCGAACACGGTGGACGATTATATCAGAAGGTAGAGGGGCGGGAAGATCGAGTCAGGGGCATAGAGGTCAAATGACATCACAGGTGAGAGGCAGATGTTGACGAGCACCACATAGAGATAAAAGATATATGCATATATAAAGATCGATGAAGCGCATTAACCCGTTGGGAGTTGAAGACGCTGGACCCAAACCCGTTGGACGTCAAACCCGTCCAAGGAGCCCATTTACCCATTGGACCCGAACCCGTTGGATGAACCCATCAACCCGTTGGACGTCGAACCCGTTGGACCCAACCCGTTGGACGTCAAACCCGTTGGACGTCAAACCCGTCCCAGGAGCGCATTAACCCGTTGGACGTCAAACCCGTCCCAGGAGCGCATTAACCCGTTGGAAGTCGAACACGCTGGACCCAACCCGTTGGACGTCAAACCCGTCCAAGGAGCGCATTAGCCCATTGGACCCGAACCCTATCCAACAGGTGGGGGTGGAATGGACGTCCATTCCATTCAGGGTTAGAAAACCGACCAATCAGAGCAGGGCAGATTGGACGTACATTCCATTTGGTTTCAGACGTTGAACGTCAAATCAACCACGGAGTCAATTGACTTCAAACTTTGCATGTAGGCCGTAGTGGATATGAAATACAACATATCCAAATCAAAAGCGATAATTCCGCCGGGAAGGGGTTACATTGTGGTGTCAAAGTCAATGAGTTGAGGTGCGATGTTTGATGGGGTAAGCCATCAACCCAACCAGACCCAACTAAATATCTATATTTTCACCCAGGCAACGGAGCGGTTAGGGTTACTAGATCAACAAAGTAAATAAAAATAGCAAAATATATAAAAAAACTGAAAGGCTTCATTCTGGAGTGATTTTAAACAGAGAAAAACAAACATTAGTCGAACACGCTGGACCCTAAGCCGTTGGACGTCAAACCCGTCCAACCAGGAGTCAGAGATGGAGAGCCAGCAGGGTGAAACCCACATCAGATTCAACAGCACATGCAGTCCCAGAATGGCCAGAAGTGTGAGCAAGAGCACAGACAACAACATAAATGAAAGCATCACCAAGAATGAGGCTTCAACTATCCCCTCGTCCGTAGGTTTGTGCAAAATTAGCGTGGTTTCATTAGTGTATATTATACGAGATCTCATTGAATAATCAGTGTATTTTTGAGTATTCATTGGTATTAGGGTTATATATAAACCCTAATTAAGGATCCGCGTAAATAGATATTAGGATATACTATGAAATTCCGCCCAACATTGAGTTTTCAAACATAAAAGGGTATTTTGACACTCTGAACAGTCAGAACTTGATCTCCCTATCTTTTTATATTTCTGCTGGCCAATCTTTCATTTATATTGACACCAGGCACAAACACGCTGCTTTGGAAGAGAAATCCGTTGATGATTTAGATTAGAATTTGATCATTCCCTTGATAGATTATCATGAATCCTAGATGTGAATTCAAAGAGTTCCTGGTAAAGCTTCTCATGAAAGCTTATATGAGAAGAAAGATCCTTCACTGAAATCCTCTGCTGCTTCATATATAGATATTGAAGCCGGTATGCATTAATAGCTGCGGAATCAATAAGTCAGTAGAGAATAGAAAGCCAGGTGTGATAGATGACTCTATGACTAGTATATGCTGCTCAGTATTGATTTGCTAGATGTACCCCATTCATATGATGATTATAATCACCTATAATCAATGGGATTTTCAGCTTCTTTTGTGATTGACCTTTAAAGACTTTTCTAACAATATTGACATTGATTGAGAGTTCCCCTGAGCATTTACAAGTACATTCAATAACTGCGTCCAATGAATGAATCGTAGTTAGTGCCAATACCATATTATTATCTTGCCAGGCAAGACAGAGAACATTCTCTTTTTCAATGACATGCAGAGTATTTCAGAGTATGGAATTTGAATGCTCTCAAAGGTCATCTAGTACTGCTGGAACCTGGTTTGAATGAGTGGTTCCACATGCTCCATACCCCTGTTGACGGAGTTCTTTGAATAAAGGAACTGATGTAAAGTAGTTATCCATTTCAATTGAATAGGATGTGACCAGCTGTGAGATAGAGATTTCATTAGATGTGGCATTCGGTGTAGCATTCGGGGGGGTGATATTCGGGTTGATATTAGGGCCAATATTATGGGTGATATTAGAGTCGATATTAGGGGTGGCATTCGGCATGGTATTCGGTGTATTCGGTGTGGATACCATAGAAAGCCGCTTCACCAGATTCACCACCATAGATCTGGTTTTTGTTAACATAGAGAATTGAAACATAGACATTATACCCTGCCAGCAGCTAGATCAGGAAAAAGATCATAAATAGTCATGTTCTGCTAGGCCAAATATCTTATATCTTCAAGGAATTGGTTTATTAGACATCTTGTATGTAATGTTGACTCCATCCAAAATATTTAACCATGATCTCATCAATGGAAATCTTAGAGTCAGGGGTATAGTATTTTCAGCATGCCATATGAAACTTAGTAGCTAATGACTCTATCTTATACCATCAATTCTTATTTTTGACCTCCGGGCGGCGGGCCTCATGAAGGTTAGATATATGGATATATCATTTAATCTGTTCAAAACGCATATGGGTCATATAGAATTGAATGGAATGAATAGAGTCTTGTTTCAGCTCATTCTGCCCGTATAGATCAATTCAATGGAATTTATGAACTTTCATATAGAGAAGAATGCCTATAAAGACCTTTATCTCTGCTGAATTGATATTTTTCCATGAACATTGCTGAATAGAAAGCTTTGAGAATATAGATATTTCAGAAATCTCTATATCTATATCTTGAGCTTTCTCATTCTTTTTCATTTCTGAAAGCTCTGAAGCTTCATCATCAGTATCTCTAGTATCTCTCTTTAATTTTGCATAGAGATTAGTAGAATTACTGATATTTTAAAAGCATTTCTCAGAGAAGAATAAGATAAACAGAATGTATGAACTGCTGATATTGATATTTGCAGAAATATTGAAAATTGAATCTCATGAGATAGGCAATATTGAGTGGAATTTCACCGATTCTAGAGGTGGAAGTTCTGCAATAACCTCCTCAACAGACTGTTTTCATTTTCTTGATGTTTTTGTATGAACTAGAGAATGAATTAGTTAGCTAGGTCATTTGAATTGATTAATATAAGGAACTCACCATTGGATTTGGTAGGTTTCTCAGTGGATTCCACATTCGCAGGTTTGGGGGGTTCCATATTCGCGGGTAGGGGGATAGGTGGGAGAAGATATGAGAATCAGGCAGGCAGGCAGACAGGCAGGGCTTCAAACATGTTGAATTCCATACACATTCTTAAGATCTACATGAGATCTTCAATCAGTGGATCTAAATGACCAATTATTATTCATATAAAATCATATAGGATTCTATTGGTTATGCCCAGGGCGCCGGTGCAGAATTCCATACACTAATTGAAACCACGCTAATGTTGCACAAACCAGAAATGTGATTTTTGTCGAGCTTTTAACATTTTTTTGTTGTTTTTCTAACATTACACAAATATTAACAAGTATTTCTCTTTATTCAGAGTCAGTTAACAAACTGAATCTATTATTCACAACTTCAACTGCTATCATATTCTGCATATGTGTATCCCTTATTTTTGTTTGAACAGAGGTTCTTGGTGACTTCTGTGATCTAATTTTTTGCCTCGCAGAAGATTCAGAGATAGCAGATTCAGAGAGTTGAGAATTCCTTCTTTTTTATTTATTGCTATCATTTACATCAGTAGAGACTGAGTTATTTGTCTGTACTGATGGCTTTCCTGATTTGGGAGCAAATATGCATTCTTTTGAATTTGCAAAGTGAGGCTCTTTACAATTGGCAACCCATTGGAAGTTGAGACGTTGAAACCATTGGAAGTCGAACCCGTTGACCGAACCCGTTAACCCGTTGGACCCAAACCAGTGGGATGACACCATTTAAAAGTCAAACCCGCTGGACATGCCCGTTGAAGGTTATAGGGTTAGGGTTAAACTATCCAAGTTCTACATAGTGCGTGGTCCGACGCGCCCCCGTCCGATCTTCTCCGTCCCTGATTGGCCGCCCGTGCGTGCTCCCGCTCCCGCCTCCGCGTGCCCGCAGTGGGGCCCGGTCACAGTCGAGCTCCCTCTTCCCTTCCCTTCCGCGGCAGCCAGCCACCCCATTACTTCAAACTTTGCATGGGTGCCGTAGTGGATATGAAATACAACATATCCAAATCAAAAGCGATAATTCCGTCGGGAAGGGGTTACATTGTGGTGTCAAAGTCAATGAGTTGAGGTGCGATGTTTGATGGGGTAAGCCACCAACCCAACCAGACCCAACTAAATATATATATTTTCACCCAGGCAACGGAGCGGTGCAAAGCGGTGCAAGATCAACAAAGTAAATAAAAATAGCAAAACATATAAGAAAACTGAAAGGCTTCATTCTGGAGTGATTTTAAACACAGAAAAACAAACATTCACACCAGATCAGATCTGTCAAGTTTCACACAAAGACACTGAATGAAGGAAATATATATATATTTCAATGCACAAGACAGACCCAGCATCGACATGGAACATCAATTATTTATCCACTGTGAATCATACCTCATTATCATATGCCGCCGGTGCAAGCACGCTGTGTGGCCAACAGAGATTGAACGGCATCTGAAAGGCAAGGCCCATCAGCTAAAGCATGCGGTGGTTCAGCAGATAAAGAAGAACATTGAACAGTGGGACAATGTGGCTCGAGATACTACACAGTTAACACTGCCCACAATACTGAATGAACCAATCCCGGAACTACCCATTCAAGATGGCTACAGGTGCCAGCGGGATCCCCAGTGCCAGTATGTGGCAGGGAACATGAACACCATGCGCAAGCACTGGCAGAACAAGCACAGCTGGTCGCCATATCCCAGCCGTGGCCGTACAGCGCCACAAAAGCGTACGGCAGCACAGGATGAGGTGGACAGATCATGCCAGAAGGTGCAGTTCCAGCAGATATTTGCATCGCGCAAGGGCTCCCACTACATACAGATCCAGACTAAGGAGACTACTGAGCATACCGGCACGCCAGACCAGAACAGAGCCAGCCAGGCCATTGATGAGCTGGAGCGATTTTACCAGGAACAGCAACGGCAGACCAGCAATGTCATCCAGGCCGGGGAGCACGATGAAGCCAACCCATGGCTGCGGCGGACCAGATGGCCGGTGTACTTGACCAACATCGCACCCAATGATCTGGTCAACTGCGTCCAGCGGCCCGACGATGACACCACGTGCCCAGATGAACTGGCCGCGAGGGCCATCTGGGAGGCCATGGGTCAGGTTGCCCGTACCAGCCAGCGAGTCATCACACGGCTGGGCCACTTCGTCCGCATCGAGGCCATCCGCACAGAGCGACACCAGACCCGGCACACCCCGTTGCAGGCGTACATGGACGAGGAGAGCATCGCCGAGCACGTGAGGCCATGGCAGCAGATGTTGATGTTTTTCGCCCGAACGCAGGTCGAGCATGAATGGACGAGCCCACAGTACCGGTTCACACCACGGCAGCGCAAGACATGGAGGGTATTATGGCAGGTAGCCACCACAGAGGGAGCCGACCAGCGACACTCCATCAGCCCAGACCCCATGGATGAGCAGATGACTGAGGAAGAAGAAGAGGAGGAGGAGAAGGGACAGAGAGATACCCAGCCAGAAGAAGAAGATAAGTTCAAATTAACCAAGATGCAGATGGCATGTTTGGATTTTTGCATTGAGCTGCTGAACCAGCGGGTTCAGATGGAGGATTATGAGTGCGCGCTGATAGACACGTTGGCGGTGCTGGGACGGGGGGAGTATGGATGGTGCGACGCGAAGAGCTACCCACCAATATTGTCACGGATCAAGAAGAAGATAAGTTCAAATTAACCAAGATCCAGATGGCATGTTTGGATTTTTGCATTGAGCTGCTGAACCAGCGGGTTCAGGTGGAGGATTATGAGTGCGCGCTGGTAGACGCGTTGGCGGTGCTGGGACGGGGGGAGTATGGATGGTGCGACGCGGAGAGCTACCCACCAATGTTGTCACGGATCATCAAGGTGGCACGGTTCATGGTGGTGCAGAAGGCGCTGCGACTGGACGCCAATGCATCCGACATGCTGGCCAGGAACCAAGCAAGCCAGATGGTGGGAGAGTGGGCCGTGGTGAGCCCCATGGAGGAGGCGGATTACACGTTCACAGGCAATCAGAATGAAGGGTAATCAGTGAAGACATCAGAGGCATCCCATCAACAATCAGACAGACATTCCACAAACAGAATGTCCATCAAGGCCGGTTCATCATCACACATCAGCAGCGAGGGCAGAGGGCATTGATGGATGAGGAGGTTTTAGTGGAAGAGGCGCAGAGGTGGAAGGATCAGTGTTTAATATGTGCAAATGGCAAGCGGGAGTTTGACCATGAGCTGTACCAGTGTCCCCACGAGGAGAGCCAGGAGGCAAAGAGATGGATGATGACAGTGCGGAGCAAGATCAAATACACACGGTATTCCGGGTGCTTCCGATGCGGGATGCCGCAGTCCATATGCAACAGCTGGAAGACACAGAGGCAGTGTCCGTACAGGGGATTTTTGATCCCGACAGTGGCAATGATGATGTATGGGTGTCATGCAGGGCAGATGAAGCAGGCGTGGAGACAGCGGCTGAGAGAGTTCAATGTGGATGCAGATGATCAGGAGGCGGTGATTGAATTTTTGAGACAGAAGGTTGAGGGGCAGGGCATGGAGCACAACCGGCTGGTGGAGATGGTTTGTTGGCTGCGAGGGATATATCAGGAGGCAGAGAGGGGGAAGATCGAGTTAGAGGGTACAGAGGTCAAGTGATATCATGGGTGAGGGGCACATCACGGGTGAGAGGCACCACAGGAGGATGAAAGATGTATATATATATAAAGGCAGGTGAAGCAAGAGACAGAGGGTAGGGTTACAAAGAGTGAGGGTAGAGGCTGGGGGGAAGGATGAGGTGGTCAGAGTCAGGGTTAGGGTTGACAAAGAGTGAGGCTAGAGACAGGGGTGGGCAGTGAGGTCAGAATAGATGGTTAAATTGAGCACAAACCCGTTAACCCATTGGAAGTCAAACCCGTTGGACCCAAACCCGTTGGCCGTCGAACCCGTTGGATGAGCGCATTAACCCGTTGGAAGTCGAACACGCTGGACCCAACCCGTTGGACGTCGAACCCGTTGGACCCAACCCGTTGGACGTCAAACCCGTTGGACGTCAAACCCGTTGGACGTCAAATCCGTCCCAGGAGCGCATTAACCCGTTGGACGTCAAACCCGTCCCAGGAGCGCATTAACCCGTTGGAAGTCGAACACGCTGGACCCAACCCGTTGGACGTCAAACCCGTCCAAGGAGCGCATTAGCCCATTGGACCCGAACCCGTTGGATGAACCCATCAACCCTATCCAACAGGTGGGGGTGGAATGGACGTCCATTCCATTTAGGGTTAGAAAACCTTAGAAAACCGACCAATCAGAGCAGGGCAGATTGGACGTACATTCCATTTGGTTTCAGACGTTGAACGTCCAATCAACCACGGAGTCAATTGACTTCAAACTTTGCATGTAGGCCGTAGTGGATATGAAATACAACATATCCAAATCAAAAGCGATAATTCCGCCGGGAAGGGGTTAAATTTTAGTGTCAAAGTCAATGAGTTGAGGTGCGATGTTTGATGGGGTAAGCCATCAACCCAACCAGACCCAACTAAATATATATATTTTCACCCCAGGCAACGGAGCGGCGCAAAGCGGTGCAAGATCAACAAAGTAAATAAAAATAGCAAAACATATAAGAAAACTGAAAGGCTTCATCCTGGAGTGATTTTAACCACAGAAAAACAAACATTCACACCAGATCAGATCTGTCAAGTTTCACACAAAGACACTGAATGAAGGAAATATATATATATTCAATGCACAAGACAGACCCAGCATCGACATGGAACATCAATTATTTATCCACTGTGAATCATACCTCATTATCATATGCCGCCGGTGCAAGCACGCTGTGTGGCCAACAGAGATTGAACGGCATCTGAAAGGCAAGGCCCATCAGCTAAAGCATGCGGTGGTTCAGCAGATAAAGGAGAACATTGAACAGTGGGACAATGTGGCTCGAGATACTACACAGTTAACACTGCCCACATACTACACAGTTAACACTGCCCACAATACTGAATGAACCAATCCCGGAACTACCCATTCAAGATGGCTACAGGTGCCAGCAGGATCCCCAGTGCCAGTATTTGGCAGGGAACATGAACACCATACGCAAGCACTGGCAGAACAAGCACAGCTGGTCGCCATATCCCAGCCGTGGCCGTACAGCGCCACAAAAGCGTACGGCAGCACAGGATGAGGTGGACAGATCATGCCAGAAGGTGCAGTTCCAGCAGATATTTGCATCGCGCAAGGGCTCCCACTACATACAGATCCAGACTAAGGAGACTACTGAGCATACCGGCACGCCAGACCAGAACAGAGCCAGCCAGGCCATTGATGAGCTGGAGCGATTTTACCAGGAACAGCAACGGCAGACCAGCAATGTCATCCAGGCCGGGGAGCACGATGAAGCCAACCCATGGCTGCGGCGGACCAGATGGCCGGTGTACTTGACCAACATCGCACCCAATGATCTGGTCAACTGCGTCCAGCGGCCCGACGATGACACCACGTGCCCAGATGAACTGGCCGCGAGGGCCATCGGGAGGCCATGGGGCAGGTTGCCCGTACCAGCCAGCGAGTCATCACACGGCTGGGCCACTTCGTCCGCATCGAGGCCATCCGCACAGAGCGACACCAGACCCGGCACACCCCGTTGCAGGCATACATGGATGAGGAGAGCATCGCCGAGCACGTGAGGCCATGGCAGCAGATGTTGATGTTTTTCGCCCGAACGCAGGTCGAGCATGAATGGACGAGCCCACAGTACCGGTTCACACCACGGCAGCGCAAGACATGGAGGGTATTATGGCAGGTAGCCACCACAGAGGGAGCCGACCAGCGACACTCCATCAGCCCAGACCCCATGGATGAGCAGATGACTGAGGAAGAAGAAGAGGAGGAGGAGAAGGGACAGAGAGATACGCAGTCAGAAGAAGAAGATAAGTTCAAATCAACCAAGATCCAGATGGCATGTTTGGATTTTTGCATTGAGCTGCTGGACCAGCGGAGTTCAGGTGGAGGATTATGAGTGCGCGCTGGTAGACGCGTGGCGGTGCTGGGACGGGGGGAGTATGGATGGTGCGACGCGGAGAGCTACCCACCAATGTTGTCACGGATCATCAAGGTGGCACGGTTCATGGTGGTGCACAAGGCGCTGCGACTGGACGCCAATGCATCCGACATGCTGGCCAGGAACCAAGCAAGCCAGATGGTGGGAGAGTGGGCCGTGGTGAGCGCCATGAAGGAGGCGGATTACACGTTCACAGGCAATCAGAATGAAGGGTAATCAGTGAAGACATCAGAGGCATCCCATCAACAATCAGACAGACATTCCACAAACAGAATGTCCATCAAGGCCGGTTCATCATCACACATCAGCAGCGAGGGCAGAGGGCATTGATGGATGAGGAGGTTTTAGTGGAAGAGGCGCAGAGGTGGAAGGATCAGTGTTTGATATGTGCAAGTGGCAAGCGGGAGTTTGACCATGAGCTGTACCAGTGTCCCCACGAGGAGAGCCAGGAGGCAAAGAGATGGATGATGACAGTGCGGAGCAAGATCAAATACACACAGTATTCCGGGTGCTTCCGATGCGGGATGCCGCAGTCCATATGCAACAGCTGGAAGACACAGAGGCAGTGTCCGTACAGGGGATTTTTGATCCCGACAGTGGCAATGATGATGTATGGGTGTCATGCAGGGCAGATGAAGCAGGCGTGGAGACAGCGGCTGAGAGAGTTCAATGTGGATGCAGATGATCAGGAGGCGGTGATTGAATTTTTGGGACAGAAGGTTGAGGGGCAGGGCATGGAGCACAACCGGCTGGTGGAGATGGTTTGTTGGCTGCGAGGGATATATCAGGAGGCAGAGAGGGGGAAGATCGAGTTAGAGGGTACAGAGGTCAAGTGATATCATGGGTGAGGGGCACATCACGGGTGAGAGGCACCACAGGAGGATGAAAGATGTATATATATATAAAGGCAGGTGAAGCAAGAGACAGAGGGTAGGGTTACAAAGAGTGAGGGTAGAGGCTGGGGGGAAGGATGAGGTGGTCAGAGTCAGGGTTAGGGTTGACAAAGAGTGAGGCTAGAGACAGGGGTGGGCAGTGAGGTCAGAATAGATGGTTAAATTGAGCACAAACCCGTTAACCCATTGGAAGTCAAACCCGTTGGACCCAAACCCGTTGGCCGTCGAACCCGTTGGATGAGCGCATTAACCCGTTGGAAGTCGAACACGCTGGACCCAACCCGTTGGACGTCGAACCCGTTGGACCCAACCCGTTGGACGTCAAACCCGTTGGACGTCAAACCCGTTGGACGTCAAATCCGTCCCAGGAGCGCATTAACCCGTTGGACGTCAAACCCGTCCCAGGAGCGCATTAACCCGTTGGAAGTCGAACACGCTGGACCCAACCCGTTGGACGTCAAACCCGTCCAAGGAGCGCATTAGCCCATTGGACCCGAACCCGTTGGATGAACCCATCAACCCTATCCAACAGGTGGGGGTGGAATGGACGTCCATTCCATTTAGGGTTAGAAAACCTTAGAAAACCGACCAATCAGAGCAGGGCAGATTGGACGTACATTCCATTTGGTTTCAGACGTTGAACGTCCAATCAACCACGGAGTCAATTGACTTCAAACTTTGCATGTAGGCCGTAGTGGATATGAAATACAACATATCCAAATCAAAAGCGATAATTCCGCCGGGAAGGGGTTAAATTTTAGTGTCAAAGTCAATGAGTTGAGGTGCGATGTTTGATGGGGTAAGCCATCAACCCAACCAGACCCAACTAAATATATATATTTTCACCCCAGGCAACGGAGCGGCGCAAAGCGGTGCAAGATCAACAAAGTAAATAAAAATAGCAAAACATATAAGAAAACTGAAAGGCTTCATCCTGGAGTGATTTTAACCACAGAAAAACAAACATTCACACCAGATCAGATCTGTCAAGTTTCACACAAAGACACTGAATGAAGGAAATATATATATATTCAATGCACAAGACAGACCCAACATCGACATGGAACATCGATTATTTATCCACTGTGAATCATACCTCATTATCATATGCCGCCGGTGCAAGCACGCTGTGTGGCCAACCGAGATTGAACGGCATCTGAAAGGCAAGGCCCATCAGCTAAAGCATGCGGTGGTTCAGCAGATAAAGGAGAACATTGAACAGTGGGACAATGTGGCTCGAGATACTACACAGTTAACACTGCCCACATACTACACAGTTAACACTGCCCACAATACTGAATGAACCAATCCCGGAACTACCCATTCAAGATGGCTACAGGTGCCAGCGGGATCCCCAGTGTCAGTATGTGGCAGGGAACATGAACACCATGCGCAAGCACTGGCAGAACAAGCACAGCTGGTCGCCATATCCCAGAGGGAGCCGACCAGCGACACTCCATCAGCCCAGACCCCATGGATGAGCAGATGACTGAGGAAGAAGAAGAGGAGGAGGAGAAGGGACAGAGAGATACCCAGCCAGAAGAAGAAGATAAGTTCAAATCAACCAAGATCCAGATGGCATGTTTGGATTTTTGAATTGAGCTGCTGAACCAGCGGGTTCAGGTGGAGGATTATGAGTGCGCGCTGGTAGACGCGTTGGCGGTGCTGGGACGGGGGGAGTATGGATGGTGCGACGCGAAGAGCTACCCACCAATATTGTCACGGATCAAGAAGAAGATAAGTTCAAATCAACCAAGATCCAGATGGCATGTTTGGATTTTTGAATTGAGCTGCTGAACCAGCGGGTTCAGGTGGAGGATTATGAGTGCGCGCTGGTAGACGCGTTGGCGGTGCTAGGACGGGGGGAGTATGGATGGCGCGACGCGGAGAGCTACCCACCAATATTGTCACGGATCATCAAGGTGGCACGGTTATGCCACACGGTGCTCAACGACCAGGTCAACTATCCAACAGGTGGGGGTGGAATGGACGTCCATTCCATTTAGGGTTAGAAAACCTTAGAAAACCGACCAATCAGAGCAGGGCAGATTGGGCGTACATTCCATTTGGTTTCAGACGTTGAACGTCTAATCAACCACGGAGTCAATTGACTTCAAACTTTGCATGTAGGCCGTAGTGGATATGAAATACAACATATCCAAATCAAAAGCGATAATTCCGCCGGGAAGGGGTTAAATTTTAGTGTCAAAGTCAATGAGTTGAGGTGCGATGTTTGATGGGGTAAGCCATCAACCCAACCAGACCCAACTAAATATCTATATTTTCACCCAGGCAACGGAGCGGTGCAAAGCGGTGCAGGATCAACAAAGTAAATAAAAATAGCAAAACATATAAGAAAACTGAAAGGCTTCATCCTGGAGTGATTTTAAACACAGAAAAACAAACATTCACACCAGATCAGATCTGTCAAGTTTCACACAAAGACACTGAATGAAGGAAATATATATATATTCAATGCACAAGACAGACCCATCATCGACATGGAACATCAATTATTTGTCCACTGTGAATCATACCTCATTATCATATGCCGCCGGTGCAAGCACGCTGTGTGGCCAACAGAGATTGAACAGCATCTGAAAGGCAAGGCCCATCAGCTAAAGCATGCGGTGGTTCAGCAGATAAAGGAGAACATTGAACAGTGGGACAATGTGGCTCGAGATACTACACAGTTAACACTGCCCCACAATACTGAATGAACCAATCCCGGAACTACCCATTCATGATGGCTACAGGTGCCAGCGGGATCCCCCAGTGCCAGTATGTGGCAGGGAACATGAACACCATGCGCAAGCACTGGCAGAACAAGCACAGCTGGTCGCCATATCCCAGCCGTGGCCGTACAGCGCCACAAAAGCGTACGGCAGCACAGGATGAGGTGGACAGATCATGCCAGAAGGTGCAGTTCCAGCAGGTATTTGCATCGCGCAAGGGCTCCCACTACATACAGATCCAGACTAAGGAGACTACTGAGCACACCGGCACGCCAGACCAGAACAGAGCCAGCCATGTCATTGATGAGCTGGAGCGGTTTTACCGGGAACAGCAACGGCAGACCAGCAATGTCATCCAGGCCGGGGAGCACGATGAAGCCAACCCATGGCTGCGGCGGACCAGATGGCCGGTGTACTATCCAACAGGTGGGGGTGGAATGGACGTCCATTCCATTCAGGGTTAGAAAACTGACCAATCAGAGCAGGGCAGATTGGACGTACATTCCATTTGGTTTCAGACGTTGAACGTCTAATCAACTACGGAGTCAATTGACTTCAAACTTTGCATGTAGGCCGTAGTGGATATGAAATACAACATATCCAAATCAAAAGCGATAATTCCGCCGGGAAGGGGTTACATTGTGGTGTCAAAGTCAATGAGTTGAGGTGCGATGTTTGATGGGGTAAGCCATCAACCCAACCAGACCCAACTAAATATCTATATTTTCACCCAGGCAACGGAGCGGTGCAAAGCGGTGCAAGATCAACAAAGTAAATTAAAATAGCAAAATATATAAAAAAACCGAAAGGCTTCATTCTGGAGTGATTTTAAACACAGAAAAACAAACATTAGTCGAACACGCTGGACCCAAACCCGTTGGATGTCAAACCCGTCCAAGGAGCCCATTCACCCATTGGACCCGAACCCGTTGGATGAACCCATCAACCCGTTGGAAGTCGAGCACGCTGGACGATTATATCAGAAGGTAGAGGGGGGGTTTCAAAAATATGGGAGTTTTAAAGAGCATTATCCCATACAATAATGGGCCAGGGTTAGGGTTACAAAGAGTGAGGGTAGAGGCTGGGGGGGAGGATGAGGTGGTCAGAGTCAGGGTTAGAGTGAGGGGTGTTCAGGGGTCGAACCCGTTGAACGAACCCGTTAACCCGTTGGACCCAAACCAGTGGGATGAAACCAATTAAAAAGTCAAACCCGCTGGACATGCCCGTTGAAGGTTATAGGGTTAGGGTTAAACTATCCAAGTTATACATAGTGCGTGGTCCGACGCGCCCCCGTCCGATTTTCTCCGTCCCTGATTGGCCGCCCGTGCGTGCTCCCGCTCCCGCCTCCGCGTGCCCGCAGTGGCCCGGTCGCGGTCGAGCTCCCTCTTCCCTTCCCTTCTGCGGCAGCCAGCCACCCCATTACTTCAAACTTTGCATGTAGGCCGTAGTGGATATGGAATACAACATATCCAAATTAAAAGCGATAATTCCGCCGGGAAGGGGTTAAATTGTGGTGTCAAAGTCAATGAGTTGAGGTGCGATGTTTGATGGGGTAAGCCACCAACCCAACCAGACCCAACTATATATATATATTTTCACCCAGGCAACAGAGCGGTGCAAAGCGGTGCAAGATCAACAAAGTAAATAAAAATAGCAAAACATATAAGAAAACTGAAAGGCTTCATCCTGGAGTGATTTTAACCACAGAAAAACAAACATTCACACCAGATCAGATCTGTCAAGTTTCACACAAAGACACTGAATGAAGGAAATATATATATATTCAATGCACAAGACAGACCCAGCATCGACATGGAACATCAATTATTTATCCACTGTGAATCATACCTCATTATCATATGCCGCCGGTGCAAGCACGCTGTGTGGCCAACAGAGATTGAACGGCATCTGAAAGGCAAGGCCCATCAGCTAAAGCATGCGGTGGTTCAGCAGATAAAGGAGAACATTGAACAGTGGGACAATGTGGCTCGAGATACTACACAGTTAACACTGCCCACAATACTGAATGAACCAATCCCGGAACTACCCATTCATGATGGCTACAGGTGCCAGCGGGATCCCCAGTGCCAGTATGTGGCAGGGAACATGAACACCATGCGCAAGCACTGGCAGAACAAGCACAGCTGGTCGCCATATCCCAGAGGGAGCCGACCAGCGACACTCCATCAGCCCAGACCCCATGGATGAGCAGATGACTGAGGAAGAAGAAGAGGAGGAGGAGAAGGGACAGAGAGATACCCAGCCAGAAGAAGAAGATAAGTTCAAATCAACCAAGATCCAGATGGCATGTTTTGGATTTTTTGAATTGAGCTGCTGGACCAGCGGGGTTCGGGTGGAGGATTATGAGTGCGCGCTGGTAGACGCGTTGGCGGTGCTGGGACGGGGGGAGTATGGATGGCGCGACGCGGAGAGCTACCCACCAATATTGTCACGGATCATCAAGGTGGCACGGTTATGCCACACGGTGCTCAACGACCAGGTCAACTATCCAACATGTGGGGGTGGAATGGACGTCCATTCCATTCAGGGTAAGAAAACCGACCAATCAGAGCAGGGCAGATTGGACGTACATTCCATTTGGTTTCAGACGTTGAACGTCCAATCAACCACGGAGTCAATTGACTTCAAACTTTGCATGTAGGCCGTAGTGGATATGAAATACAACATATCCAAATCAAAAGCGATAATTCCGCCGGGAAGGGGTTACATTGTGGTGTCAAAGTCAATGAGTTGAGGTGCGATGTTTGATGGGGTAAGCCATCAACCCAACCAGACCCAACTAAATATCTATATTTTCACCCAGGCAACGGAGCGGTTAGGGTTACTAGATCAACAAAGTAAATAAAAATAGCAAAATATATAAAAAAACTGAAAGGCTTTATTCTGGAGTGATTTTAAACAGAGAAAAACAAACATTAGTCGAACACGCTGGACCCAAACCCGTTGGACGTCAAACCCGTCCAAGGAGCCCATTCACCCATTGGACCCGAACCCGTTGGATGAACCCATCAACCTGTTGGAAGTCGAGCACGCTGGACGATTATATCAGAAGGTAGAGGGGGGGGTTCAAAAATATTGGAGTTTTAAAGAGCATTATCCCATACAATAATGGGCCAGGGTTAGGGTTACAAAGAGTGAGGGTAGAGGCTGGGGGGGAGGATGAGGTGGTCAGAGTCAGGGTTAGAGTGAGGGGTGTTCAGGGGTCGAACCCGTTGAACGAACCCGTCAACCCGTTGGACCCAAACCAGTGGGATGAAACCATTTAAAAGTCAAACCCGCTGGACATGCCCGTTGAAGGTTATAGGGTTAGGGTTAAACTATCCAAGTTCTACATAGTGCGTGGTCCGACGCGCCCCGGTCCGATTTTCTCCGTCCCTGATTGGCCGCCCGTGCGTGCTCCCGCTCCCGCCTCCGCGTGCCCGCAGTGGGGCCCGGTCACAGTCGAGCTCCCTCTTCCTCTTCCCTTCTCATATCTCATGGCACAGATGCTGGTGGTACAGCAGGCAGTTCAGATGGCCGAGGATGAGCAGGTGGAGCACCCTGCAGATGCGCTGGATGCCATGCGTGAACGCTTCCTCCTCCCAGGAGTGGCTGCCCCCTTTGGCTGGGTGACCCGGCTGCGGACATTCGGCAAGCGAGTGCAGAACACCACCACAAGTCTAGGGTATGTCTGCTGGAGCGATGACCAGCAGACTCTAAGCTATAGAGAGCTGCATCTAAGCATAGCAGGGCTCCGGCGCTTCGTGCGCACGCAGGTGGAGCTTACACAGCACAAGCTTGAGCAGCTCTTTCTTGTTCATGAAGAGGAAGCACGGGAGGTGGTAGTGCCACGCCTGGCACTGGCCCAGCTGGCGGACAGCCCTACAAACAATCATCGCGGCTGGAACTTCCTTCAAGCACCGCAGAACTGCAAGGCCCTTCCAACCACAGGGGAGCGATGGCTGCTGGACCGAGTCCTCACAACAGACAGGCTCCGGGCAGAGTGGGTAGCTGTACGGCCATCTGATCATCAGGTGGTCTGGGACACAGCAGTGGTAGATGACTATCTGCAGCAGGTGGATGAATTTCTTGAGCAGCTGCTTCTTGTGGTTCATCTCACTGGGGGCCAGCGTGCGCGGGCCACAGAGCTGCTCAGCATACGGCACAGTAACACAGTCTGCGGCCGCCACCGCAGCATTTTTATTGAACATGGGCTGGTGAGCATGGTGACAACCTATCACAAAGGATACAGCATGACCAACTCCACAAAGATCATCCACCGCTATCTGCCAGCAGAGGTCAGTGAGCTGGTGGTGTACTACCTCTGGCTGATTCTACCTTTCGCGCGGGCGGTCCAGCGGCTTGCATATGGAGACAGTGATAGTTAAGGGGGGCTGCGGTCACCATTTCTCTGGCCGCGGGGGCATGGACCGTGGGACTGCAGCCGGCTGCGGGTGGTGCTTCAGCGCGAGGCAAAGACACACCTCCAGACCAAGCTCAATGTAATCCCTTGGCGGCATGCCGCCATTGCCATCTCGCGTATGCACCTGTCCTGTGGAGGGTTCAAGCGGGAATATGGGGCAGATGATGCGGCAGTAGACCAGCAGGCAGGCCATGGATCCTGGGCTGCAGGTACAGTATATGCGCGGGGGCTGCAGGAGGCACCAGGCCACATTGAGGCACGGCGTGTGCGGTACCAGGCTGTCAGCCGGGAGTGGCATGAATTCCTGGGGTTTAACCCAGGCCCAGGGGTGCGAAAGCGGGTTAGGAACATGGAAAAGAGTGTTAGCAGAAAAGCTCAAAAACAGCAGCCATCATATGTAACAGTAGAAATAGATGATAACATAGAGCTATAAATGATAAAAGATATATATTTTTCTCATGCAATCATGAATTCCTGGGGTTTAACCCAGGCCCAGGGGTGCGAAAGCGGGCACGGAACATGGAAAAGAGCGTTAGCAGAAAAGCTCAAAAACAGCAGCCATCATATGTAACAGTAGAAATAGATGACAACATAGAGCTATAAATGATAAAAGATATATATTTTTCTCATGCAATTCATTATGACCAGATTTCCAACTTCAGCAGCTAGCTGTCATCTTTATAAATTTCAATACAAATCAGCCTTTCACCTCCGTTATAAAATGTATAATATTATATTTTCATAGACAACTCATCACAACCAGACCTTAAACTTCAGGAGCCAGTTATATTATATATACAGAGTATGATATTTAATTTCAAGACATAATTTCATCAGAAAATCATATTATTACAACATTAAGGTAGATAAGTTGTTTTGCAGAGTTATCAATATTAAATATATATATTTCCCCCCAGGGCAACTACCATCATCAAAACGGTCACAGATCAGCAAAATAACAATCAGACAGAAATTAACATCATACATTTAAGTATTCATCTGCAATTGTTTAGAAGCATTACAAAACTTAAATTTAGAGCAAATTAACATTGTCGAGTGAAGTTTATTTATACTTCATTTTCAAAGAATATATATATATATATATATCAACTCAAGAATACACTGACTTCATTAACATGGAACATCAATTATTCATTCAGTGTGAATCATACCCCATCATCATATGGCGTCAATGCAAGTATGCAGTATGGCCAACAGAAATTGAACGGCATTTGAAGGGTTCAACTCATCAGTTAAAGTATACAGCCACACAGAGTATCAAGCAGATAATTCAACAGTGGGATCATATCGCGCATGATCTCAGCCAGTTGATATTATCCACAGAATTGAACAAACCAATACATGAGCCGCTCATCCACAATGGCTACATGTGTTGGCGGCAATCTGAATGTCAGTATGTTGGAGGAACTATACGGAGCATGTACAAGCACTGACAGACCCAACACAGCTGGACTCCATGTCTCAGTCAGGGTTGGATGTCATCACAAAACCATATGCAGGTACAGAATGAGATCAACAAAGTAAATAAAAATAGCAAAATATATAAATAAACTGAAAGGGTTCATTCTGGAGTGATTTTAAACACAGAAAACCAAACATTAGTCGAACACGCTGGACCCAAGCCGTTGGACGTCAAACCCGTTGGACGTCAAACCCGTTGGACGTCGAAGCCGTTGGATGAGCGCATCAACCCGTTGGAAGTCGAACACGCTGGACCCAAACCCGTTGGATGTCGAACCCGTCCAAGGAGCGCATTAACCCATTGGACCCGAACCCGTTGGATGAACCCATCAACCCGTTGGATGAACCCATCAACCCGTTGGACCCAACCCGTTGGACGTCAAACCCGTCCCAGGAGCGCATTAACCCGTTGGGAGTTGAACACGCTGGACCTAAACCCGTTGGACGTCGAACCCGTTGGATGAGGAAGTCGAACACGCTGGACACAAACCCGTTGAACGTCAAACCCGTTGGACGTCAAACCCGTCCCAGGAGCGCATTAACCCGTTGGGAGTTGAACACGCTGGACCCAAACCCGTTGGATGTCAAACCCGTCCAAGGAGCCCATTCACCCATTGGACCCGAACCCGTTGGATGAACCCATCAACCCGTTGGAAGTCGAGCACGCTGGACGATTATATCAGAAGGTAGAGGGGGGGTTTCAAAAATATGGGAGTTTTAAAGAGCATTATCCCATACAATAATGGGCCAGGGTTAGGGTTACAAAGAGTGAGGGTAGAGGCTGGGGGGGAGGATGAGGTGGTCAGAGTCAGGGTTAGAGTGAGGGGTGTTCAGGGGTCGAACCCGTTGAACGAACCCGTTAACCCGTTGGACCCAAACCAGTGGGATGAAACCATTTAAAAGTCAAACCCGCTGGACATGCCCGTTGAAGGTTATAGGGTTAGGGTTAAACTATCCAAGTTATACATAGTGCGTGGTCCGACGCGCCCCCGTCCGATTTTCTCCGTCCCTGATTGGCCGCCCGTGCGTGCTCCCGCTCCCGCCTCCGCGTGCCCGCAGTGGCCCGGTCGCGGTCGAGCTCCCTCTTCCCTTCCCTTCTGCGGCAGCCAGCCACCCCATTACTTCAAACTTTGCATGTAGGCCGTAGTGGATATGGAATACAACATATCCAAATTAAAAGCGATAATTCCGCCGGGAAGGGGTTAAATTGTGGTGTCAAAGTCAATTCTAGTACCACATTGACAGGCTAAGACCAACACCACAGATACAGAAACATCTACATATTTTAGCATGAGATGATAGAGCAGCCTCTGGGCATTAAACTGATATATTCCATATTCCCATAGCCCATGTAGTGGTGGAGATATTGTGGTTTAAACAATGGAGGGTTCTATGGGACGATAATACCGTATTAGGTTAGCGTATATTTTCTACAGCCGCGCTAACCCGTTACAGTATTATCGTCCCAAAGTCCCGGTCAGCGCAAGGAGTGGTTAGATGTGCATGAAATCATGCATGCTGGCTCTCTACCAAACATATTCAATGCTATTTAAGTTGCAGGTCAGTGGAATAGAAATTACGTTGTCAATCAAGGATGCAATTCTCTACCCCCATTTACTTGAGGAATTGGCTTTTAGTTTGACCTGGAATTGGCTTTTTTGGTGAGAACTTGGCAAGACTTGGCAGGGCTTGGCAAGGCTTGGCAGGTTTTAAAACCCAAGTAAGATCACGTGATAAAAGCCAGGTAAGATTATGTAATCTGACCCGACTTTTCTTACATAATAGAACAGTATTATATGTTGGGCACTAGTTGCCCAGGCGGCCCTCCACCGCACGTGATTACCCCTATATAGTTAGCTAGCGATCGCACAATGAGAAGATCAACCATCCCACAGGTTATGGCCCGGATTGCAGATTTTTAAGAAAAACAGACGTTTTGATTAGAATACGCTGCGACTGATGTTATATTGGATGAGTTAAACATTATTCCCCTGAAAAGAGAGCTCTTTGCCTATAAAAGTGGTGTAATTGACGGAATTGCTGTCGAGACTGCTGCAGAGATTTCATTACTATCTTGAAGGGATCAAAAACTTATTTATTTATTTTCATTCAGAACCTCCCTAAGTCAGATTGATTATGAGTGGTTCTCGATTACCTGCGACCCCAATATCAGGACGTAAGAAGACACTACGTTCGCAATCAAGGGTCCCCCAATCCTTCCCCCCTATTACTGAGCAAGAATCCGGCTCAGAAGCGGAGGGTGATCAAACTGAATACGCGATGGCAGAGGAAGATATGACAACCTCTGGCTCAGCACGCGATACTGGCAAGATGCCAGAACGCGAGGAATCTGAGGATGGCACGCCCAGTCCTATGCCGATACCTACGCCGAATCCTAACGGCATGGTGACCATGGCAGCAGCAGATCTCATTGCACTCTGCGAGCGACTGATATCAGCACGCGCGCCGCCACCTCCTCCACCTCCTCCACCACCTCCACCTCCTCCGAACCCTATACCAGAAGAAGATCCGAACATGCTGGCTCGCGAATACCAGAAGGAAGCGCAGGCCTCGTTGAACACAAAGTCCGTCACCACGTTCGATGGCACCAACTACCAGACGTGGAAGATGGCGTTCTTGTCGGATGCAGAAGTGATCGGTGGTGCAGATATTCTCAATAAGAACCAACAGGAACCACCTGAAGGTTTATCATCGCTCGATCAGCGATATTGGGTGATACGTTCAAAACTTCTCTTCCGTCGCATGTTGCAATCCCTAGTAGGTTCTGTCCGTTTGACCATGGGATCCATTCAACCCGACAACGCGGCGGCCCTATGGAACAAGGTAAGCGCAGTATACGCGATATCCCTAGGGGAAGAAAGGATTAACATCCTTAAAGAATTTACCCACTTGCATGTCAAGGACGGTGATTACCTGGCGTACGTACGCCGATATCAATACCTGTCTGCTCGCATGCGACAACTAACGGAGGACCGTGGTGAGAACTACCTCCATGATTTCTTTATTATCGGCCTCCGAGATTATCAGAGGACCTATGTTAAATCACGCCTCGATACGTTCTACGGGACGGGTCAGGGTCCGATTGTCAACCTAGATATCAACGATCTCACAAAACAAATTGCTCACCGGATGAGTAAATCAGAGGGTACTGGACGCCCTAAAGCTCCAAAGGCCAACGCGGCCACCAATGATAATGACAACACAACTTCCGCCGCAACCGCAAAGTGCGGATACTGCAAGGTCCCAGGGCATATAAAGGCTAATTGCTATCATCTGAACCCTGACAAAGCGCCCGAGTGGTGGAGGAAAGAGAATAAGGATAATAAGGGCACTGACAACACTGAAGGTGCCAAAAAGAAGGGAAAGGATAAGAAGAAGGACAAGGATGACAACAAACCTACTGGCATCAAAGCACCAGATCTTCTTGCCTCCCAACCTAGTGCTAACACAGCAATTGCTTTATCCGCGTCGTCCGCTACAACATTCAAACCTTGGTATCTCGACACCTGCGCAAGCTTTAATATGACGGGCAAAGGCACTCGTTGGTGCGCGCGAAGTCGTTCGAGGGCGATTTACAAATTACTACCGCGGACGGTGGTGTAGAATGGGTTGAGGAGATAGGTGATATTCTTCTTGAATCAGAAGAGGGGGATATCCCAGTTGGTCACGTCCACTGAATTCTCAATCTAACTGTCAACCTTCTATCCTTCGCGAAGCTAGAAGATCAAGGCTTCAGATATCAACTATCAGATACCACCCCTTTCTATTTTACAATAAGAGCCCTGAACAATGCCAACTTCACCGCTGTTCACACGTCCAAAGAATCGGTCTACAAGATAATAGAATGAGAATCCCAAATAGATGTCCATCACCCGTCCCAGACCGTCCATTTTATGGCCAAATCTTACAATTACAGGGACGCAATGTCGACAATCGCGGGGAAACCTAACGATCAACCTAGCGATCGCAACCCCCTGACAAGAACACTCATGGAATGGCACGTCACACTAGGGCATATCCACGCTGGCGCGATCATTGCACTAGTGAAGGACCCGTCATCCAGCATCTGCATCAAAGAATCTAAAACAGGCTTCTTCTGCAATAGCTGCGTCAAAGCAGGGCATGACGCGCAAGTTCTCACAAACTCCCATGCCACGAGTGTTGCGAGCAATGCAACGTGTTCATATTGACCTTGCTGACGGTGGTCGTACGCTGGATGACATGTCTGATTACCCTATCGAATCTCGTCAAAGGACCAAATATTATATGCTCATCACTGATGACGCCACCCGTTACAGATGGATCTATTTTTTACATACCAAGGATCAAGCTGTCGAAATTTACGCTCACTGAGTCCAATTCATGAAAAATCTCGGCTTCACGCCACCGGCGCTAGTTAGGACTGATATCGATGGTGTCTTTTGATCTATACCCCTCCCTGATTGGCCGCCCGTGCGTGCTCCCGCTCCCGCCTCCGCGTGCCCGCAGTGGCCCGGTCGCGGTCGAGCTCCCTCTTCCCTTCCCTATCCAACAGGTGGGGGTGGAATGGACGTCCATTCCATTCAGGGTTAGAAAACCGACCAATCAGAGCAGGGCAGATTGGACGTACATTCCATTTGGTTTCAGACGTTGAACGTCAAATCAACCACGGAGTCAATTGACTTCAAACTTTGCATGTAGGCCGGAGTGGATATGAAATACAACATATCCAAATCAAAAGCGATAATTCCGCCGGGAAGGGGTTACATTGTGGTGTCAAAGTCAATGAGTTGAGGTGCGATGTTTGATGGGGTAAGCCATCAACCCAACCAGACCCAACTAAATATCTATATTTTCACCCAGGCAACGGAGCGGTTAGGGTTACTAGATCAACAAAGTAAATAAAAATAGCAAAATATATAAAAAAACTGAAAGGCTTCATTCTGGAGTGATTTTAAGCACAGAAAAACAAACATTAGTCGAACACGCTGGACCCAAACCCGTTGGACGTCAAACCCGTCCAAGGAGCCCATTCACCCATTGGACCCGAACCCGTTGGATGAACCCATCAACCTGTTGGAAGTCGAGCACGCTGGACGATTATATCAGAAGGTAGAGGGGGGGGTTCAAAAATATTGGAGTTTTAAAGAGCATTATCCCATACAATAATGGGCCAGGGTTAGGGTTACAAAGAGTGAGGGTAGAGGCTGGGGGGGAGGATGAGGTGGTCAGAGTCAGGGTTAGAGTGAGGGGTGTTCAGGGGTCGAACCCGTTGAACGAACCCGTTAACCCGTTGGACCCAAACCAGTGGGATGAAACCATTTAAAAGTCAAACCCGCTGGACATGCCCGTTGAAGGTTATAGGGTTAGGGTTAAACTATCCAAGTTCTACATAGTGCGTGGTCCGACGCGCCCCCGTCCGATTTTCTCCGTCCCTGATTGGCCGCCCGTGCGTGCTCCCGCTCCCGCCTCCGCGTGCCCGCAGTGGGGCCCGGTCACAGTCGAGCTCCCTCTTCCCTTCTCATATCTCATGGCACAGATGCTGGTGGTACAGCAGGCAGTTCAGATGGCCGAGGATGGGCAGGTGGAGCACCCTGCAGATGCGCTGGATGCCATGCGTGAACGCTTCCTCCTCCCAGGAGTGGCTGCCCCCTTTGGCTGGGTGACCCGGCTGCGGACATTCGGCAAGCGAGTGCAGAACACCACCACGAGTCTAGGGTATGTCTACTGGAGCGATGACCAGCAGACTCTAAGCTATAGAGAGCTGCATCTAAGCATAGCAGGGCTCCGGCGCTTCGTGCGCACGCAGGTGGAGCTGACACAGCACAAGCTTGAGCAGCTCTTTCTTGTTCATGAAGAGGAAGCACGGGAGGTGGTAGTGCCACGCCTGGCACTGGCCCAGCTGGCGGACAGCCCTACAAACAATCAGCGCGGCTGGAACTTCCTTCAAGCACCGCAGAACTGCAAGGCCCTTCCAACCACAGGGGAGCGATGGCTGCTGGACCGAGTCCTCACAACAGACAGGCTCCGGGCAGAGTGGGTAGCTGTACGGCCATCTGATCATCAGGTGGTCTGGGACACAGCAGTGGTAGATGACTATCTGCAGCAGGTGGATGGATTTCTTGAGCAGCTGCTTCTTGTGGTTCATCTCACTGGGGGCCAGCCTGCGCGGGCCACAGAGCTGCTCAGCATACGGCACAGTAACACAGTCTGCGGCCGCCACCGCAGCATTTTTATTGAACATGGGCTGGTGAGCATGGTGACAACCTATCACAAAGGATACAGCATGACCAACTCCACAAAGATCATCCACCGCTATCTGCCAGCAGAGGTCAGTGAGCTGGTGGTTCGCGCGGGCGGTCCAGCGGCTTGCATATGGAGACAGTGATAGCCAAGGGGGGCTGCGGTCACCATTTCTCTGGCCGCGGGGGCATGGACCGTGGGACAGCAGCCGGCTGCGGGTGGTGCTTCAGCGCGAGGCAAAGACACACCTCCAGACCAAGCTCAATGTAATCCCTTGGCGGCATGCCGCCATTGCCATCTCGCGTATGCACCTGTCCTGTGGAGGGTTCAAGCGGGAATATGAGGCAGATGATGCGGCAGTAGACCAGCAGGCAGGCCATGGATCCTGGGCTGCAGGTACAGTATATGCGCGGGGGCTGCAGGAGGCACCAGGCCACATTGAGGCACGGCGTGTGCGGTACCAGGCTGTCAGCCGGGAGTGGCATGAATTCCTGGGGTTTAACCCAGGCCCAGGGGTGCGAAAGCGGGCACGGAACATGGAAAAGAGCGTTAGCAGAAAGGCTCAAAAACAGCAGCCATCATATGTAACAGTAGAAATAGATGATAACATAGAGCTATAAATGATAAAAGATATATATTTTTCTCATGCAATCATGAATTCCTGGGGTTTAACCCAGGCCCAGGGGTGCGAAAGCGGGCACGGAACATGGAAAAGAGCGTTAGCAGAAAGGCTCAAAAACAGCAGCCATCATATGTAACAGTAGAAATAGATGACAACATAGAGCTATAAATGATTAAAGATATATATTTTTCTCATGCAATTCATTATGACCAGATTTCCAACTTCAGCAGCTAGCTGTCATCTTTATAAATTTCAATACAAATCAGCCTTTCACCTCCGTTATAAAATGTATAATATTATATTTTCATAGACAACTCATCACAACCAGACCTTAAACTTCAGTAGCCAGTTATATTATATATACAGAGTATGATATTTAATTTCAAGACATAATTTCATCAGAAAATCATATTATTACAACATTAAAGTAGATAAGTTGTTTTGCAGAGTTATCAATATTAAATATATATATTTCCCCCTGGGCAACTACCATCATCAAAACCGTCACAGATCAGCAAAATAACAATCAGACAGAAATTAACATCATACATTTAAGTATTGATCTGCAATTGCTTAGAAGCATTACAAAACTTAAATTTAGAGCAAATTATCATTGCCGAGTGAAGTGTGTTTATACTTCATTTTCAAAGAATATATATATATATATATATATATATCAACTCAAGAATACACTGACTTCATTAACATGGAACATCAATTTTTCATTCAGTGTGAATCATACCCCATCATCATATGCCGTCAATGCAAGTATGCAGTATGGCCAACAGAAATTGAACGGCATTTGAAGGGTTCAACTCATCAGTTAAAGTATACAGCCACACAGAGTATCAAGCAGATAATTCAACGGTGGGATCATATCGCGCATGATCTCAGGCAGTTGATATTATCCACAGAATTGAACAAACCAATACATGAGCCGCTCATCCACAATGGCTACATGTGTTGGCGGCAATCTGAATGTCAGTATGTTGGAGGAACTATACGGAGCATGTGAAAGCACTGACAGACCCAACACAGCTGGACTCCATGTCTATCCAACAGGTGGGGGTGGAATGGACGTCCATTCCATTCAGGGTTAGAAAACCGACCAATCAGAGCAGGGCAGATTGGACGTACATTCCATTTGGTTTCAGACGTTGAACGTCCAATCAACCACGGAGTCAATTGACTTCAAACTTTGCATGTAGGCCGTAGTGGATATGAAATACAACATATCCAAATCAAAAGCGATAATTCCGCCGGGAAGGGGTTACATTGTGGTGTCAAAGTCAATGAGTTGAGGTGCGATGTTTGATGGGGTAAGCCATCAACCCAACCAGACCCAACTAAATATCTATATTTTCACCCCAGGCAACGGAGCGGCGCAAAGCGGTGCAAGATCAACAAAGTAAATTAAAATAGCAAAATATATAAAAAAAATGAAAGGCTTCATTCTGGAGTGATTTTAAGCACAGAAAAACAAACATTAGTCGAACACGCTGGACCCAAAGCCGTTGGACGTCAAACCCGTCCAAGGAGCCCATTCACCCATTGGACCCGAACCCGTTGGATGAACCCATCAACCTGTTGGAAGTCGAGCACGCTGGACGATTATATCAGAAGGTAGAGGGGGGGGTTCAAAAATATTGGAGTTTTAAAGAGCATTATCCCATACAATAATGGGCCAGGGTTAGGGTTACAAAGAGTGAGGGTAGAGGCTGGGGGGGAGGATGAGGTGGTCAGAGTCAGGGTTAGAGTGAGGGGTGTTCAGGGGTCGAACCCGTTGAACGAACCCGTTAACCCGTTGGACCCAAACCAGTGGGATGAAACCATTTAAAAGTCAAACCCGCTGGACATGCCCGTTGAAGGTTATAGGGTTAGGGTTAAACTATCCAAGTTATACATAGTGCGTGGTCCGACGCGCCCCCGTCCGATTTTCTCCGTCCCTGATTGGCCGCCCGTGCGTGCTCCCGCTCCCGCCTCCGCGTGCCCGCAGTGGGGCCCGGTCACAGTCGAGCTCCCTCTTCCCTTCTCATATCTCATCTCTTCTTATCTTGTCAGTTTTTATTGGCCTTATTGGCCTGGCCTGCTCGCACATCCACGCGTCTCCACATTAATGCATTTATATATTGACGCATTCGTGCATGATTGCTGGCTGCTCACTCTCTCTCTCTCTCTCTTTTTTTTTTTCTTTCTCTCTCTTATGTTTTGCTCTTTCTTCTGATCTCTGACTGACCTCTTTTAAATATACTCTTTCAAATATTGACAGACAGCCAACTTTGATGAGAGATTTACTGTGAGAATGGATCTCTTTATTTATAATAGGTCCCACCGCCTGTGGATCTGCCGCCCATGTGGATTTGCTGTTGCTGTTGCAAATGTCCTCACCCACCTGGCTAAGCGGCACCGCAACCATCCCTCGGCCGCGACGGCAGGTCTCCGGGAGGCCGCAGTGGCTGCGATGATGCAGGACCAGCTGGAGCCGGTGTTTGACCGCACTCAGGAACCCTGTTGCCCACCGCCTCCCGAGAGTGCTCCAGTCCGAGCCGGTGGTGTACTACCTCTGGCTGATTCTACCTTTCGCGCGGGCGGTCCAGCGGCTTGCATATGGAGACAGTGATAGCCAAGGGGGGCTGCGGTCACCATTTCTCTGGCCGCGGGGGCATGGACCGTGGGACAGCAGCCGGCTGCGGGTGGTGCTTCAGCGCGAGGCAAAGACACACCTCCAGACCAAGCTCAATGTAATCACTTGGCGGCATGCCGCCATTGCCATCTCGCGTATGCACCTGTCCTGTGGAGGGTTCAAGCGGGAATATGAGGCAGATGATGCGGCAGTAGACCAGCAGGCAGGCCATGGATCCTGGGCTGCAGGTACAGTATATGCGCGGGGGCTGCAGGAGGCACCAGGCCACATTGAGGCACGGCGTGTGCGGTACCAGGCTGTCAGCCGGGAGTGGCATGAATTCCTGGGGTTTAACCCAGGCCCAGGGGTGCGAAAGCGGGCACGGAACATGGAAAAGAGCGTTAGCAGAAAGGCTCAAAAACAGCAGCCATCATATGTAACAGTAGAAATAGATGACAACATAGAGCTATAAATGATAAAAGATATATATTTTTCTCATGCAATTCATTATGACCAGATTTCCAACTTCAGCAGCTAGCTGTCATCTTTATAAATTTCAATACAAATCAGCCTTTCACCTCCGTTATAAAATGTATAATATTATATTTTCATAGACAACTCATCACAACCAGACCTTAAACTTCAGGAGCCAGTTATATTATATATACAGAGTATGATATTTAATTTCAAGACATAATTTCATCAGAAAATCATATTATTACAACATTAAGGTAGATAAGTTGTTTTGCAGAGTTATCAATATTAAATATATATATTTCGCCCCAGGGCAACTACCATCATCAAAACGGTCACAGATCAGCGAAATAACAATCAGACAGAAATTAACATCATACATTTAAGTATTGATCTGCAATTGCTTAGAAGCATTACAAAACTTAAATTTAGAGCAAATTAACATTGTCGAGTGAAGTGTGTTTATACTTCATTTTCAGAGAATATATATATATATATATATATCAACTCAAGAATACACTGACTTCATTAACATGGAACATCAATTTTTCATTCAGTGTGAATCATACCCCATCATCATATGCCGTCAATGCAAGTATGCAGTATGGCCAACAGAAATTGAACGGCATTTGAAGGGTTCAACTCATCAGTTAAAGTATACAGCCACACAGAGTATCAAGCAGATAATTCAACAGTGGGATCATATCGCGCATGATCTCAGCCAGTTGATATTATCCACAGAATTGAACAAACCAATACATGAGCCGCTCATCCACAATGGCTACATGTGTTGGCGGCAATCTGAATGTCAGTATGTTGGAGGAACTATACGGAGCATGTACAAGCACTGACAGACCCAACACAGCTGGACTCCATGTCTCAGTCAGGGTTGGATGTCATCACAAAACCATATGCAGGTACAGAATGAGATCAACAAAGTAAATAAAAATAGCAAAATATATAAATAAACTGAAAGGGTTCATTCTGGAGTGATTTTAAACACAGAAAACCAAACATTAGTCGAACACGCTGGACCCAAGCCGTTGGACGTCAAACCCGTTGGACGTCAAACCCGTTGGACGTCGAAGCCGTTGGATGAGCGCATCAACCCGTTGGAAGTCGAACACGCTGGACCCAAACCCGTTGGATGTCGAACCCGTCCAAGGAGCGCATTAACCCATTGGACCCGAACCCGTTGGATGAACCCATCAACCCGTTGGATGAACCCATCAACCCGTTGGACCCAACCCGTTGGACGTCAAACCCGTCCCAGGAGCGCATTAACCCGTTGGGAGTTGAACACGCTGGACCTAAACCCGTTGGACGTCGAACCCGTTGGATGAGGAAGTCGAACACGCTGGACACAAACCCGTTGAACGTCAAACCCGTTGGACGTCAAACCCGTCCCAGGAGCGCATTAACCCGTTGGGAGTTGAACACGCTGGACCCAAACCCGTTGGACGTCAAACCCGTCCAAGGAGCCCATTTACCCATTGGACCCGAACCCGTTGGATGAACCCATCAACCCGTTGGAAGTCGAACACGCTGGACCCAACCCGTTGGACGTCAAACCCGTCCCAGGAGCGCATTAACCCGTTGGACGTCGAACCCGTCCCAGGAGCGCATTAACCCGTTGGACGTCGAACACGCTGGACCCAAACCCGTTGGATGTCGAACCCGTCCAAGGAGCGCATTAACCCATTGGACCCGAACCCGTTGGATGAACCCATCAACCCGTTGGATGAACCCATCAACCCGTTGGACCCAACCCGTTGGACGTCAAACCCGTTGGACGTCAAACCCGTTGGATGAGCGCATCAACCCGTTGGAAGTCGAACACGCTGGACCCAAACCCGTTGGATGTCGAACCCGTCCAAGGAGCGCATTAACCCATTGGACCCGAACCCGTTGGATGAACCCATCAACCCGTTGGATGAACCCATCAACCCGTTGGACCCAACCCGTTGGACGTCAAACCCGTTGGACGTCAAACCCGTCCCAGGAGCGCATTAACCCGTTGGAAGTCGAACACGCTGGACCCAAACCCGTTGGATGTCGAACCCGTTGGATGAGGAAGTCGAACGCGCTGGACCCAACCCGTTGGACGTCAAACCCGTCCCAGGAGCGCATTAACCCGTTGGGAGTTGAACACGCTGGACCCAAACCCGTTGGACGTCGAACCCGTTGGATGAGGAAGTCTATCCAACAGGTGGGGGTGGAATGGACGTCCATTCCATTCAGGGTTAGAAAACCGACCAATCAGAGCAGGGCAGATTGGACGTACATTCCATTTGGTTTCAGACGTTGAACGTCTAATCAACCACGGAGTCAATTGACTTCAAACTTTGCATGTAGGCCGTAGTGGATATGAAATACAACATATCCAAATCAAAAGCGATAATTCCGCCGGGAAGGGGTTACATTGTGGTGTCAAAGTCAATGAGTTGAGGTGCGATGTTTGATGGGGTAAGCCATCAACCCAACCAGACCCAACTAAATATCTATCCAACAGGTGGGGGTGGAATGGACGTCCATTCCATTTAGGGTTAGAAAACCTTAGAAAACCGACCAATCAGAGCAGGGCAGATTGGGCGTACATTCCATTTGGTTTCAGACGTTGAACGTCTATCCAACAGGTGGGGGTGGAATGGACGTCCATTCCATTCAGGGTTAGAAAACCGACCAATCAGAGCAGGGCAGATTGGACGTACATTCCATTTGGTTTCAGACGTTGAACGTCTAATCAACTACGGAGTCAATTGACTTCAAACTTTGCATGTAGGCCGAAGTGGATATGAAATACAACATATCCAAATCAAAAGCGATAATTCCGCCGGGAAGGGGTTACATTGTGGTGTCAAAGTCAATGAGTTGAGGTGCGATGTTTGATGGGGTAAGCCATCAACCCAACCCGACCCAACTAAATATCTATATTTTCACCCAGGCAACGGAGCGCTGCAAAGCGGTGGCAGCATCAACAAAGTAAATTAAAAAACCAAACTATATAACAAAAACCAACAGAGCTTCGTCTTGAATTGATTTTAAATCGCAGAAATGGCTGAATTGGTCGAAACT